GTCCGGCGACTGCCACAGCGGCGCTTGAGGGTTTCATGTGGTTTCGTAGGGTTTAGGGTTTAGGGTTTAGGGTTCTGGGTTCTTAGGGTTTAGGGTTTAGGGTTTAGGGTTTAGGGTTTAGGGTTTAGGGTTTAGGGTTTAGGGTTTAGGGTTTAGGGTTTAGGGTTTAGGGTTTAGGGTTCAGGGTTCAGGGTTCAGGGTTTAGGGTTTAGGGTTTATCGGCTTAAATAGTAAGGTTTAAAGGGTTTATAGGGTTTACATGGTTTCTAGGGTTTCTAGGGTTTACAGAGTTTATAGGGTTTTATAGGGTTGATAGAGTTTTTTGGGTTTACAGGGGCTATTGGGTTTATAGGGATTATTAGGTATATAGGGTTTACAGGGTTCTAGAAGGTTTACAGGCTTACAGGGTTTGATGAGGTTTACAGGGTTTACAGGGTTTGCAGTGCGTTTACAGGCTTTACAGGGTTTATAGGGTTTAAAGCGTTTCTCGGGTTTAGGGACGAGGGCGGACTCAACACCTGGAACCCTTCATCCCAAACCCTTAGACACGGAGCCCTGCTTGAGTTGGGGTTTAAGGGTCAAGCAAGGCTTACACTTCTTACAATTCCCACTGTAGGAATTGTGGTCCCTAAACCCCAAACCCTAAACCCTAAACCCCAAGCAAAAAAAACCTAACCCTAAACCCCAAACCCTAAACCCAAATTAAACCCCAAACCCTAATCCCTAAACCCTAAACCCCAAACCCTAAACCCTAACTGGCACCGAAGGTGTAGGGCTTCAGGGGTGAGCCGCTTCCCACCTCTGGCCCCTCTTCGCGTTCCGAAGACGCCTCGCCATCCTCCTGTGCACGTGGCGCAGGCCCTCAATCCCCTGAACACTAAGCCCTAAACCCTAAACCCTAAACCCCCTAAACCCTTAAACCCTAAAAACCCTAGACTCCCCAGCACCCCTAAACGAACCCGTTAAGACCCCCAAAGATCAACCCTAAACCCTAAACCCTAAACCCCAACCCTAAACCCTAAACCCTAAACCCTAAACCCTAAACCCTAAACCCTAAACCCTAAACCCTAAACCCTAAACCCAAAACCCAAAACCCAAAACCCAAACCCTAAACCCTAAACCCTAAACCCTAAACCCTAAACCCCTAAACCCTAAACCCTAAACCCTAAACCCTAAACCCTAAACCCTAAACCCAAAACCCTAAACCCCCTAAACCCTAAACCCTAAACCCTAAACCCTAAACCCTAAACCCTAAACCCTAAACCCTAAACCCTAAACCCCAACCCTAAACCCTAAACCCTAAACCTCAAGCCCTGACCCTAAAAGTCCCAAAACCCTCAACCTCAAACCCTCAACCCTAGTCCCGGCAACTGAGAGTTAGGGTTGGGTGAGGGCTCGGGGCGTATTCCTGTAACCCTAAACCCTAAACCCTCAAACCTAAGACCCTAAACCCTAAACCCTAAACCCTAAACCCTAAAACCTAAACCCTAAACCCTAAACCCTAAAACCTAAACCCTAAACCCTAAACCCGACTTCTGAACACAGCATCCTGAGCCCCATAAGCCCTGAACCCTAAACCTTAAAGAATTAAACCCTAAGTCCCAAAGTCGTAAACCCCTTAAACCCTACACCCTAAACCCTAAACCCTAAACCCTAAACCCTAAACCCTAAACACTAAACCCCTAAACCCTAAACCCCCTAAACCCTATACCCTAAACCCTAAATCCTAAACCTTAAAGAACTCGAGCCCTTTAGGGCTTGAGGTCTTTGGGAGTCGGCAGTGGGGGGCGGGGGGGGGCTGGTGGGCCGCCAACGCCAACTTGCCTTATCATCGCCCGGCACGAAGAAGAGGACCTGCTATAGATAGGGGAGAGGATTAGGGACCCTTGGGGATATAGACCCTCTCAATAAGGTCCCTGTTTAAGGCAGTCAGAAGAGGGTTAAGAAGGGTTCCATTGTAGGGTCTCCCTTATCCTACCTCGGTTACCCTACCTCGGTTACCTAGGAATATAGTTATTTAGGGTTTAGGGTTTTTGGGGGCTGCTTGGGGATGACGGCTCCTAGACCCTAAACTTTAAACCCCGAACCCTAAACACTGAACCCTAAGCTTTGAACCCTAAACCCTAAACCCAAGACCCTGAACCCTAAACCCTAAACCCTATACCCTAAACCCTAAACCCTATACCCTAAACCCTATACCCGAAACCCTAAACCCTATACTCTAAACCCTAAACCCTAAACCCTAAACCCTAAACCCTAAACCCTAAACCCTAAACCCTAGACCCAAGGGTCGCAGTGCACATGGAGCTCCAGCACCCGGGCAGGCGTTTGCTAACAAGTCATCCTTCTGCCGCGCCTCGGGGTGCCTTTGTAACCCTGAAACCCTGAAACCCTGAAACCCTGAAACCCTGAAAGCCTGAAACCCTAAACCCTAAACCCCAAACCCCAAACCCTAAACCCTAAACCCTAAACCCTAAACCCTAAACCATAACCCCAAATCCTTGTCCGAAGAGTGTACCCTCAACCCTCTAGTCGAGGGATCTTTACCTTGGAGCCTTGCTGGTGGTACTGTCGGGTTTTGGGGTTTAGGGTTTAGGGTTGTTCAGGATCCCTAAGGGAATATCAGGGCCATACTAGGAGTATATTAACGGGAACCTCTTCGGGGTACATCCTTAGGTCCTTAAAGGTCCGAGTATGAGACCCTTGATTAGGGTAGACACGGAACCCTCAACCCTAAACCCTAAACCCTAAACCCTAAACCCTAAAGAGAACGCTAGAGGCCTCTGGCAGCTGGACCGGCAGCTGTGCGAGAAGCCTGTGAGAACCAGATGAAAAGTTTCGGGGTTTGGGGGGGGGGGGGTAGCCCTAAACCCTAAACCCTAGTATTGAGGAACCCATGGGTCTACATGGGTCAAGTAGGGTCGTCCATTCGGGTCTATTCGCGTCTTTCGGTCTTGGGGTCCCAGGATCGACTTTCTAGAAGAGGGTTTGGGGTTTAGGGTTTAGGGTTTATAAGTGACGTTTTCGCTCAGAGTTGAGAGTTCAACATTCAAGTTTCGAGGGGTAACGCGCTCGGGGATGAAGGTCTATATATATATATATACAAGGCTTCTTTTTTGCTGGGTTGAGTCTTTTCGTTCAGCCATCACGAGCTCTTAAACACTAAGGTTTAGGGTTTAGGGTCTAGAGTTTAGGGTTTAGGGTTTAGGGTAAGCCCTAAATACACCTAAGCTATATGATCCAGGAAACCCACCAGCCCTACTAGTCAGTCTTTTGTATGGTGATTTCTGTAAATTTTGCATGAGGTGGCCCCTCTGATCTAGGGTACCCAGAGAGGGACCATATTTTAGAGAACTGCCCATAGAGAACTGCCTATATAGAACATATACGCCCTTCTCACTGCCCTGAACCGTAAACTCGATCAGCCCAAACCCCGACACCTCTAAACTCTAAACCCTTTAAAACCCTAAACCCTAAACCCTAAACCCTAAACCCTAAACCCCACACCCAACAGGGCGTCTAAGCGGCACGGTTCCCAACAAGGCATCGCCGAACCCGTCCATCGCTCATGGCGGGGGGCGGGCCAAGGAAACCACGCGATGGGCCTATTTTAGGGTTTAGGGTTTAGGGTTTAGGGTTTAGGGTTTAGGGTTTAGGGTTTAGGGTTTAGGGTTTAGGGTTTAGGGTTTAGGGTTTAGGGTTTAGGGTTTAGGGTTTCTTCTGAGAGAGGTATATGGCTTTGTGGAAGGTCGGAGGGTTTCTGGGGGATGTAGAGATGTAGGGGTTTTGGGGTCTAGGGTTTTTGGTGCCTAGTTTGGGGTTTGGGGTTTAGGGTTTAGGGTTTAGGGTTTAGGGTTTAGGGTTTAGGGTTTAGGGGCCTCAAGGCGTGGGGGTGTAGTGTTCCGGGTTGTGGGGTGGGCTTTGGCTGGGAGTGGATGAAGGCTGAGCTGGAATCCGACATCTGGGAGCTGCGGAAGCTGAAGCCTTTGGGCAGCAAGAGTTTAGGGCTTAGGGTTTAGGGTTTAGGGTTTAGGGTTTAGGGTTTAGGGTTTAGGGTTTAGGGTTTAGGGTTTAGGGTTTAGGGTTTAGGTCGGGCTTTCTGGCGGGCTTATTGCCTAGGGTTTAGGGTTTAGGGTTTCGGGCTTAGGGCTTAGGGTTAACACTGGCGTTTAGTGAATGAGAGCATTCGGTACCTTATATCCCCCTACATGCTCCCAGAAAGCCGACTGAACCAGGGTGTTTGAGGTTTAAGGTACAGGCGTCGGGGCCAATTTTGAGGGTTTACAAGCATCCTTACAACCCTAAACCCTTTTTAAGATGCAGGCTTTAGGGCAGCTTTCAGATCAAAAGTCTGAAGGGTTTCTGAGTGTCCTTGGGATTTGAATACAGAATAGTACAACCCTAGGGTTGTATTAACTTCTGGGTGGGTTTAGGGCTTTAGGGCTTTAGGGCTTTAGGGCTTTAGGGCTTTAGGGCTTTAGGGCTTTAGGGCTTTAGGGCTTTAGGGCTTTAGGGCTTTAGGGCTTTAGGGCTTTAGGGCTTTAGGGGTTTAGGGCTTTAGGGGTTTAGGGGTTTAGGGGTTTAGGGGTTAGAGGGTTTAGGGGTTTATATAGCGGTTTAAGGATTTCGGAGTTTAGGATTTAAGGGTTTACGGGTTGAAGGTTTAGGGGTAAACTCGCCGCAACACAAGTATGGTCTCTGGATACCCAGGTCCATCACTGTGCTACAAATGGACCCTCTGTAAACAAACTCTTCCGGCGCTGCAAACTTCTGGAAACAAGATTCGTGGTCTTGCCTTGTCGTACAACCCTAGGGTTCTTAAGGGATGCAGGAACCTTAGGCAAGCTTAGGAAGCCTTAGGGTTACATGCCCCCTTGAACCCCCCTCCCTAAACCCTAAACCCTAAACCCTAAACCCTTCACCCTTCACCCTAAACCCTTCACCCTAAACCCTAAACCCATAGATGGTTCCATCCGAGCACTTTTGCGCAGCACGCGGCGTCAGGCCACCAAATCCAGGTAGGGATCCTCACGCTGGCCCATGCGTCCCAAAAGCCCCTAAGCTTCTTAAACCTCTGAACCCCAACAACTTCAGGTGTATAAGGAGGGACCCCTAGAAGGGACCCTTAATCATACTTCCCTATATGAGCCTTATATACCTTAAAGATTCCTTATTTGCCTAAGTCGCCCCTAAATAACCCCCCAAAGAACCCCTAAGGTCCCCTCTAAGGGTCCCTCCTTTAGTCCATTGTGGGGCAACGGCCCAGCTTTAACGTGCGAAAGCCTCCATGGTTTCCCCTGTCATTTGACCAAAAAAAAGCATTAACCCTGGTTTAGGGTTTAGGGTAATTTATAGGGTTTAGGGTTTAGGGTTTAGGGTTTAGGGTTTAGGGTTTAGGGTTTAGGGTTTAGGGTTTAGGGTTTAGGGTTTAGGGTTTAGGGTTTAGGGTTTAGGGTTTAGGGTTTAGGGTTTAGGGTTTAGGGACAAGCCCTGGCCCTAAACCAACCCTAAATCCCTAATGGTTTAAGGTTTAGGGTTTAGGGACAAGCCCTGGCCAAAACCAACCCTAAATCCCTAAGGCCCTCAACCCTAAACTCTAGAGCCCTCCAGCCCTGAACTCACAGCTGAGGAAGCGTATAAGGGAACCTAAACCCTAAAAAAAGGAATAAGGGCCTCCTCTGTGTCCTAGGAGGAGGATTTAAGAATTGACCAGGCTCGCCCCATAAACCCCGGGTTTAGGAATCATTCCCCAAGCCCTCCGCACCCTTAACCCTCAACACTCAACCCTAAACCCTAAACGGGGTTTTGTGTTCAGGTTTTCGGCTCTGGTCCATGAAGCCCTAGATACCTAAAAACCCAGATCCCTCAAGGCCCCAAACCTTCATAACAAACCTGCAAGCCCTGTGATTGCGGTCATGTCTCTAAATTGGGTACCCTAAACCCTAAACCCTACTAAACCCTAAACCCTAAACCCTAAACCCTGAACCATGTCTCTAAATTGTGGTCCCTTTCTTAGTACCCCACATCTCAGGGGCCGCCTTACACCAAATCACGCCAAAAAGGGACCCTAATCTAGAGGATCTCCTAGATGGGTGATTCTCTACATGAGGATCCCTTTTGGGGTTTAGGGTTTAGGGTTTTAGGGTATAGGGTTTAGGGTTTAGGGTTTGGGGTTTAGGGTTTGGGGTTTAGGGCTTTTTGGTTAAGGGCTTAGGGTTTAGGGTTTAGGGTTTAGGGTTGAGGGTTTAGGGTTTAGGGTTTAGGGTTTAGGGTTCAGGGTTTAGGGTTTAGGGTTTAGGGCCTGTCTAGAATACCGGCAATTGCGAGAACCGCCCGGCATGGAAGGTTGAGGGCAGCTCTGGGCCTCTCGGGATCATAAGAAGCCCTAAACCCTAAACCCTAAACCCTAAACCCTAAACCCTAAACCCTAAACCCTAAACCCTAAACCCTAAACCCTAGAGTCCCTAAAGCCCCTGCAGAACTTACCCTACAGCAGAGGTCCTGCGTGGCCCGGTCGCTGTGAGGTTCCTCCCTCGCCTTCGGTGCTCAGGGGATTTAGGGTTGCAGGGATTCAGGGATTTACGGACTCAGGTTTAGGATGTAGGGGGTTTACCGCTCCCCCCCGGCAAAAGGGTTTACGCTTTAGGGTTTAGGGTGTAGGGTTTAGGGACATGAAGTATGGGGTTTAGGGCTTACCGCTTACCAGGCTTCGGCCAAGCACGTGCCTGCAATGCTGCGGAGTCGTTCCGATCGGAGCGCTTGCGCTTGCGAGCCTCGATGTGGGTGCAAGGCTGTGATATGAGCAATTTCCCGAGATCAGGGTTTAGGGTTTAGGGTTTAGGGTTTAGGGTTTAGGGTTTAGGGTTTAGGGTTTAGGGTTTACGGTTTACGGTTTAGGGGTTAGGGGTTAGGGGTTAGGGTTTGGGGAGATGGGGTTTCGGGTTTAGGGTTTAGGATTTAGGGTTCAGGGTTTGGGGGTCCCACTACCCTAGTTGGTCCGTTTATCCTAAGACCAATATTATATTATAAGCCCTGCTTTGACCCTAAACCCCCCAAATACTGAACTCCTCCTTAAAGGAAACAGTTTCATCCCCTCATCTGGGGGTTCCCCTCATCTGGGGGTTCACGATATTAGGCGTACCTTGTTGGGGTCCTTATTACAAGGAGATCCTACAATTTTGGGGGGTCCAGAGTAGGGGTCCCGTTATTCTCGCAATCGTATTTCGGGATGATCGTAGGGCGTGAGGGGATTTGGGGTGAAGGTTTGGGGTTTAGCTATTTTTAAAACCCCCTCTTTTGACTACAAGAGACAGCTTTAGGAGGTTTCGGGTGTGGGGTGGACTGCGCAGCTTCTGGGGATTTAGGGTGCAGGTTTTCGGGTGCAGGGTTCAGGGTTTAGGGCTACGGGTCAAGAACCCTGAGCCCGCCACCTTGAACGAAAAGTCCATGCATCCAAACCGCCCGAAACTCTCCATCCACAAACTCTTGAGAGGCTCGAGACTTAGGGTTCGAGGGTTTGGGCGTCACCCCCAAGCCCTAAACCCCAAGCCCCTGAGGTTCTGGCGGAAGGCGACCGTCGGGCGGACCGTCGGGACTTCCGGTGGTCCTTGGATCAGGCTCGGGCTTCTTTGGGCATGCTCAGCAACTGATTGAACTAGGGCTGTACGATACTAGGGATGTACCTTACCGGGGTCCTTACTATAAGGGGCCTCGAAGAAGTGACCAAGGTTTCAGGCTTGGATACAGGGACTCTTTTCTGCGAGGATAAAACGCCCCCTAAAGCCCCTGAGCCCATCGAAATCCAAGGCCCCAACCGTAAATGGCCGCAATTGGGGGGCATTGACCACAACTTGGTAGCCCAGTAACCCTAAACCCTAAACCCTAAACCCTAAACCCTAAACCCTAAACCCTAAACCCTAAACCCTAAACCCTAAACCCTAAACCCTAAACCCTTTTTTGGGGTTGGTTACTGTATAAGGGAACCCAGAACCAAAAAAAAAAGGTAAAGGGTACCACGGGGCTACCAAGACAATGGAGGACTCCCTGACACCAGCAAAAGGGTTTCGGGTTTAGGGTTTGGGGTTTGGGGCTTAGGATTTAAGGTTTAGGGTGTGGGGTTTAGGGGTCCATGTACCTAAATAGTGTGCATGGAAGGGTCCTTGGTTCGAGGTGGCGGGCTCAGGGTTCTTTGAGCCCAGACCCTAAACCTAAACTACACCAATTGGGGGTTCACGAAAAAAAGGGGACCAGACCCTAACTAAACCCAAAAGCCTACACCTAAACCCTAAACCCTAAACCCTAAACCCTAAACCCTAAACCCTAAACCCTAAACCCTAAACCCTAAACCCTAAACCCTAAACCCTAAACCCATCCCCTCAGCCCCCAAACCCCCAAAACCCTCAACCCCCGAGGCTCTGGCGGAAGGCGACCTTCGGGCGGACCTTCGGGATTTCCGGTGGTCCTTAGATCAGGCTCGGGCTTCGTGGGGTATGCTCAGCTCAGCAACTGACTGGACATTCTTTGCAACCCTAAACCCTAAACCCTAAACCCTAAACCCTGAGTGCTGCGCGCTTAGGCGCCGTGATGCCGTGCTCTGCACTAGAGGTCGATACTTACTCTGAGGGACGGTTGAGTCCAGACCAAAAATCAGGGTGTAGGGTTTAGGGCTCAGGGTTTAGGGTTCCCAGACCAATCGAATGACTGGGTGGGGCGGGTCGACGGACGAAACAACACAAAAGCCAGAGATATTACAACCAAAATGCCTAAAATGAACGGCCACCCTTACAAAACCTTAACCCCTAAACCCTAAACCCTAAACCTTAAACCCTAAACCTTAAGGGGGCTCAGGGTCGGGTCGGCAAGTCGCGAATGCAGTGCAAGAGTAGAGGCCTGCGGGTCTTGAAGGGCTGGTGGGTAAAGAGCTGAAGGTTCAGGGTTGAGGGTTGAGGGTTGAGGGTTTAGGGTTTAGGGTTTAGGGTTTAGGGTTTAGGGTTTGGAGATTAGGGATTAACGCACCTTAATTACGTGCAACAACAAGCTCAATCTGAGCTGCCCCGCAAGCCTGGATGCCTCAACCCCTAACCTCTCCAGAGCCAGGGGGGTTCCTGCGGGTTAGGGTTTAGGGTTTAGGGTTTGGAGTTTGGGGTTTAGGGTTTAGGGTTTAGGGTTTAGGGTTTAGGGTTTAGGGTTTAGGGTTTAGGGTTTAGGGTTTAGGGTTTAGGGTTTAGGGTTTAGGGTTTAGGGTTTAGGGTTTAGGGGGGTTCGTGCGGGGGGTAGGTACCTGGAACTCTAGCGAGACTTCAGGAGCCTTCAAAATTAGTGGGAGAGTTCGGGAACCTTGGGTTACATACCCGCCTTGACCCCCCGCCACTGCTTAAGGACCCTAACCCTAAACCATCCCATCCCAAACCCTAAACCCTAAACCCTAAACCCTAAACCCTAAACCCCAAAACCCCAAAACCCCAAACCCCAAACCCCAAACCCCAAACCCCAAACCCCAAACCCCAAACCCCAAACCCCAAACCCCAAACCCTAAACCCTAAACCCTAAACCCCCCTTGGGATGCTGGCCGAGCGTGACCGCTTGCCCTTCTTTCGCTCCTGTGCTCCCAAAACAGGGGCATTTGGGGTTTAGGGATTAGGGTTTAGGGTTTAGGGTTAAGGGTTAGGGTTTTGGGTTTAGGGTTTAGGGTTTAAGGTTTAGGGTTTAAGGTTAGGGTTTAGGGTTTAGGGTTTAAGGTTTAGGGTTTAGGGTTTAGGGTTTAGGGTTTAGGGCTGAGGGTTGAGAGTTGAGGGTTTAGGGTTTAGAGTTTTAGGGTTTAGGGCTTAGGGCTTGGGTTCGTTGATTGTTCAGCACTATTGGCATGAATTCAGAAAGGAAATCTTGCCCTAACGAGGCCATATCAAGGGTAACATCTCAGGGGCCCCAAGAAACACTAAACCCCTGTAGCAACAAACAAAACCCTAAACCCTAAACCCTAAACCCTAAACCCGAATTTCTATACGCCCCTATAAACCAGTATCCGTCTTAGAAGTCGTGATGAACTTCCTCTAACGAAGCCACCTGCAAGCTTGGGGCTTGGGGTCTAGGGTCTAGGGTCTAGGGTTTAGGGTTTAGGGTCTAGGGTTTAGGGTTTAGGGTCTAGGGTCTGGGGCCATGAACACTGCTTGAAACCAGGAAAGACAACCAGAAGAGAAGATGTTGGGGCATAAGGAATTCGGATGCGAGTCGCGAAAATAAACCTGGCATTCAAGAAGCTCTGAAGCTCTGGAAACGCTCGACGTGATCCTCGACTGTTAAGACTCAGACCCTTTATACAACCTTGTATATCGATGGTCCGCGACATCAATTTCATCTGGGGGTTTCCGAAAATCGGGGTAATTACCTGATGGGGGTCCTTATTATAACGGAATCCGACTATTGGGGGTCTATACTTGGGGTCCCTTATTTTCGTAAACTCCCATCTCCAAACTCGGTCTAGACTCAAGGCTTCAACAGCTTTGGAAATTTGTGGGTTCGAGGAGTGTGAGGGCCTTGACTAGCCCCAGTAACCCTGCGCCCCTACACGCCTAAACTTAACAGCCCTCAACCCGGGCCCAAGCCCACCCCCTAAACCCTAAACCCTAAAACCTAAACCCTAAACCCTAAACCCAAACATCTGAACTTGGGAAACTAAGCCCTTCAGGGACCCCAAACCCTTGGACCCCAAACCCTCCCGCACCCTTATGAGGACGCCGGCCGAGTGAGACCGGGACCGTCTACCCCGGCGGTGGTCCTCAGGAACGCCCGGACTCTTTTAGCGTGCAAGGTTGGGCTCGAAGGAATTTAAGCCTTAGGGCTTAGCTTCTCAGGATTCCTTCCCTAAACCCCAAACCCTAAACCCTGTTGTAGGGTCTACGGACGGGAGCCTTTAGCCCAGTCGGGGGCAGCACATCGTCCTTATATAGGGTTCGGGTTTAGGGTTTAGCGCTAAGGATTTAGGGTTTTTGGTTTAGGGTTTAGGGTTTAGGGTTTAGGGTTTAGGGTTTAGGGTTTAGGGTTTAGGGTTTAGGGTTTAGGGTTTAGGGTTTAGGGTTTAGGGTTTAGGGTTTAGGGTTTAGGGTTTAGGGTTTAGGGTTTAGGGTTCATCCAAGAAAATCAAGAGAAGTCATCCCCGACCGCAGGTTGCTGTCATGACGGTCCGAAGCCAGACGCCCTACTGACTGATCCCCATCCCAAAAAAATCAGATATGGGGGTTTCCGAAGTTAGGGTTTAGGGTTTAGGGTTTAGGGTTTAGGGTTTAGGGTTTAGGGTTTAGGGTTTAGGGTTTAGGGTTTAGGGTTTAGGGTTTAGGGTTTAGGGTTTAGGGTTTAGGGTTTAGGGTTTAGGGTTTAGGGTTTAGGGTTTAGGGTTTAGGGTTTAGGGTTTAGGGTTTAGGGTTTAGGGTTTAGGGTTTAGGGTTTAGGGTTTAGGGTTTAGGGTTTAGGGTTTTAGGGTTTTAGGGTTTTAGGGTTTAGGGCTTAGGGTTTAGGGTTTCCTTATGGGGGTCCTTATTCTAAGGGAAGCTTACTGTTGGGGGGGGACTATATTGGGGGTCCCCTAAGTTTTGTAAACCCCCGCATGACCGCGTGGAAGCCACATAGCATATTTCCAGGTGCTATCTTCGAGGTTGGTGTTACATAATCCCTTGGGTACCCCTTTTAAGGGCCCACACTAAGGCACCTTGTATCTATCCCTAAACCCTAAACCCTAAACCCTAAACCCTAAACCCTAAACCCTAAACCCTGAACCCTAAACCCTAAGATGGTTGGGTGAGGGGGATGCGGTAAACAAAAATGGTGGAGGGGGATGGAGCTCTGAACCCGATGACCCCTGCAAAAACCCTAAAGTCACCCCTTGGCCTAAACGCCAGTTGCGCCGGTTACTTTCAAAAGTAGCCCTAAACCCTAAACCCTAAACCCTAAACCCTAAACCCTAAACCCTAAACCCTGAACCCTATGTCATGAACCCTAAACCCTAAACCCTAAACATCCCCTATCCCGAATGAGGCGTTGGCCGAACTGCTTCGCTTGGCTTTGCGGGCCTGGACACCAAGCAGCTTAGTGTTTGGGACAGTGGGATTGCGCGGGATCCTTTCGGGTTTAGGGTCTGGGTTTAGGGTTTAGGGTTTAGGGGTTTAGGGTTTAGGGTTTAGGGTTTAGGGTTTAGGGTTTAGGGTTTAGGGTTTAGGGTTTAGGGTTTAGGGTTTAGGGTTTAGGGTTTAGGGGCTATAGGGTTTAGGGTCCATAGGGTTTAGGGTTTAGGGTCTATAGGGTTTAGGATTAGGGCTCTAGAGTTTAGAGGTTCCAGTCGGCCTTAAACCATAAAACTGAAATCCCAGACGCCCTGAAACTTGAACCCTAAACCCTAAACCCTAAACCCTAAACCCTAAACCGGAAACCCGACACTCTATGTAGGCTTTGTTGTGTCCGGGCTTCGAGGCAAGATGTGGGCCTGAATGACAGGGTCTAGGGTTTACGGGCTTAGGAGTTTAAGGGTTTAAGGGGGTTTTAGGGTTTAGGGTTTAGGGTTTGGGGTTTGGGGTTTGGGGTTTGGGGTTTAGGGTTTAGGGTTTAGGGTTTAGGGTTTAGGGTTTAGGGTTTAGGGTTTAGGGTTTAGGGTTTAGGGTTTAGGGTTTAGGGGTTTAGGGGTTTAGGGTTTAGGGTTCAGGGTTACAGCCCTAAAGAGCTCGAAGGCATAAGATCTTGTGAGCGTCCATACGACGAGCGCCTAGATCGAGGATGTCTGATCGAACACTAAACCCTAGACCCTAAGCCCAAAAACCCCAAACCTCAAACCTCAAACCCCAAATCTAAACCTCACCCTTCAAACCCAAAACCTTTACTGAAGCTGCTAGGCTCACGTGCTGTACAGGATGATGCTACTATGCTGCTACCAGGTGCAAGACGAAAGCTCTACTGCTGCAGGTCTCCTTGTGGGAAAAAAGCGGCTTAGGTTGGGATGAAAGAGCACTTCGAGAAACAGAAAGCCTGGAAACCCCTGTGCCCCCTCCCCCAAACCCTAAATCCTAAACCCTAAGTCCTAAGTCCTAAACCCGAAGATAGTGTGGCCGTGGGGTGCATCGGTAAGCACAATGATGCTCTCAGGTCGCGTCTCTACGAGCCTTGGACAAGGGCCTTCAAGGCAAAGACCCGATTCAGCTGTACAAGGGATGTAATTCGCCGCTTGTCCGCCTGATCTTATCTTGCCGTGTCTGGCCACTGAGTGGCTTCTGCGTAGTCCAACGCTGCAGGGCAACACTTTGGTGATGACTCTGCGCGTCCCGCATCCCTAAACCCTAAACCCTAAACCCTAAACCCTAAACCCTAAACCCTAAACCCTGTGCGCAACGCGGATCGGCACGCCTTGCGTGGGCAGCACGCTCAGTGTGCGGTCCATGCTTGGTACTGCCGCCGCAGGGATGAAAGATGCCAGTTTACCAGGTTCAAGCGCTTGGGGCACAAACCCTAAATCCCGAGCCCTTACCCCTAAACCCCAAACCCTCAACTCTGAACCCTAAACCCTAAACCCGAAACCCTAACCCTAAAACCCTAAACCCCAAACCCCAAGCCCCAAACCCCAAACAGCCAAGCAACCAAACAAACCTTCGAAATGGGGCCCTCGCAGATCGGGACCGTTTGCTTTTGCGCCGGTCCTTGGCGATTGCTCTGATTTAGGGGTATAAGGAGGGACCCTAGCAGGGACCCTTGAAATTATTCCCCTATACAATCCCCTATGTCTGTCTTATATGGCCCCTATATACCTAACTAGCCCAGAAATAACCCCTAAATAGCCTAAATAGCCCCTAAGGTCCCTTATAAGGGTCCCTCCTTTAGTCCCTTGATCTGAAGGTTAAGGGCTTTGGGCGCCTATGTAGGGTTTAGGGTTTAGGGTTTAGGGTTTAGGGTTTAGGGTTTAGGGTTTAGGGTTTAGGGTTTAGGGTTTAGGGTTTAGGCTTTAGGTTTAGGGTTTAGGGTTTAGGGTTTAGGGTTTAGGGTTTGGAGTGTAGGGTTTAGGGTCTGGTGTTTAGGGCCGAAGTGCACCCAGTGAGCCGCAAGATTCTGATGCTCAGCTAGGGAAATGGGAGGGGGGCCCGAACCCTCCCTCAACCAGCATGGGCTATTGGGCCTTATAGTCCACCTGACCAACCCCATAAAGGGCCTTTGGTTTAGGGTTTACGGTTTACGGTTTAGGGTTTGGGGTTTGGGGTTTAGGGTTTAGGGTTTAGGGTAGGGTATACTACGTAGCCCATGCAGGAATCTCCAGACCCGATAGCCTCCAACCTGGCCAGACGCGACGTGAAGCCTAAAAGCTCGGTTTAGGGTTTAGGGTTTAGGGTTTAGGGGTTTAGGGGTTTAGGGTTTAGGGTTTAGGGTTTAGGGGTTTAGGGGTTTAGGGGTTTAGGGTTTAGGGTTTAGGGTTTAGGGTTTAGGGTTTAGGGTTTAGGGTTTAGGGTTTAGGGGTTAGGGGTTTAGGGTTTAGGGTTTAGGGTTTAGGGTTTAGGCACCCAAAACCCTTAAGCTTCGGAGTAGTCTCCTAGGTACTGGTAACCATTCTCAGCAACTGTCGCTCTCAAAATTGCCAACCCTGCACAAGAACATCTTCCAGACCCTAAACCCTCGCAAAGCTCAAACTTCACCCCCCCCCCCCCCCCACCTCCTCCCCCCCAAAAAAAGAAAAGAAGTACCCCCTAAACCTTAAAACACTAAGCCCTAAACCTTAAAACGCTAAACCCTACACCTGAAACGCGAAACCCTAAACCCCCCAGAACAACCCGACACTCTGGCTTCAAGCCTGCAATGCTTATTGGGCCTAGGGTTTAGGGTTTAGGGTTCAGGGTTTAGGGTTTAGGGTTTAGGGGTTTGGGGTTTGGGGTCCCGGGCAGAGCTGGAGCGGCCCCGCCTGCCCTTGTGACGTTCCTGGGCTTCCCACGTTGGGGAGTTTAGGGTTTAGAGTTCACTGAGAGCCGAACTCGAATTGAGGGTTGAGGGTTGAGGGTTGAGGGTTGAGGGTTTTGGGTTGAGGGTTGAGGGTTGAGGGCTGAGGGCTGAGGGCTGAGGGCTGAGGGCTGAGGGCTGAGGGCTGAGGGCTGAGGGTTTAGGGGGTGCATAAGTATGTCCCTGCAAGATTGCACAAGCTTAGCCGCCCACATTGACCGAGTGGCACAACATATGGGGGGGGGTTCTCGAATGTAGGGCCCCTAAACCCTAAAACCTAAACCCCAAACCCTAGACCCTAAACCCTAAAAACTTGTTGGTTTACTGTCATAAGGTGGCCCCAAGTCAGTAGGGTACCCAAAGAGAGACCATGATTTTGAGAGATGACCACATGGGTTTAGGGTTTAGGGATAGGGTTTAGGGTTGAGGGTTTAGGGTTTAGGGTTTAGGGTTTAGGGCTTAGGGTTTAGGGTTCAGGGTTTAGGGTTTAGGACCTCCACATGAACCTCGCGTCTACACAACCCCAGCCCAACCTCAACTGCTCTTAGCCCCCTGTCCAATCTCGAACCTTGCAGGGTTTGTGGTTTAGGGTTTAGGGTTCGGGGTTTTATGGGTTTAGGGCCATGATGGTCCTGGCAACCCAAAACCCAAACCCTAAACCCTAAACCCTTAACCCTAAACCCTAAACCCTAAACCCTAAACCCTAAACCCGAAGCCCTAAACCCTAAACCCTAAACCCCAAACCCCAAACCCTAAACCCTCATGGCAGCATCTGGGAGTCTGGCCGACCGGGACCTTCTGTCATGCCGGCGCGCCTCAGAAATGGCAAACTTGCTATCACTATACTCTCCTTGGTAGCTCAGTTTCCATATTCGAACAAGGTTTAGGGGTTTAGGGGTTTAGGGTTTAGGGTTTAGGGTTTAGGGTTTCGGGTTTAGGGTTTAGGGTTTAGGGTTTAGGGATTGGGCCTTACGGTTTATCCTTATACTATGAGACTAGACAGTGCAGTCCCTTTTTGGGCGCTCCGGATGTCCTTAATGTCATTATACCTGCTAGGTCCTCCAACAGTTCCTCGTGCATGATGAGTGTACTTAGAAGGTCCCAATTTGAAGGGGAAAGGGATGTGTAAAATCAGGGCGAGGGTTTAGTGCTTAGGGAGGCCTGACGTACTGCTCCCCGGAGGGCGTTTTGATTTCCACAAGGGGCAGAGCTTCTACACAGAAGAATTCTGCAGAAAAGGTGTTCAGGTGAAAAGGATGTAGGACTGAAGGATTGAAAGTTAAACATGGAGAGCTTTTACGGAAGAAGGCTTCCCTTCTCCGACCGAGGAGAGGCTGAAGAGGTGAAGTTGTGAAGAGAGCTTGGGTGACAGGTTCGGAACACCATACATACACCTGCATGGCCCTTGCACCAACACCTCACCAGATATACTACAAGGCTCTCACACACATCTGTCACAACTCAACTTCTGCACCATGCACAACTCCTCACCTCGCCCTGGCCCATGCCCACACTCTGGGGATTTTCGAAAATAGGGGTACCCCTTATACAACATAATCCTCTTAAAGGAACCCAAAAAAGGGTACCTTCCCTGGACGTGATACTCCCCTCGTTGGCCGCTGGCACACACTGCTTCCTGAGAGATGTGCCGAGATGCACATGAGGAGAAGTGCGTAAAGTTTAAACTCTACCTAGACCGCAGCAGTAGATGTTTCTTTGATTGCCCTGCCTAGATGTGCTAGCATGCACAAAATGCGTCAGAAAGCAACAGAATGTAAACAGACATGTAATTGACAGAAATCATGCAAGAAGTCTTCAAAAACGCTAAAACCGTAAATTGAGATAGCCAACAACAAGGCGGCACAGGTGGGGCAGTTGGGGAAGACAGTCATATACCCCCGGGAACCCTAAACCCTAAAACCCTAAACCCTAAATCCTAAACCCTAAATCCTAAACCCTAAACCCTAAGCCTCCAAAGATTTTTGACCAAACCATGAGCCCAAAAGCCCCAACCACACCTTTGGAGGTTGGGGTGTTTAGGGTTTAGGGCTTAGGGTTTTCGAACCCGACAGAACCTGATAGAGCAATACCCTAAATTATCCCCAAATCCGAAGCCCAGCGGCAGGTGACTTTGCCTTCGCGCGCCCCTGCAGGTTTAGAGATTAGGGTTTGGGGTCTAGGGTGTAGGGTTTAGGGTTTAGGGTTTGGGGTTTAGGGTTTAGGGTTTAGGGTTTAGGGTTTAAGGTTTAGAGATTAGGGTTTGGGGTGTAGGATTGTGAGGCTTTTTCGGGGTTTGGCGCTTCGGCTTGTGGGGCTTAGGGTGGTTGGGTGCGCTCTGAAAGCTTGACACAAGGGGCCGTACTTCGGGATTATGTGAAGCCTACAATTGGACCCGAAGGGGGAATATAAGGGCCACATTAGGAGTATATTCAGGGGAACCTTTAGGGGTACAACCTTAGGGGTACGAGCCTTCATCCCTTGCCACGAGACCAAACCGACCATCTATACTTCTAAGCCCTGACTACGTACTCTATACGGACGAACTTCACCCTAAAACCCAAACCCTAAACCCTACAATCCTCACCCCAACCCTGAAACCCTAAACCCTAAAACCCTAAACCCTACAACCCTAAAAACCCTCAAGCCCTAAAGCCTCCAAAACCCCCCGGGCTCCCCCGCGACCCGCTGGACGGGATCCTTCAGTGACGGAAAGCAGATCGGCTGTCTCATGGAACGTTGGAATTTCTTTTATGATTATTATTATCATTATTATTATTATCATTATTATTACTATTATTATGATTATGATTAGAAATTTTTACTATTACTATTACTATTACTATTACTATTCCTATTACTAGTACTAGTACTATTACTATTACTACTACTATTACTAATACTATTACTATTACTATTACTATTACTATTACTATTACTATTACTATTACTATTACTATTACTATTACTATTATTTTTATTTTTCTTTCGTTTATTATTTTTATTATTATTATTATTGCTATATTTGTTTTTTGGGGGGGGTTGGGAGTGTTGGAGGGTTTATGGTTGAAGGTTTGAGGTTTAGTGTCTAGGGTTTAGAGGTTTAGGGTTTTAGGGTTTAGGATTTAGGGTTTGGGGGGGTCGCAAATCTGTGCACCTGACTCCAAATTCCCGCCTCGGGCTATTGTTGCAAGGGCTGGCAGGGCCAACCCCTAAACCCGACTGTAAACTGCGATTTCGGCCCAGTAGCTCTTGAAAACTCACTAGCTCTTGAAAACCCGAACCCCCAAACTCGTGGGCCTTAGGGTTCAGCTCTTTGGGTACAAATCAACCGAGGGGTGTTTCGTCCGGGGGGCTAGAAGGACATGATTTTACCCCTGGCTGTGGGTTTGGGGTTCTAGGGTGCCGTCCGCCACAAACACAAACCACAAACCCTAAACACTAAACCCTAAGCCCTAAGCCCTAAGCCCTAAGCCCTAAGCCCTAAACCTAAACCCTAAACCCTAAACCCTAAACCCTACACCCTAAACCCTAAACCCTAAACCCTAAACCCTAAACCCTACATGGCCGTCTCCACTGCCTTCGTGATCTTGATGGCAGCGTCCGCAGCAGCTTTCCTGCCGAAAGAGCCCATACTCCGGCTCACAGGTGTGTTCGTTTTAAGAGAAGCCCTAGGTCATAAGCCTAACCCTAAACCTTAAACCCTAAACCCCAAACCCTAAACCCTGGAGCCCAGGCCTTACCTGAGCTTCGGAACTCGGAAAGGTCCATATGCTGTCCGGGAGAAGCGCCGGGTTTCTTGCTGAGAGAGTTTGGGGTTTAGGGTTTAGGGTTTGGGGTTTGGGGTTTGGGGTTTGGGGTTTAGGGTTTGGGGTTTAGGGTTTGGGGTTTAGGGTTTAGGGACCTGCACAGGGCTTCTCAAACCTCGGAACCCTAAACCCTAAACAAACCTTGAAGCTGCGCTCAAGCTGTAGCATGGCAAGCGCGAGGAATTGGGAAGACCTCGAAACCCTAAACCCTAAACCCTAACCCTAAACCCTAAAACCCTAAACCGTAAACCCTAAACCCTAAAAGGGTTCATCATAGGGTTCACTATAATCCCTATTCAGGACTGTTGGTACAAGGGGGACATCCCAGGGCATGTAGTGCATAGGGCATACAGGGTATTATCGGGTGTATAGGGCATATACCCTAATCCCTAAACTCCAAGCCCTAAACCCTAAACCCCTAAACCCCTAAACCCCTAAACCCCTAAATCCTAAAACCTAAACCCTAAACCCTGTAGGCTACATAGGGTCGAAAAGGGTATGTAGAGCACACAGAGCATAGAGGGCATATAGGGCTTATAGGCACAAGGCCGCCTCTGCCACCATGGCCTGTGTCCCCTGAACCCCACTAAGCCCTGCCCAAAGGGTTTAGGGTTTCAGGGGGTTTAGGGTTTAGGGTTTAGGGTTCAGGATTGAGGGTTTAGGGTTTAGGGCTTAGGGCTTAGGGCTTGGAGTTTAGGGTTGACACCTTAAGCGCGAACCTCAAACCCAGGAGGTCCTGATCAATGCCCTGATAAACCTTTGCGCCCTTACCCTACACCCTAAACCTAACCCTAAACCCTAAACCCTAAACCCAAAACCCTAAACCCTAAACCCTCTGGCCCCATGGACCCTCTTCTCACTGGGCCTTTGCTTGGAAGAATCGCTCTCATCCTGGGTGACGGGAATTCCGCAGCTGCTCTTGCTTTCTCCCTAAATCCTTTCTTGCTACATATTCAATATAATATATATATATATATATATATATTTGTTTATTTATATTCATTTATATATATATATATCTCTCTCCCCGAAACCCTAAGCCCTCAACTCCAGAACCTGAACCCCACAGCCCAAACCCTAAATCCCCTTCAAGGACTTCATGGCTTCTTGTCTCTTGGCAGCGCAGTAGCCACCTTACCTGGGGGTTGGTTAGCTTATCAGGGAACCCAGAACCAAAACAAGAGTAGAGGGTACCACTGGTCTGCTAAGTGAAAGGACTTGGAGGTTTGGAGGTTCAGGGGGTGTGGCTTCTTCGTCGGCTTCAAAGTTCCATTATCTATGCTTGGGGTATAGGGTTTAGGGTGTAGGGTTTAGGGTTTAGGGTTTAGGGTTTAGGGTTTAGGGTTTAGGGTTTAGGGTTTAGGGTTTAGGGTTTAGGGTTTAGGGTTTAGGGTTTAGGGTTTGTGTAAAGCCCCAAGTCATCGAACTTCTCGTGAGGCCCTGCAAAGAGGCACTTTTGGGGCAAGTTGGGTGTGGGTGTAAGGGTTACGGCTCTGGGCTTTCTAGGGTTTAGGGCTCAGGGAGTTTTTAAGGTTTAGGGTCTAGATCCTCTCCCTAGGTCACTCTGACCCTACACCCTAAACCGTAAACTCTAAACCCTAAACCCTAACCAAAAAACAAATGTTTGGGGCTGAGCTGAACACCTAAACCCTTGGTGGATGACTAAGGCGATGGCCGAAGTGCTCGAAGAGGACCCCTGTCCAACCAGGTCATGCGGGTCAGGGGTTTAGGGTTTGGGGTTTCGGGTAACCCTAAGCCCTAAACCCTAAACCCTAAACCCTAAATCCTAAATTAGGGTTGCGAGCAGGCCCGTCGAGAAAAGTTGGAGCCCAAGGGCGTCCCGTCCTCCAGGGGCCTTGGGGGGGGGGGGGGGGGGCCCTTCAGGGGCTTGTACTCTTGGGCCTTTAGGCGGTTTGGGGTTTAGGGCTTAGGGTTTAGGGTTTAGGGCTTAGGGTTTAGGGTTTAGGGTTTAGGGTTTAGGGTTTAGGGTTTAGGGTTTAGGGTTTAGGGTTTAGGGTTTAGGGTTTAGGGTTTAGGGTTTAGGGTTAGGGTTTAGGGTTTAGGGTTTAGGGTTTAGGGTTTAGGGTTTAGGGTTTAGGGTTTAGGGTTTAGGGGGTTTAGGGGGTTTAGTGTTTAGGGTTTAGGGTTTAGGGTTTAGGGTTTAGGGTTTAGGGTTTAGGGTTTAGGGTTTAGGGTTTAGGGTTTAGGGTTTAGGGTTTGCAGTTAGGGTTTAGGTTGGAAAGATTTCTAGGATGAGTTGGCGCACACTATGAGACATCACAACAATGAAACTACCCAAACCCCATCACCTATTTGGTTGGCAGGTGCTGGGTGACGTGTTTATCAAAATCGCCGTTTAGGGGTCGGGGGCTTATCTAGACCCAGGAGCCACCGAGGAATAAGAAGGGTGCCTGTGTTTGGTTTAAAGGCGCTTGCAAGGGCACCTAAGCCCTAAACCCTAAATCCAAAACCCTAAACCTAAGCAAAAGGGGATCAGGGTACCCTGGCTCCAAACCCTAAAAGGGTTTAGGGTTTAGGGTTTAGGGTTTAGGGTTTAGGGTTTAGGGTTTAGGGTTTAGGGTTTAGGGTTTAGGGTTTAGGGTTTAGGGTTTGGGTTTGGGGTTTTTGGGGGGGGTTTGGGTTTAGGGTTTAGGGTTTAGGGGTTTAGGGGTTTAGGGGTTTAGGGGTTTAGGGGTTTAGGGGTTTAGGGGTTTAGGGGTTTAGGGGTTTAGGGGTTTAGGGGTTTAGGGTTTAGGGTTTAGGGGTTTAGGGGTTTAGGGGTTTAGGGGTTTAGGGGTTTAGGGGTTTAGGGGGTTAGGGTTTAGGGTTTAGGGTTTAGGGTTTAGGGTTTAGGGTTTAGGGGTACATGGAGCAGAGCCCTGAACCCTTCACACGACTCAGCGCCCCCTCCTCCTTCAACCCTAAAGCCCAAAACCCTAAAGTCCTCCAGACCCTAACCGTAGGCCACACCCCCCCTAAACCCTAAACCCTAGACCCTAAAGCCTAAACCCCAAACCCTAAACCTAAAACCCTCAACCAGTCCTACTAATTACGAGGCTGTGCTCTGGTAACCCCCCACCGGCCTTTGAAGCCTGCGCTGGCTTCTTCTTGGGAGCCTCATGGGGTTTCGGGATCATCATGTTGAGGGTTTTAGGGTTTAGGGTTTAGGGTTTAGGGTTTAGGGTTTAGGGTTTAGGGTTTAGGGTTTAGGGTTTAGGGTTTAGGGTTTAGGGTTTAGGGTTTAGGGTTTAGGGTTTAGGGTTTAGGGTTTAGGGTTTAGGGTTTCGGGTTAGGGTTTAGGGTTTAGGGTTTAGGGTTTAGGGTTTAGGGTTTAGGGTTTAGGGTTTAGGGTTTAGGGTTTAGGGTTTAGGGTTTAGGGTTTAGGGTTTAGGGTTTAGGGTTTAGGGTTTAGTTGAGGGATTTAGGGGTTGTAGGGGTTGTTGCAACCTTTTGAAAGGGGAATTTAAGGAAACCCTGAACCCTAAGCCCTAAACCCTCAACCCTAGACAACCAGAAGCCCTAGCCTCAACTACTCGAGAAGCTTTCATGGGTTTCTGAAGTCTTTATCATCTTTTGTGGGGTTCGCCGTTCAGGCCTTCATTAACCTTCATCTAGGCCTTTCTGGGAAACCTATAAGCGTATAAGCAAAGCTTTCGGCATGTATTTAGCCTTTGGACATGTATCTGCCCCCAAAAAGCCCTACGCTGACAGCCTCAATCCTTTAAAGCCTTTGCAAACCCTAAAACCGTTGAAAGAAGGTACACAAAAAAAAACCTGAAAAGCCCAAAAGCCCCCCAAAACCCAAAGCGCCGCTCGGAGGCCTCTTTGGCCGGCTGCTTTGGCTGTGAGGCCTCGCGTCCCGGTGCGCTATGGTGGTTTAGGGGCTGGGGTTTTAGGGTCTGAGGGGCTTGAGGGGGGTTCGGGGTTTAGGGGTTTTGGTGGCCCAGGTTTTTGGGTATAGGGGTGTTAGAGTCATGTTTAGAGTTATGGGAACGTTTAGGGGTTTAGGGCCTGTTCGCTCCAGCCCGCCAACTACAAGGCGAAAGAGTTCGCAAACCAGGCAATGCCGCCTCTTCCGCTCAGAGAAAAAGAAACCCTCGAGCCACTCGTCGATGTACTAACCCTAAACCCTAAACCCTAAACCCGACACCCTAAACCCAAGCTGGAGCTCCACCCGTTCACGCTGGAAGCGCTGGCTCGCGTCCACCCTCACGTGTTGGTCTGAGTCTGGTCCAACGTCTTCTTGGACTTAGGGTTTAGGGTTTAGGGTTCAGGGTTTAGGGTTTAGGGTTTAGGGCTTAGGGTTTAGGGTTTAGGGTTTAGGGTTTAGGCTTTAGGGTTTAGGGTTTAGGGTTTAGGGTTTAGGGTTCAGGGTTTAGGGTTTAGGGCTTAGGGCTTAGGGCTTAGGGCTTAGGGTTTAGGGTTTAGGGTTTAGGGTTTGGGGTTTAGGGCTTAGGGCCTTAGGGTTTGGGGTTTAGGGTTTGGGGTTTTGGGTTTAGGGTTTAGGGTTTAGGGTTTAGGGTTTAGGGTTTGCCATGCTAGTGCGCCTAGACCCCCCCATAAAGTGGAAGGGGGGTCGGCGCAGTAGCCGAAGTCCCACCCTCCCAACCCAAATTACAAACCTTGGCCGGGTTTAGGGTCATATCTACCCCCCAACCCCCCTAGCAAGGGGGGAGCACATTTCAGGCCACAACCCTTAATTTAGGGTCCAAATCCTTAATTTTGGAATGCCCTGGAATCGGGGGGGGGGAGGGGCTTCCCTACGAATGACCGTTCCAACCCTTAATTTAGGGTCCAAATCCTTAATTTTGGAATGCCCTGGAATCGGGGGGGGGGGGGGGGGGGGGGGCTTCCCTACGAATGACCGTTACAAGCCTCAAAGCCCCTTGCGGGCCGTAAGGCCCTTTACGGGGCGAAGGCCTTGAACCCTAAACCCTGAAGGCCCTAAACCCTAAACCCTAAAGCCCCTGAATCCTAAACTCTAAAGGCCTTGAACCCTAAACCCTAAAGGCCCTGAATCCTAAATCCTAAACCCTAAAGGCCCTCAATCCTAAACCTTCAAGGCCCTGAATCCTAAACCCTAAAGGCCCTGAATCCTAAACTCTAAAGGCCCTGGCCCAGGATTTGGCCGGACCCGTAGTAAAAATGCGATTTTTTAATATTGAAAAACGATGGTTTTGGGTGAACCTCCGTTTTCCAAAAAAAATCTAAATCCCAACTGAACTGGCGGGATGCTCTGGCGGGGGTGCTCTGGCGGGGGTGCTTTGGTGGGGGTGCTCTGGCGGGGGACCCCTAAATTTAAGCCCCGACCCAAATTTCAAAAGGATGGCAAGCCCCCTCGGCATCCAAGGGCCCTGGGTTTAGGGCTATCATTATATTGATTAACGGGAGTGGCCTTTTCGATTGCCACGTGGACCTTCCGGTCCAAGGACCTACTGCTCGCCTTCCTGCCTTCCCCTACTGTCCGCAGGCGCCTGCTGCGACCGGCCCCTTGCCTGAAGGGGGGCCGATCTTCAGTTTAGGGTTTAGGGTTTAGGGTTTAGGGTTTAGGGTTTAGGGTTTAGGGTTTAGGGTTTAGGGTTTAGGGTTTAGGGCTTAGGGTTTAGGGTTTAGGGTTCAGGGTTTAGGGTTTAGGGTTTAGGGTTTAGGGATTATAATTTGGGATGTTACCTCTTATACTAACGTTCGTAAACGGGATTATAGTGGGGGGTGCTAAAATCCCGATTAAGGACTATTAGCCTATAAGCAAACCTCTAGACATTCATTTACCTTACGAGACCCGTATGAAACAACAAATCCTGTGAACCCTAGGTAAACCCCCGTACAAGGCCCCAAAAGCCCCAAAGCCCCCAAAACCCCTAAAAACCCCAAACGCTGCTCGGAGGCATCTTTGGCCGGCTGCTTTGGCTGTGAGGCCTCGCGTTCCGGCGCGCTGAGGTTGCAGTCTGACGGTTTAGGGGTCTAGGACCCTAAACCCTAAACCCTGAACCCCCTTGTAGGGGTTCGGGGGTGATAGGGGGGTTTAGGGGTTCAGGGCTCTTGGGGGAGCTTGTCTAGGGCCTAACCCTAACCCCAACTATGTCACCCAGAAGTTCCTGTGGCCGGCCAATCCGGCAAGTTCCAAAGGCTTGTGGGCTTTTCTGGGGTCTAGGGTTTACTTAAACCCTAAACCCTAAACTTTGGGGTCTATAGGGTCTAGGGCTTCATGCAACTTCCTAGGCCTTTCTATATGGTCACTTCTCTAAATTATGGTGCCTTCTGGGGCACCCTAAACCCGAAACCTAAACCCTAAACCCTAAGCCCTTAACATAAGGACCCCAGAAAGGGACCGGAATTCAGAGAAGAGATCATATAGGCCCTGAAGAACCCTGGTAAACCCTGCAAAAGCAAGCCTTGAGACATCGATTTCGAAGCCCTATACTGTCAGATAAACCCTACGTAAAGCCCCCGTGTCAACCCGAAGCCCCCCCAAACCCCCAAACACCTCCAAAACCGGAGATAAACCCGCAAAACAGCCCTAAAAAAACCCTCCAAGCAACCCACAAGCCCTCAAAACCCCAGACCCCAAAGCCCTAAACAAAAACAAACCAAAAAGCCCTCAAAACTCCGAAAGCCCCTAAAAGCCCCAACATAGGGGCCTTAATGAGTAGAATATCGTTTGTATAACTACAAAGGGACCATAAGGGAATACTAGTAGTGTTCCCTACCTTGGAGTAGACCCTGGAAGAAAGCATATGCTTTTTGGGTACAAGTAGCTAGAATAGGAACCCAGAACCAAAAATAAGTATTAAAGTAGAGTACTCGAGAACCCAGTATTCCAACCCCGAAATTAAACGCAGCGCGGAGGCTTGGTCGTCTGGCTGCTTTGGCTGCGAAGCCTCGCGTTCCGGCGCGCTGAGGCTGCCGGTATGAAAGTTTCGGGGGTCCAGGACCCTCAACCCTAAACCCTAAACCATAAACCCTAAACCCTAGGGCTTCGTTTAGCGGGCTGAGGCGGAAAGGGGCTTGCTTGAAGCTGAGGGCCCATCAGTCGTGGGTTAGGATTTATGGTTTAGGGCATAGGATTTAGGGTTTGGCCTCTGTACACAACTGCACATACTGTCCCAAACCCTAAAACCCTAAACTCTTGTTTCCCTAAACCCTAAAGCCCTCTAAAACCCTCTAAAACCCTCCGAAACCCTCTAAAACCCCCTAAAAACCCTCTAAAACCCTCCAAAACCCTCTACCACCCTTAAAAACCCTTAAAAACCCCTAAAACCGCAAAGTGGACTCCCCCCAAGGCTGCCCATGGCCTTCCCCTTCGCCTTCTTCTTGCTCTCGGCCTTCGAAAACTGGGGTTCGGGTCCCATTTAAATCTCAGGGCTCAGGGCTTCGGGCTTCGGGCTTCGGGCTTCGGGCTAAGGCTTGTAGAGGAACTTGGGCTTAGGGCGGAGGGTCTACGGTTTGGGGCTCTTCAATGATACAAGGTCGGGAGAAGTTTCGGCCAAGAGGCTGAGGTTGATCTAGGGACATGTGTAAGCTCGCGCCATGCACTATGCAGCTGACCACACCACAGCTTGTTTTAGAAGTTAGGGGCTTTGTGCTTTAGGGTTCTTTGGGTTTAGGGCTTAGGGTTTAGGGTTTAGGGTTTAGGGTTTAGAGTTTAGGGTTTAGGCTTTAGGGTTCTTTGGGTTTAGGGCTTAGGGCTGGTTTCGGGTTGAGAGCACTGCGGCGGCACCCGGAAAGGACTACTCACCGGTACTTATACAACACGCGTCTCAATATTCACCTCGGACCACGTGGGCGTCAGAGGCTTGCATTGAGACTGCTTGGTTTCCCCGCCTCGAATCCGTTAGGGTTTGGGGTTTCGGGTTTCGGTTCAGGGTTCAGGGTTCAGGCTTCAGGGTTTAGAGTTTAGGGTTTAGGGTTTAGGGTTTCGGGTTTCGGGTTTAGGGTCTAGGAGTCTAGGGAACCCCAACCCCCTCCACCCCCCTTTTCAAGCCCCGAAACTCCAAGCCCTAATCTCCCAAACCCTGAAATTCCAAACTCCTAAACACGAAGCCCAAAACTCCTAAAGGTCCTAAACTCCCCTAAACCCCCAAACTCCCCAACTCCCAGAGTCATAAGCCCTAAGCTCCTACACCCCAAAATAAACGCGAACCCTGGGTCAAACAGTCCCTCAACAAACCCTAAACCCTTAACCCGAAACCCTCAACCCTAAACCCTAAACCCGAAACCCAAAACCCTAAACCCGAAACTCCAAACCCTAAACCCAAATCCTCCCTCATTGTCATGTTTGGGTGCGTGAGGAGGCTAGCTAAACCCTAAACCCTAAACGCGAAACCCTAAACCCTAAACCCTAAACCCTAAACCCTAAACCCTAAACCCTAAACCCTAAACCCTTTGTACCCAAAACCCAAAACATCTAACAACGGATGAAACTTGAACTCCTAAACCCTTCCGCGTGCCTTCTTCGCGTCCAGCTTACCTTTCAGATCAGCAAGGGCTGCCTTCTGTACCGTCTGCTCCAGTATCTTGCCAGGAGATGCTGGGAGAGGGCGGAGCTTGGTCTGGGTTTAGGGTTTAGGGTTTAGGGTTTAGGGTTTAGGGTTGAGGGTTGAGGGTTGAGGGTTTAGGGCCTAGGGTTTAGGGTGTCGAGTGTAGGGTATAGGGTTGAGGGTGGGACGTCTCGCCTGGCAGTGGCAGTACGTAAATGCCATGTGGAAATGGCGCCACACCCAGGGTTGTGGGGGGAGGGGGGGGGGGGGGGCGGCGGCCTGTCTCGTGAAGGCACATTTGGTGCGAAGTTACTTTTCCCAGGCCACCATCGCCCTGTTTTCCCACCATCAGGCAGGGGCCTCACTAGGGGGTAATTACCTTACAGGTGGTGCGATTTTTGGCTGTGGGGGCGTAACCCCCCCCCCACGCCCCCCATGCAAAACACCACCACAGGATTTGGTACTCGGCTTTAGGGCATTCTCTTCTTGAGAGGATCGTTCCCCCGTGTACATAAGGCACCACTCCAGTGGTCCTGAAGCAAGCCACAGCCGTAGGGGCTGAACTCCACCACTCTCCAAAGGACCCAGGCCGGGTAGCAACTGAGGGTATAAGGCAAAGGCTGCACGGAACATACTTTTCCTGGCCCGATCCTACCCTCTCCCTCTCCGGGAATGATTTCCATCCCAAAGGCTTCATGGAGAGGAGGGGGGCAGGAAAGCGGAGGGGATCTTTGAGAGGGACCCCGAATTGTTGGAAACCCATAAGGGGATGGGACCTCCCTCAAAAAAGGAGCGACCAAGGATACCTCCGTCCCCGAGCCCTGGACAAACCTCAACCCTGAACCCCTAAAACCCTAAACCCTGCACCCTAAACCCTAAACCCCTAAATGAACTCCTTTACATCGCCGCTCGACCTTCTTGCTCTGGGGTCCAGGCCTTTTAGGGCTTATGGCTTGGGAATAGGGTGGGAATAGGGTTTAGGGTGGGTGGAAATAGAGTTTAGGGTTTGGGGGGTTTAGGGTGTTTTCGGGGCCCTAAACCCTAAACCCTAAACCCTAAACCCTAAACCCTAAACCCTAAACCCTAAACCCTAAACCCTAAACCCAAGGCTCCATGGCTCACGGGACGGCGCCTGCGTTGGCGCCTTCTTCGCTGATTCCCGAACGCTCTCCTGAGCCGGCTTGGCTTCACGAGCCGGTGCATCGCCAGGCTCTTGCTTCATCTCAGCCTGCTTCCTTAGTTTAGGGTTTAGGGTTTAGGGTTTAGGGGTTTAGGGGTTTAGGGTTTAGGGTTTAGGGTTTAGGGTTTAGGGTTTAGGGTTTCGGGTTTCGGGTTTAGGGTTTGGGGTTTAGGGTTTAGGGTTTAGGGTTTAGGGTTTGGGGTTGAGGGTTTAGGGTTTAGGGCTTAGGGCTTAGGGTTTAGGGTTTAGGGTTTAGGGTTTAGGGTTCCTTAGCTGCTCGTGGACAACCGCGGTTTGGGGCTTAGGGCGAAGGCCTTACAGGTGCTGTTCGCGGGTCCCTAAGCCAAACAGAAATAGCCAACGAAGCATCGGAAGTCTGCTCAAGGAAAGGCCGAGCTTCTTCTTCTTTTTCTGGCCTTCCTTGTTCTTCTTGGCCTCTGCGTCGTGCCGAAGCAACATCGGATGTGTGCAAACGAGCCATGAAAATTTGAGGTTTGCAGGGCTCAGGGCACAAAATTCCTCGGTGCGAACTGACATGGGGGTTTCCGAAAATCGGGGGGGGGGGGGTATAGATCCTTCTAGGGGGATCCCTTTAAGAGATTTTCTTTCTATTTGGGGTAGAAAAGGGGTGCTCCTATTTTGGGAAATAGCCACAGCCGCACGAGCTGCCTGTGCTCCTGTGCTTGCCAGGCAGGAAGGCCAGAAGCCCTATAAGCCCGAGACCCGAAGATGAAACTTGAAAGAGTGGGGGCGTGCGGCTCACCCTAAACCCTAAACCCGAAACCCGAAAAACCAAACCTAAACCCTAAACCAAGCTGCTTTAGGGTTGGGCACTGGGGGGGGGGGGGGGGGTTCTGGTCCGACGAAAGCCTGATGGGCGTAAGAGATCAACGCCCTTTTGAAGGTTGAGCGCTAACCGGCCCTAAACCCTAAACCCTAAACCCTAAACCCTAAACCCGGCAACTTAGGGTGGTCCATATACCCTAGTAGGGTTTCGAGGCTTGGGCAGGCTTCGGGTGCGTAGGGTAGATGATCACAATGGTTCCTTGGCTTGTGCTATGATATAACTTAGGGTTTAGGGTTTAGGGTTTAGGGTGTAGGGTTCAGGGTTGAGGGTTAAGGGTTTAGGGTTTAGGGTTTTCTTGTTTAGGGTTTAGGGTTTAGGGCTTAGGGTGTTGGTTTAGGGTTTAGGGTTGTGGAGAGCCCCACACCCTGCCCCCCATCCCAGCAACTTTGCCTCATGCTCCTGCCTGTGTTCGAAGGCGCCGTTGAGGATCATCTCTTGATTCTGCCAGAATGCAAGCTTCGGGGCTTCGTGGATGGACTCTGCTAATCCCTAAACCCTAAACCCTAAACCCTAAACCCTAAACCCTAAACCCTAAACAATTTCTTCTTGGGGTGGGGGGGGGGAGGTTGGGGTCTAAGACCGACTCAGGGTTGCAGGGCTGTTCTTGGACGAAGGCCGATTGAGGGTTTCAGGGAACTTCGAACTCAGGATGGTTGATAAACCCGGAACCACAAATAAACACCAAAACCCTAAACCCTAAACCCTAAACCCTAAACCCTAAATCCCAAACAACCCATGGGGTTGAAGGTTGCGGACCTTCTACAGGCCCCTCATTGGGCCCCTTAAACTTTCCACGCCCCCCCCCCCCCCCCCATGGAATGAACTCTAAACGCTAAACCTAAACCCTGAACCCTAAACCCTAAACCCTCAACCCTAAACCCTAAACCCATGGAACGCTGTGGACCCCTACACCCTACGCCCCCTATACACAATGTGGGCCTCCCACGCGCCCCCCGCGACACCTGCTCTGCGCTAGTCAGCGATCTCACGCTATCTATGTAGATGATGTTCCCAGGAACCTTCCATTTTGGGGAGTCCTTGACCCTCAAAGCCAACTGGTTTAGGGTCTAGACCCCCAAGGCTTAGAGGGAATCTGGGGGTTTGGGGTTTAGGGTTGAGGGCTTGAGTGAGAGAGGGGCTAGGGTCCGTGGCGGTAGGGTTCTCGATGGCGTTTCACATTCGGATTGAAGAGGGTTTCAAGGTTTTGTGGCTCGTTGTTGCGGGGTTCGCGTCTCGGACTATTTCGCTATAGAGACATAAACCCTAAGGCCCGAACGAAGCCCGAAAAGCCAAAAACAAACAAAAACGAAAACCCTCAAGATTCTAAGGGTAGTTCATGGGCCCTTTATATGGTCCCTAACCTCAAAGGGTTCTGATGTATGGGCCCTTACTTTGTATAGGGTATACAGGAGGGCCCATACTAAGGGGCCACGTAACTACCCTTAAGATAAACCCCCTACCCTAAACCCTAAACCCTAAACCCTAAACCCCAAACCCCAAAGGGGCGAAGGCCTTCACCTTTGCAGTCGCCTTCTCATCTGCGTGCTTCTTCCGGGTCTTGGCAGCATTTGTCGGCTCGAATCCGCTCTTCTTAGGGGTTCTGAGGGTCATGGCGAAACTCTCTTACGCCTAAAGCCCACAGACCCCAACGGGCTCTTAGGGTTTCTAGGGCTTTGAGGGCATCGGGTTTTTAGGGGTTTTTTGGGCTGAGGGTCTAGGGTTTGGGATTTGTAGGGTATACGTGTAGGGTTGAGGGTCGAGGGTTTAGGGCGTCGATGGTCCGGGACAAGGGCTACAGAATTTCGAGGGCCCCACCTAGATGCCCATGAAGCCAGAAAAAGCTGGATGAACAAAATAGCCCTAAACCCAAACCCTAACCCCTAAACCCTAGACCCTAAACCTTGAACCCCGAACCCTAAACCCCGAAACCCTAAACCCTGAGCCCTGAACCCTAAGCACTTCATTCACCACAACAGTAACAACAAAGTGGCCCAAGCACATTCAAAATCCTAAACCCTAAGCCCCAAACCCTAAACCCTAAACCCTAAACCCTAAAGCCTAAACCCTAAACCCTAAACCCTGAGCCCGTCTGATCTGAAGCGCCCCGGCGTCCCACTGCAACTTGCGGAGGGCCTCAGGGTCGAGCTGCAAGGGGCTTAGGGTTTAGGGTTTGGGGTTTAGGGTTGAGAGTTTAGGGTTTAGGTTTAGGGTTTAGGGTTTAGGGTTTAGAGTTTAGGGTTGATCTGGAGTCTGCGGGCGAGGGTTTGCGGCGCAGGGGTTAAGTTAAAGGCCAGGCCCACAACTCCCTACTTAGAAGAAGCAGCACGCCCCAACAGCCCCGTGTGGGTAGGGAGTGGAACCCTAAACCCTAAACCCTAAACCCTAAACCCTAAACCGCCAGGGGTTTAGGGGTTCGGGAGCGAGCAGTGGCCAGGTTTACACCCCCTGAACCCAAGGCGGTGCCCTGGGGAACCCCTCAATCCGAAAAGTCCAAACTCTTGAGCCCTACATGCGACCTCTCCTTTCCCCCCTAATGAAACCCTGCACCCTAAACCCTAAACCCTAAACCCTAAACCCTAAACCCCTGGAACTCTAAACCTAAACCCTAAACCCTAAACCCTAAACCCTAGACCCTAAACCCTAAACCCTAAACCCTAAACCCTAAACCCTACAACAAGAAAGCACGCTCCGACTGCCCACCTCCCCTTCTTTCCTCCGCTCCTGCGGTCCGCCGGCCGGCCGGGGAGGTGGGTTTGGGGATCACGGTTTAGGGGTTTAGGGGTTTAGGGGTTTCGGTTTTAGGGGCTTAGGGTTTACGGTTTAGGGGCTTAGGGGTTTAGGGGTTTAGGGTTTAGGGTGTCAAGCTTAGGGTTTGGAGTTTGGGGTTTGGGGTTTAGGATTTGGAGCTCAAACTCTGCTTGGCCCCTCCACAACACGTACACATGCACTGTACAGTGCTCTGTCGGCGGAGTCTCCTCGTCATGGCGCTGCCGATCAGCCTGTTCAGGCCGACAAAACCCTAAACCCTAAACTCCTAAACCCCAAAACCCTAAACCCAAAATCCTGCGCGGTTGATACTGTCTGGCAGCCAAATCTTACATCAAGCATCCGCGACCTAAGTCGGTTCAGGGTTTTGGGTTTAAGGTTCACGGTTTAGGGGAATAGGGGAATAGGGTTTAGGGGTTTAGGGGTTTAGGGGGGGCTCGTCTTGGCGCTTCCGCTGAGCCTGTTCGCGTCCCATCCGCTTGGGTCTGAGCGCGCTGAGATCTCAGCGCACTTGACTCCGAACCCCCCAAAGCACAATGGCCAGGCGAAATCTGCAACTGTGTCCTATGGGCTCAAGAGTTGTCAACACATCATCTCAGAAATATGCAATGTGGGGCATTTCCCACAATGGGGGGGGGGGGGGGGTACCCCTTTTACACCCCAAACAGACTAAAATCCCCTTAAGGGGATCCCCAAAAACGGTAACCCTAAACCTTAAACCCTAAACCCTAAACCCTGAACCCTAAACCCTAAACCCTGAACCCTAAACCCTAAACCCTAAACCCTAAACCCCGATTTTCGGAAAGCCCATTTTGGGCGCTCTCTCGGCAGCGCCTCTTCGCGGCGCTTCCGTTCGGCCTGCCAGGTCTTTGGTCTTTGATCGTTTCTTGCCCAGCTCGAACCAGAAACTCCGTAAGGGGTTTAGGGTTCAGGGTTTAGGGTTTAGGGTTTAGGGTTTGGGGTTTAGGGTTTAGGGTTTAGGGTTTAGGGTTTAGGGTTTAGGGTGGAGGGTTTAGGGTTTAGGGTGGAGGGTTGAGGGTTGAGGGTTGAAGGGTTGAGGGTTGAGGGTTGAGGGTTGAGGGTTCAGGGTTCAGGGTTCAGGGTTTAGGGTTTAGGGTTGGGGGTTGGTTGGGGGTTTAGGGTTTAGGGTTCAGGGTGCAATTTCAATTTGAAACCAGGCAATGCTGCATGCAAGAAAGAAACCCCCAACACCTAGTCACACATCAAGCATCTGCGGCCTAAATCACAAAAACATCCTCGGACGCTCTGCCAGCCTCCTCTTCTTGGCGCTTCCGCTCAGCCTGTCAACGTTCACACGTTGCCGGAAGAAAGATGATAGTGGAACACGCCTGGGTGTGAGAGCTTTTAGATCTCTGGCACACTTGAATTCCGTGCCAACGAGTGCGGCCAAAGACGATTCACCGATTTAAGCGTCGGTTTGAAAACCCTACACCCTAAACCCTAAACCCGAAACCCGACACCCATTTCGTGCTCCGCAGCCCGGCAAGAGAAGTCCTATCCATCCTCAGACGTCACAAAATCGTGCAGGTCTGAATGCTACTGGTATGTCAATCCAATCAAAATCATGATTTGGGGGGGGGGGGGGGGGGTATTTGGTTCAAATCATGAAAGGCATTGTGCAACTTGTCCCCAACAGGCGAAGGGCTGGGTTTCTCTCTCTAGAGGTGGGGGGCCTGCGCGAGACTCCGCAGCCCCACAACGGAACGGAACGGGTTCTCCCTACTTTGGAGTAGACCCGGGAAAAAAGGGAATAGACTTTTTAGGTATAAGTACTATAAACGGAACCCAGAACCAAAAAAAACGTGTTAAAGTATAGTACTCCACAACCCAGGGTTAGAGGAGCCAGAAAAGAGAAGCACCGGAGCGGGACCCCGGCCGGAACGCGGTTGAGGATTTAGGGTTTAGGGTTTAGGGTTTAGGGTTTAGGGTTTAGGGTTTAGGGTTTAGGGTTTAGGGTTTAGGGTTTAGGGTTTAGGGTTTAGGGTTTAGGGCTTAGGGCTTAGGGCTTAGGGTTTAGGCTTTCGGGCGTTTAGAAGAATGAATAATAATTTGCTTTCGGGTTCGTATTGAGATCACTAAACCCTAGACTCTAAACCCTAAACCCTAAACCCTAAACCCTAAACCCTCAACCCTAAACCCTAAACCCTAAACCCTAAACCCCTAACATATCATGGCAAAGAAAGGACGAGTGATATCGGGACTTAGCCTCGTTGCAAATCTGGAGACTTGCCAATGAGTAGAAAACAAATGCGGCTCAATAGGGTTTGGGGTTTAGGGTTACTTTAGGGTTTAGGGTTTGGGGTGTAGGGTTTAGGGTTTAGGGTTTAGGGTTTAGGGTTTAGGGTTTAGGGTTTAGGGTTTAGGGTTTAGGGTTGAGAGTTTGGGGCTTCCAATGAGGCTGTCAGATTTGGTCTTCGACCAGCTTTATCAAGCTAACAGCAGTGCAAACCGAACGTACAAGCAATGCTATCTGCACATAGGAAGCCCTCAACACCTAGTCATCATACATCAAGCACGTGCGACATAAACAAAGTTTAAGAAAATCTTCAAACGCTCTGCCGGCCTCCTCTTCTTGGCGCTTGGTCTGCCGCTCAGCCTGTCAACGTCCACACGTCGCCGAAAGAAAGATGATAAAGGCATGCGCTTGGGCCCGAGAGCCTATAGAGACTATAGAGCTCCATCCCACAAAGCGCAATGACTATATATGACCATGCCAAAGCAGATCTTCGGACACTCTGTCGGCAGAGCCTCTTCACGGCGCTTCCGTTCTGCCTGCCAGATAGGTTTTCAGGACTTTGGTCATTGGTCTTTGATCGACTTTACCCAGTTCGATCCAAAAACTCTATAAACCAATTCAACGACCAGGCCGTGCTACCCGCACAAACCTGAAAACATCTTCGGACGCTCTGTCGGCCTCCTCTTTTTGGCGCTTCCGCTCAGCCTGTCAATGTTCACACGTCGCCGAAAGAAGATGATAAAGGCATGCGCTTGAGCCAGAAAACCTATAGAGCTCTGGATATTTGAATTGGACAGCGCCCTGTTTCACGTGCTGACCCCGCTTTGTCTTATGCTGCTTGCCTTCGCGATTTTGCACCACGCTTTTTGTTCTGCCCTTCCGGCCCCCGTTATGCTGAGGGTATGTTCTGTTAAGCTGAAGGTGTTTCTGTTTATGCTGCCCAGTTTCTCCTGCTATGCCTGGTTCTGAGTCTGGGGCCTACCTTGAGCCACCAGCATAACAACCTGTACGGCCTAGGGCTTTGGGAACTTCTCCCCGGGCACAAGGGCCTATACCTGGACCTATACCCAAGGCGTACAAAAATGGTTTGGCTGGGGCTTGGCTTGGGTTCGGATTTGTCATGCAGTGAAGGGAGTGGGTGGGCTCAGCCCAGCCTCTTCCCCCCCCCCTTTGCCATCTCACCAAGTGCTGGTGGGTTCAGACATCTTAGAATCTTGTTTGTGAAGCGAGAGGGATATGCTATGCTAATGAAAAGACACGGCTTGGTGGGTTGGCTGGGATTAGCTGATGCCTGTCGCACTCGTGCCTATTGTGATTTATGGGCTCAACCCGTGTCAACACGTGATCGCAGAAGTGCCCAAGCAGATCTTCGGACACTCGCTTGGCGGCCTCTTCTTGCCGCTTGCGTTCTGCCTGCCAGGTCTTTGTTCGAGCCCATCGACTCTACCCAGCGATCCAAAAACTCCGCAAACCCGATCGTGCCCATATGGTGCATCGAACAGAGTTTAACGACCAGGCAGCGCTGCCCACACCAACCTTAAAGCAACTTCGGACGCTCCGCCGGCCTCCTCTTGTTGGCGCTCCCGCTCGCGCTCAGCCTGTCAACGTCCACGCAGCTGAAGAAAAGATGATCAAAGCATGCGATTGGGCCTGACAGCCTACAAAGCTCTTTTCTGGACGTGACAGAGCGCAATGACCAGGCGAAATCTACAACCGTGCAGAAGTATGCAGCATGCCCAAGCAGATCTTCGGACACTCTGTCGGCAGAGCCTCTTCACGGCGCTTCCGTTCTGCCTGCCAGATAGGTTTTCAGGACTTTGGTCATTGGTCTTTGATCGACTTTACCCAGTTCGATCCAAAAAACTCTATAAACCAATTCAACGACCAGGCCGTGCTACCCGCACAAACCTGAAAACATCTTCGGACGCTCTGCCGGCCTCCTCTTTTTGGCGCTTCAACTGGCGCTCAGCCTGTCAACGTCCACACGGCGGAAAGAAAGATGATAAAGGCATGCCCTTGGGCCTGAGAGCCTAGGGAGCACGAAGCGCGATGACCAGGCGAAATCGACAACTGCGCATTGTGGGCTCAACAAGTGTCAACACATTATCGCAGAACCCTAAACCCTAAACCCTAAACCCTAAACCCTAAACCCTAAATATGCAAAATCAGATCAAGGACGCTCTCTCGCCGGAGCCTCTTCACAGAGCTTCCGTTCAGCCTGCCAGGTCTTTGTTCACGCGTTTGGTCTTCGATCGAGTTCACAAGCTCCGGAAACCCAATCTAACGACCAGGCAATGCTACACGCACAAAGGAAACCCCCAACACCCAGTCACACGTCATCCGAGACCCACGTCACACAAAAGAACATTTTCTGACACCCTGCCAGCCTCCTCTTCTTGGCGCTTCCGCTCAGCCTGTCAATGTCCATAATACCAAGAGCTAAACCCAAGAGTAACCTAGGAATGAAACGGGTGTCCAGTTTGGATTTAAGGCGTTTCATTAGGGATGTTCCCCCTTCTACTAGCAGGCGTTCATAGCAATTAGAATAGGGGGGGTACTTTCGTCCCTATTCAGGACTGTTAGTATAAGGGAGAAGATCCCAAATTATAATCCCTAAACCCTAAACCCTAACCCCTAAACCCTAAACCCTAGACCCTAAACCCTAAACTCTAAACCCTAGACCCTAAACCCTAAACCCTAACCCCTAAACCCTAAACCCTAAACCCTCAAAAAAGCTTCAGAAGAGAACCTAAACCCTAAAAAATGGGGACGAGGGCCTACTCTGGGTCCTAAAAAGAGGTCAAGTCGTTCGAGTCCCTGGCTCTTGGCCCTGAATTGTGCGGTTTAGGGCTTAGGGTTTAGGGTTTAGGGTTTAGGGTTTAGGGTTTAGGGTTTAGGGTTTAGGGTTTAGGGTTTAGGGTCTAGGGTCTAGGGTCTAGGGTCTAGGGTCTATAGGGTTTAGGGTTCAGGGTCTATAGGGTTTAGGGTTTCGGGTTTAGGGTTTAGGGTTTAGGGCTTAGGGTTAACAGGGCAAGCGCCCTAGAGGTCCTCCTCCTCCTTCTTCCTCCTCCTCCTTATTGTGCGCCACGTCGCCTCGCAGGATGGGTTGTAGAGGCCGGTGGCTTTAGGGTTTAGGGTTCAGGGTTTAGGGTTCAGGGTCTAGAGGGTCACTGTTCTAGCAGTCATTCCAGGCTTAGAAAACAACCCACCCGCCCAAAGAATCCCATAACATTAAGAACATAAAAGGTTCTCATCCTACCCCAGAGAGTTTTACCTAAACCCTGAGGCCCTAAACCCTGAGGCCCTAAACCCTGAAGCCCTAAACCCTGAAGCCCTAAACCCTGAAGCCCTAAACCCTGAAGCCCGAAACCCTGAAGCCCGAAACCCTGAAGCCCTAAACCCTGAAGCCCTAAACCCTGAAGCCCTAGACCTTGAAGACCTAAACCCTGAAGCCCCAAACCCTGAAGCCCTAAACCCTGAAGCCCTAAACCCTGAAGCCCTAAACCGTGAAGCCCTAAACCCTGAAGCCCGAAACCCAGAAGCCCTCAACCCTGGAGCCCTAAACCCTGAAGCCCTGAACCCTGAAGCCCTAAACCCTGAAGCCCGAAACCCTGAAGCCCTAAACCCTGAAGCCCTAAACCCTGAAGCCCAAAACCCTGGAGCCCTAAACCCTGAAGCCCTCAACCCTGAAGCCCTAAACCCCTGAAGCCCTAAATTCCAAGCCCCTAAACCCTTAAGCCAGCAGACCCTAAACCCGAAACTTGAAAGGCAATCAAACAGGGCGCAGGCTAAACCAACTCAAAAGACAGCGGGCAGTCAAACCCAATTCCAAAGGCAATCGAACACGGTATAGGCTAAACCAGCTCAAGAGACAGCCGAATCCCCAAAAAAAACCCTATCTGGCCCAGATGGGTTTTTTAGATGAAAAGGGCAGCCAAACCCAATTCCAAGCCCCCAAACCCTTAAATTCAACCCAAAACCCAAAACTCTAAACAAAGCAATCCAACAGGGCCAGAAAAAAGACCAAACCAGCCAAAAGCGAGTGTTTGTAGGGTTCAGGTTCTAGGCAAACCAGGTCCTCACTTTGGCTTAATTTTGGATTTTCTGACGCCACTAGTTTGGCGCAAATTTCAACAGGACGTCGGGGACGTCACTATAATTTTGTACAGAAGCAAACCAGAAGGTGGCAATATTCGATTCTAACGCTTGGTCGCTGCGTCGTACGCCAAGGCCTCACAAGCAACAAACATTCATTGCTGCAAAACAGTGCAACAGAGAGCCATACCATCTGCGATGTGGTACTTGGTATGTTTCCGTGTGGGAATTCTCTAGATGTGGGTACCGCTCATGCACATCAAAAAACTATGAGAATGCGTAATATGCAGAACCCCATAGAGGATTCCGCTACTTTCAACCCTAAACCCTTAACCCTTCAGTTGAAAGAGCCTCCCAAGCTGCGGACATACCGTAGGAACACTAGATGCAGGATCTAGCGGTTGAGGGGTTTAGGGTTTAGGGTTTAGGGGTTAGGGGTTTAGGGTGTAGGGTTGAGGGTTTAGGGCTTAGGGCTTACACACCCCAAGCCCCTAGAGCCCTGACCTCAATCCGAACCGCAACCTCCGCGCATTTTCGGAAAGACTTGAAGCTGCCGGGGCGCCCCAACATGTTGCAGGGTTTAGGGTTTAGGGTTTAGGGTTTAGGGTTTAGGGTTTAGGGGCTTAGGGGTTTAGGGTTTAGGGGTTTAGGGTTTGGGGTTTAGGGTTTAAGCGTCCCTGAACCCGAAACCCTCAAAGCCTCCGCGCGTAAAGCTCCAAGTAGAGAAGTCGACGCTAGCTCACTGTAGCTGGTGGCTTAGGTGGTAGGTAGGTTTAGAGTATGGGGGCTTGGGGTTGACGGCCCTAAACCCTAAACCCTAAACCCTGAACCCTAAACCCTAAACCCTAAACCCTAATCTGCAGGAAGACATGAGTGTGGAAGTCCATGCACCGTGAACGGGCCTGAGTCTCTTCCCCTTTTTCTGCCTGTTTCAGTGACAGGGAAGGCGCGAGAAGGCTTGGGGTTTAGGGAGCCCTAAGCTCTATTTAGGGTTTAGGGTTTGGGGTTTAGGGTTTGGGGTTTAGGGTTTAGGGTTCAGGGTTTAAGGATTAGGGTTTAGGGTTTAGGTTTTAGGGCTTAGGATTTAGGATTTTAATGGGGGGGGTCAGCAAAACCTCCGAGTTGCTTGACCTCGTGAACTCTCGGCGTGAGGCGCAAAAAATCTTACAGACCCCAAAGCCTTCACGCCCAAACCCTAAACCCTAAACCCTAAACCCTAAACCCTGAACCCTAAACCCTAAACCTTAAACCGTCTTTGAACGCCACGGCCTCTTCTTTGTTCTTCCTTGCGGCCTGGCAGGTTCATGCCAAGGGGTCAAAACATCGGTGCAAAAAAGCAAAGAAGGCGGTGACCCTCAACCCTAAACCCTAAACCCTAAACCCTAAACCCTAAACCCTAAACCCTAAACCCTAAACCCTAAACCCTAAACCCTAAAACCCTAAACCCTAAACCCTAAACCCTAAACCCTAAACCCTAAACCCAGGGACTCCAAAACCCCTTGATTAAGGGGTATTCCTTAAAGTAGAATCGGGCTCCTTGTATGGTATAAGGAATATTCCTTAAATTATCGTAGGGCTCCTTACATGATTTAAGGAATCTTCCTTAAATTATCGTAGGGCTCCTTACATGGTTTAAGGAATCTTCCTTAAATTATCGTAGGGCTCCTTACATGGTTTAAGGAATCTTCCTTAAATTATAATCGGGCTCCTTACATTTTTTAAGGAAAATTCCTCAATGAACTGAGGCGTATTGGAGTCTCTGGCAAGGTCACCCCTGACCAAGGACCCCCCCACATGCGGCGCCAGAAGCCAGACTACAACAGTCGTGCCAAGCTCTCTTCACTTCCTTCAACCCTAAACCCTAAACCCTAAACCCTAAACCCTAAACCCTAAACCCCAAACCCTAAACCCTACACCTAAACCCTAAACCCTAAAACCCTAAACCCTAAACCCTGCAAACGCCGCCGGTTTACCATGATCCACAGAAGCCCTGGTGGTCACAATCTGGGTTGAGCGTCTATAGGGTCTAGGTTAGGGTTTAGGGCTTAGGGACGCCCGGGTCTGGTCTAGTAACTTTTCAGGCTAGGGCTTGAACCCCTCAGGGTTTAGGGCTTAGAGTTTTGGGCTTAGGTTTTGGGGCGCAGAGCTTAATTTCAAGTCCCATCATTCACTCGCGAAGCTCTCTACTCTGGTATCGTATCTATCCACCCACCCTTTGGATCCCATAACATTTACGAAGCTGTTCTCGCTTCAATGAACCCTTCCCTAAACCCTAAACCCTAAACCCTAAACCCTAAACCCTAAACCCTAAACCCTAAACCCTAAACCCTAACCCTAAACCCTAAACCCTAAACCCTAAACCCTAAACCCTGAGCATTGAACATACATACAGGAAGCCTCGGAGTTAGAGAAGCCTACACCCTAAGTCCAGGAACCCGCCTGAACTCTAAACGTAAATCTTGAACCCTGGGCCTTGAACCCTAAACCCTACACCCTACACCCTACACCCTAAACCCTAAACCCTAAACCCTAAACCCTAAACCCTAAGTAAACCCTACCCCGACGCCATGAAACCCTAGGTGAAGGGGGGGGTGTGGGGGGCGGGTGCAAGGGTTGTTTGGGTGGTCTTCCACGCCGTAGGCAGCTAGGATGTTTTGGGGTTTAAGGTTTAGGGTCTAGGGTTTGGGGTTAGGGTTAAGGGTTTAGGGTTCTTTATTTCGCTAGAGCGGCGCAATGTCATAGGAAAAAGTGAGGGGGGCAGCGGGGGTTGTTGGGGGGGGGGGGGTCTGCCCACGAGTTTTTGGATTGGTGCAAATTTTTCGGGCCTGTCGGGAAAGAATTTGCTGGCCAGCCCGGTCGGTCCGCCCACGAGTTTTGGCAAAAAGTGGTGGCCGTTCAGGGGGGGTCCGCCCACGACTTTTGGCAAATACACTGGCCGCCCACGACTAGGCAAAATTTGTGCGCCCATTTGGCCATTCAGGTTTATACACATTTCGAAAAAGAGATTTAAGGTTCGGGGGTCTAGGGTCTAGGGTTTAAGATCTCGGGTGTAGGGTTTAGGGCGACTATTTATACTTTGGGGTTTAGGGTTTAGGGTTTGGGCTTTAGGGTTAGGGTTTAGGGTTTAGGGTTTAGGGTTTAGGGTTTAGGGTTTAGGGTTTAGGGTTTAGGGTTTAGGGTTTAGGGTTTAGGGTTTAGGGTTTAGGGTTTAGGGTTTAGGGTTTAGGGTTTAGGGTTTAGGGTTTAGGTTTAAGGGTTTAGGGTTTAGGGTTTAGGGTTTAGGGTTTAGGGTTTAGGGTTTAGGGTTTAGGGTTTAGGGTTTAGGGTTTAGGGTTTAGGGTTTAGGGTTTAGGGTTTAGGGTTTAGGGTTTAGGGTTTAGGGTTTAGGATTTAGGGTTTAGGGTTTAGGGTTTAGGGTTTAGGGTTTAGGGTTGTTCCACCAAAAAAAGCAACAACCCGAAAGTCACACCCGGGCCTCCTCTGCTTGTCGCTGCCGGTCCCTCTCCATCTCCTTGTTAGGGTTTAGGGTTTCGGGTTTAGGGTTTAGGGTTTAGGGTTTAGGGTTTAGGGTTTAGGGTTTAGGGTTTAACAGTGTTTAGGGTTTAGGGTTTAGGGTTTAGGGTTTAGGGTTTAGGGTTTAGGGTTTAGGGTTTTGGCCTGACTCGCTTCTTCGTAGAACGCGGGTCGCTATATGATCCTGAACAGAGTTATCTGGAGGCGGCTCTACATTAGGGCCCCCTTCTGGGTCGGGCCTGAATGTTTAGGGTACCCCAAAACAGACCAGAGTGCAGAGAACTGACCCTAAACCCTAAACCCTAAACCCTAAACCCTAAACCCTAAACCCTAAACTAGATAACTAACCTCATATAGAGAGATGTGGGAGACCTAGCTCCCCCAACTCCCTAAACAGAACTAGTAAGGCAAAAAGCTCGGAAGCTAGAGGACCGAGGCGGAGCTGCCCACCCCCTACCCTTGTAGAGTTTAGGGTTTAGGGTCTACAGGGTACAGGGTTTAGGGTTTAGGGTTTAGGGTTTAGGGTCTAGGGGTTAGGGTTTAGGGTTCGCGGGTTTGAGGGTCTTAAATCCCCTCAAACTCAACACCATTCGTCCCTTGCACTCCCCCGCTCCAGCTGGCCCCAACCCCCGCGCGTCCTGAGCTTTTTTCGCAACCTCCTCGGGAGTGACGTGCTCCAGTTCAGCCTGTAAGGCCGCGGCTCATCCCTAAGTTCTATTCAGGGTTTAGGGTTTAGGGTTTAGGGCTGAGGGTTTAGGGTTTAGTGTTTAGGGTTGAGGGCTTGCATTGAGGGTTCGCTGATCAACTCCTTTACCACAGAAAGGGACACAAATTTCAGGAGCAAGCCTCAGTTGACGCAAAAAAACGCCATCTCTCTAAACCATAAACCCTAAACCCTAAACCCCAAACCCTAAACCCTAAACCCTAAACCCTAAGCCGAGGTACCTCCGCCTCATCAAGGAGCAGCCGAGCCGCCAGGTCCTCGCCATGTCTTTGTACCAGGGCTCTGGCATAGCTGAGGGCCTTTAGAGACCTAGTAGTTGGTTTAGGGTTTAGGGTTTAAGGTTTAGGGTTTAGGGTTTAGGGTTTAGGGTTTAGGGTTTAGGGTTTAGGGTTTAGGGTTTAGGGTTTAGGGTTTAGGGTTTCGGGTTTCGGGTTTAGGGTTTAGGGTTTAGGGTTTAGGGTTTAGGGTCGGGTTTCGGGTTTCGGGTTTCGGGCTGATAAGCCACTTTAGGCTGTAGAGTTTTGGGTTCCGGGTTCTGGATTTATAGTCGGGATGTCAAAACACACATGCTCGACATGCATCAGGGAAAGGGACCCTAAATCCTAAACCCTAAACCCTAGACCCTAGACCCTAAACCCTAAACCCTAAGGCAGGGGACGAAGGAAAGCTGCAAGTTCCGACCAAGCAACGCCTGAGGGCTCGGAGTTTAGGCAGGGTCTAGTGGTCTCCCTACACCCTAAACCATAAACCCTAAACCCTAAACTCTCAACCCTCAACCCTCACCAGGACCCAGATCGGCGGAGGAAGGGGGGGCATTTTTCTTTTTTCTGGCACTCCGCTCCGACGTTTCCCGACTCAAGCACCGGTCCCGAAAGGTACTTTGCTCCCAAACCCTAAACCCTAAACCCTAAAGCCTAAACCCTAAACCCTAAACCCTAAACCCTAAACCCTAAACCCTAAACCCTAAACCCTAAACCCTAAACCCTAAACCCTAAACCCTAAACCAAAATGAAGCACAAGCAGCTTAGGGTTTAGGGCTTAGGATCCAGGGTTTAGGCAGGCTCGAGTTCCCAAAGCAGGCCTGTGCATTGTTGGCCAAGGAATTTGGGGCCTGCAACAAGACATCTGGACAACGTGTTACCTTTCTTAGGGTTCTTAAGGGTTTAGGGTTTAGGGTTTGGGGTTTAGGTATTAGGTTTGGAGTTTAGGGTTTAGGGTTTCGGGTTTGGTGATGGGGGGCTTTGGGGACCTGGTGGTTAAGTTTAGGGCCGAAGAAGAACCAGGATAAGAATCAGTTTGAGGGTTTATAAAGTTTAGGGTTTAGAGTTGAAATATAGGGTTCTTCAGGGAAGGGGGTTCAAGGGGGGTATGCAGCCCCAGGTTCTCCAATACTCCTCCCTAACTGGCCAAGGCTCCCGAAAGGTCCCTAAGGTTTTCTAGGTACCTACCCCCCATGAAACCCTCCCTCAAGAACCCTATAAGACAGGTTGTTACGTCTGGTTGCCCGCAATCCTCAAACCGTTCCCAAAACCCGTCCGAGCCTTTGCAAAGCTCCAAAAGACCCAGAAAGAAATACTCAGAGGACGTGACACCTGCCCCTGGCGATTGAATCTCCTGATGGTCTCGGTGTTTCGGCAGGTGTCTTCTTATAGTTCTCGAGTTCTTGAGGGGATTTGAGATTTGGGAGAATTGGGGGGGGTGGGGCGAATGAACAGGCATCCAGCTGTTGAGGGAACTAAGTCCTAAATCCTCAACCCTACATCCTCTTTGAAGGACTTGGTAGTTCAGTAACCATATTTAAAAAGTGCCCAGGGAACCTTGAACCAAAATTGGGCGAACAAAACAAGTTACCACTGGGCTACCAAGAAGATGTCCGCAAACCCTAAACCCTATAAACCCTGAAAACCCTAAACCCTAAACCCTAAACCCTAAACCCTAAACCCTAAACCCTAAATCCCTTGAGAAAGATGACGAGCGCGCAGCTCACGGTCCCCACGCGCCTGCGCCACCTCTTCCTTCTCCGCTCGCCCCTGTGCCAACTCGGCCTCTGCCCTTTGGGCCTGCGACAAAAACCCTAGCCCTAAACCCTAGCCCTAAACCCTAAACCCTAAACCCCAAATCCTAAACCCTAAACCCTAAACCGGATGACCTTCATCACGCAAGGAAGTCTAAGAACCCTCGTGACCTTCAGGTTTTTTGGACGTGCGGACCTGGGGATGGACGCGCTTTCTGGGGCTCTAAGGTTCTTCAGGGTCTAGGGTTTAGGGTCTAGGGTTTAGGGTTTGGGGTTTAGGGTTTAGGGTTAGGGTTTAGGGTTTAGGGCTTAGGGTCCTTATTGTGTCCCTATTTGGTCCAAAAAAAATGCAGCTTACACAGGCTCGGCTGCAGCATTTCATTCATAACATGTGCCGGACTTCTGCAGGATACCTGGGCAGGAATCTACATGACTGTCTTCTCATACTCTTACATTGAATGCAAGGCTCCGTACTTTAATCGAAAATTCGGGGAGCCAGCTACCCGGGAACCATGCACTAAACTCTTAACCAACCTTAAACGCACCCCCACCGCGCCCACACCCCCGTACCCCCGACCACCACCAAGCCCCAAACCCTTCACACGCCCTCAGGACGCCCTGATCTCCACCGCCTAAAGCCCCCAATCCCCCAAAGCCCAAATCCTAAACCCTAAACCCTCAATCCCTAAACCCTAAACCCTAAACCCTAAACCCTAAACCCTAAACCCTAAACCCTAAACCCTAAACCCTAAACCTAAATCCCCTCCGCCAGGAATGGTTCGACCTGGTCCAGCGCAGGGCTCCTGTCTTGCGGCTGCACCTAGCGCAGCTTGGAGGGTAGGACGGGTTTAGGGTTTAGGGTTGAGGGTTGAGGGTTTAGGGTTTAGGGTTTAGGGTTTAGGGTTTAGGGTTTAGGGTTTAGGGTTTAGGGTTTAGGGTTTAGGGTTTAGGGTTTAGGGTTTAGGGGTTTAGGGGTTAGGTTTAGGGTTTAGGGTTTAGGGTTTAGGGTTTAGGGTTTAGGGTTTAGGGTTTAGGGTTCAGGGTTTAGGGTTTAGGGTTTAGGGTTTAGGGTTTAGGGTTTAGGGTTTAGGGTTTAGGCTTTAGGGTTTAGGGTTTAGGGGCTTAGGGTTTCGGGGTTTAGGAGTTTAGGTGTCGGGGTCTAGGGGTTTAGGGGTTTAGGGGTTTAGGGGTTTAGGGGTTGAGGGGTTGAGGGGTTGAGGGGTTGAGGGGGTGAGGCGTTAGGGGTTCAGGGGCTTACGGGCTAAGGGGTTAGGGGGGTTTTGGGGCTTAGGGGTTTAGGGGTTTGGGGGTTTTGGGGTTTTGGGGTTTAGGGGTTTAGGGCCTAGTTTAGGGGTTGAGGGGTTGAGGGGGTTTAGGGGTTTAGGGGTTTAGGGGTGCAGGGTTTAGGGTCTAGGGTTTGCCGTTTAGGGTTTTGTGGCAGTTTGGTGGTGGATTCAGGACAGGGTCTTGTCTAACCCGAAGATGGGATGCCGTTCCCACCCTAAACACCCCAACAAGCCCCCAAACTTACATCCCAACTGGGCTCAGGGTGGTTTAGGGTTTCGGGTTTAGCGTTTAGGGTCGAGGGTTCAGGGCCCAGAGTCCAGGGTTTGCGGCTTCGGCTTTGGTGATGAAGACGACGAAGACGACGACTGCGACGGTGACGACGACGACGACGACGACGACGACGACGACGACGACCACGACGACGATGATGATGATGATGGCGACGATGACGACGCCGGTGGCGGTGGTAGTTGTGGTGGTGCTGATGTACAAGATCAGAAGGGTGATTGCGAAGCGCCATTGTGCGAAGACAAGAGCAGGAGTATGGTGGTAGCGGGAAGGTTAACTCCAGTCCGAACCGTCCCACTGCCCAGAAAGCCGCTGATAGATCATGACCATTCTGGTGGGGAGGGGGGGAGGGCAGGGAGGCGTGCGACCGGTTTCATGTTGCAGGCAAAAGATCAGCAGGCTTCGAAAGTAGGTTATCTAGTTTAGAAAGTAGGGCTCCGAAACTGCTAGCCCGGTAGTCCTAAACCCTAAACCCTAAACCCTTAAACCCTAAACCCTAAACCCTGCTTCCGAAGCCCTAGATGATCCTCGAACTGACTGCCTGGTAGGCTCTTCGCAGAACGACTATGTGATTAAGAACCCCCCCAAAATAAGAGAGAAATAGCTTCTTCCCTGTAAGGGCAATGGAGGGACTACTCTCTATTTTTTATGGGGGGTTCTTCAGCTTCGTTGCCCCATACCCTGGCTCAAAAAACTTTAAACTTCTCGTTTAGTAGGGGTTCAGTATACCCAAAAAGTTTAAAGTTCACCTATTGGGCTCCTAAGTAAGCAGATGGTAGAGAAAGACAGTGCTTTGCCACAGACTCTTTTCTGTGGGGCAAAGAGGTTGCTGAAGCGGCTTCGGCTTCAAGAAGGAAGCTGTGAGACCCTAAACCCTAAACCCTAAACCCTAAACCCTAAACCCTAAACCCTAAACCCTAAACCCTAAACCCTAAACCCTAAACCCTAAACCCCAAACCCTACACAGGGAGAGCAGGAAGCTGTGAACGCAACGATTCGAAGCTCCCAGTGCGTTTGTGGAGCCCAGTGTTATCCTCCATGATCGCGTCGAGCCATGCGAAGAGCGGGTCATCCACGCCAGCTTCAGATTTCAGGGAGACTGCAAAGAAAGGCCACCCTCTCCTAGTTCACGGTTTGGAATCGTATTCGAAATTTAAAATCTATGTTCCCTTCTTGAGTTGAAGTTTAAGTACTCTTTTACTCTTACAAATCCCAAATGCTACCCCCGCAATGCCAAAGTCTCTGTCGTGCAACACCTGCGGCCTCTTCTTCTAATGCAGCATCTGGAACGTCTGCGTGCGTTGCCACCAAGCAAACATGCTGGCAGCTCGTGGGATATTTCTCTACGGCGTCATCCAACATCTGGATGACTTCCCTCCTATACTGAGCTTGGAATAGCCCGGCAGAAAACTATGATTTGGGCGTAGTACACAAAAATTAAAACTTGGGCTAACCAAAAAAGGGCAAAGGGTACCACTGGGCTACCAAGAAAATGTATTCCCAAGTATCCCTAAACCCTAAACCCTAAACCCTAAACCCAAAAAACTAAAAAGGAACTCCCAAGTGTCCCTAAGCCTCAGGGTATCCGGCTTCGCCAGGGAGAAGAATGCCAGGATGCCAGAGGCTCCTTTGAGAAGCACGTCGAACTTCCTTAGTTGTCCAGTAACCTGGGGGAATTAAAGGTGAACCTTTGGGATTCTTAAGGGGATTCTACTACCCCGAAAAGGTTACAGGTTGCCCTAAACCCTAAACCCTAAACCCTAAACCCTAAACCCCAAAATGGTTAAAGGTTACCTACTCTGCTACTAGGTTTCGGCCTGAAACGCAGCTCTCCCGCGACATCCCAAAGCTGCACCCTGATCCTGTATCCAGCCTCGGATTGCAAGCGCCTGACCTTGAAGGGTATCGGGTTTAGGGTTTAGGGCTTAGGGCTTAGGGCTTAGGGCTTAGGGCTTAGGGTTTAGGGCTTAGGGCTTCGGGCTTTAGGCCGATTTGGCCTTGAAGTCGACGCCGATCGTGGCCTTGTAGCGATCGCCAACTTCTTCGCGGCATACGGCCTGCGACCAGGAAGTCCTCACTTCTCCAATAGCCAAAAGGGGAAAAAGGCCAAACTTTATTCTTCCTACGAAAAACCCTAAACCCTAAACCCTAAACCCTAAACCCTAAACCCTAAACTAAGGAAACCCAAAAAGTTCAAAGTTGAACTCTTGGCTAAGTAAGAGGCTTACCAGCCTCCGCGGCCCCGAGAAGAAGACACTTCACCATGTAGTGGGGCTGCACTTCGCCACTTTCAGTGAATGGCACGTAGGTGGTGGTGAATCTCTTGACAAGGCAGAGGACGTCCTCCTCAGACAGGTTGAGTTCCGAGATCTTCGCGCTCTGGCGAATGACGCTGCTACCCTTCAGCAGCGTGAGCCTGCCAGGCGCGCCGGTGCGGAGGGACTTCAGCACGGACCTCACCGTCCTGCCTCCAGGCAGCTTCTCCTCGAAAACCACCTCGCCAGCCGGCGTCAGGATCCGCACGGGAAAGAGCTCGAGATCTCGGGGGTCATCTCCCCACCCGCCCCGGCGCTCCGCTGCGGTCTTGCCCAGCCAGGCGCCCATGATGCAACCTACCCGGACGCAAGCGACTACACAGTGAGGCCGAGGAGGAATACCAAAGGTTCTTACTGACATGCAAGCACGCATGAGTACATAGCGCATACAGATACATACAGTATGATGAGATACTTTGCCAATCTATATGAAAAGTGCGGTGACGAGACTTTTCAAAACTGGAAATCAACTAGATGGCGTTAGTGGAGCCAAATAATTCGGCAAGACATCCACATGCCATGTGAAAGGCGCATAGGGGCCAGGGTTTAGGGCGTAGTGCTTCGGGTTTAGGGTTTAGGGTTTGATACCATGTCGATCCATTGAAGACTAAGTTTACCCTCTGAGACTGCGATGCCCTAGATAAGGGCTACGGACAAAGGGTTGTAAACCCTAAACCCTAAACCCCTAAACCGTTGAATATGGACCCTTAAATTTGGGTCCCTTGTTATATAACCTGTACATACACACTATAATAATGAGGGTTGAGGGTTGAGGGTTGAGGGTTGAGGGTTGAGGGTTGAGGGTTGAGGGTTGAGGGTTGAGGATTGAGGGTTGAGGGTTGAGGGCTGAGGGTTGAGGGTTGAGGGTTGAGGGAATGTAGGGCCCTTATTTTGGGCCCCTTGTTATATAACCCTTACATGCACCATATATGATAAGGGCCCATACTTCGGATCCCTATAAACAAGGGTAAGAAAAACCACACGAAGGGCCCATGGTTCCAACCTTACAGCAAGGTCGGGATTCGGGGCTTCAGTTTAGGGTTTCGGGTTTCGGGTTTAGGGTTTAGGGTTTAGGGGCTTAAGGTTCCGGATTCAGGGCCCAGGGTTTCGGGTTTGCAAGCAGGGTCCTCACCATCTCCGCCCCTCTGCACGTTCTGCACGCCGTGGGAGGCATTTTTGTGCGGGATAGGGCCCCTAGAGGAGCTTTTTCAAGACCTGCAAGTCGAGTCGTCCATAAACATGTCCAGCCATCCGAAGAGCGGGTCATCAACGCCAGCTCCGGGGGAATCGAGGGAGATGGGAAAGAAAGGCCAGCCTTTCCCCTTCGCCAATTCCTCGGCCTCCTCTTGCGACACAGCAGGATCTGGGAGGTCTGCATGAGTCCCCACCAGGCCTTACTTGGGTTTAGGGTTTAGGGTTTAGGGTTTAGGATTTAGGGTTAGGGTTTAGGGTTTAGGGTTTAGGGTTTAGGGTTTAGGGTTTAGGGTTTAGGGTTTAGGGTTTAGGGTTTAGGGTTTAGGGTTTAGGGTTTAGGGTTTAGGGTTCAGGGTTTGGGGTTTCTTAGTTATAGGGGACTATGGTACCCCAAGAAGTGTAAAGTGTACTCACTCAGCTGCGAAGAGGCAAACACACCGGCAGGACTCGGGGAACTTCTTCGCTGCCTCGTCGACCATCTGCAGGACTTCCGCGAGGGACTCACGGCTGCGCAGCGAGAAGAAGGCCATGATGCCAGACGCGCCTCTGAAGTAGGCATTTGTGATGGCCCTGAAGCCTTGGTAGTTTAGCAACCATATATTGCAGTAAGGGCACCCTTGGTTACTTTATAAGGGAGCCCAGAATACAAAAAAACAAAAGGTGTAGGGTTTAGGGTTTAGGGTTTAGGGTTTAGGGTTTAGGGTTTAGGGTTTAGGGTTTAGGGTTTAGGGTTTAGGGTTTAGGGTTTAGGGTTTAGGGTTTAGGGTTTAGGGTTTAGGGCTGGGTACCACTGGGCTACCAAGAGGCGTTGCTGCCCGGCGGTGTCCCAGAGCTGAATCTTCAGCCTCACCTAGTTCATGGTTGGGAGAAGGGTTTAGGGTTTAGGGTTTAGGGTTTAGGGTTTAGGGTTCAGGGTTTAGGGTTATAGCCTATAGGGTTTAAGTACCCTGAAAAATGCAAAATGGTACCCAACTATGACAAAGTCACTCCATCCTCCGACTCGAGGCGCAGGAGCTTGAACTCCACACCAATTGTCCTTGGTAGCCCAGTAACCATACTAAAATAAGGGCACCCTTTCTTGGGCTGGTTACTTTATAAAGGGGATTCTTGAACCAAAACAAGGGAAAAAGGGCACCACTGGGCCACCAAGTAATCCTAAACCCTAAACCCTAAACCCTAAACCCCAAACCCCAAGTGTCGGATGATACTGGGATGGTAGCTGCTCGCGACAGAACGCCTGCATCCACACAGACTTGCCCACCTGGGCTGCTCCGATGAGAAGACACTTCACCTAGGCCCAGGAGAAAGCTAGGAATAAACAGGGCTTAGGGTTTAGGGTTTAGGGTTTAGGGTTTAGGGTTTCGGGTTTCGGGTTTCTTGTTTCGGGTTTAGGGCCTACTCCGGGTCCTAGTCACCAAGTGATGTTCTGGAGGATTGCCGTCGCCGTTCTCTGTCCAAGAGGTGTATCTGCTTGTGGCCCTTCCTAGACCCAGGAGTCGCCTAGGAATAAAAAGGGTGCCCTTTTTGGTTTCAACGGGCTTATGAAGGAACCCAGACCCGAAAAAAAATGGAATCAGGGCCTACTCTATAAGGCCTAGCTTCGGACAAGGCAGAGGCTATCCTCTTCGGTGAGGTCCAACTCCCAGAGCCTCTTGCTTTGGCTCACCACCTGCGTGCCATGCAGGAGGGTGAGCCTGCCACGCTTTTCCGCTCGGAAAGTCTGCAGCACGGACCGCACCTAGCTCTCATGGTTGGGATAGTATACACAACTCAAATCTCTATTCCTTATGTAGTTTAAGGACCTTAAAAGTCCTTATTGTGTTTAAGTGCGCTTAAAAATGCACAATTCAAATGTCTATTCCTTATGTAGTTTAAGGACCCTTAAAAAGTCCTTATTGCGCTTAAGTACCCTCAAAAACATGTACAAGATGTTACCCCGCTATGACAAAGACACCGTTCTGCCGCCAGGCACTTGCTCGTCCAGGAGCACCTCACCCGCCGGAGTGCAGATCCGAACTGGAAGCAGCTGGGGATCCCCTGCAGTCGCGTTCGGCGAAGTTACCATAGGAAGGACTGCCCATATATATATATATATATATATATATATATATATATGCATACCTACATGTTGAATACATGTAAACATATATATATATATGCATGTATATATGTATGTATACAGATAGATAGATATGTATATATACATACCTATATATTTTTGAATACATGGATATTGTTGAAACCCTTCCGTTAAAAGCTTCGGGGCAAAATCACTGGAACACGGTGCAGGCTTCAAACAATGCAAGCCAGACATATAGATATATATATATATATGCATACAGATATGTGTATATATATAACATACATGTGTATATATATATATATATACATTGCTGCCGTCGCGGCTTAGCGTAAGCTCCTTAAAACCAGGGCCCAGTCGCGAGGGTCCGGTTCATGTTGCTCTGCCGGTATGACCAGCCGTGATTTGGCAGTCACTCTGACACCTCGGGAGGGATTAGGGTTTAGGGTTCAGGGTTCAGGGTTTAGGGTTTAGGGTTTGGGGTTTAGGGTTTAGGGTTTAGGGTTTAGGGCTTAGGGCTTAGGGCTTAGGGGTTAGAGGTTAGGGGTTTAGGGTTTGGGGGCTTGGGGTTTGTGGTTTGGGGGTTGGGGCTTGGGGTTTAGGGCTTGGGGTTTGGGGCTTGGGGCTTGGGGTTTGGGATTCAGGGTTTGGGGTTTGGGGTTTTGGGTTCCTATATTTAGGGCTTTATCATTTTGGGGGATGTTCAGGGGCACCCGGTTTTGGGGGTTCCCAAAATAAACGTTATAGTAGCTTGGGGTAGATTCAGGCATACCCTTATTTTGGGCTCGCCTGCCTGAATATCGTAAATGTGGTGGGTACCCTCGCAGCCTTCGCAGACATTGGCCCATGATCTTGCCAAGGAAGGAACCTCACTGATATCGACGCATGTCTGGAGGCATCATGTACATAGGCCTTTTGCATCCTACAGGGCTCTGGAGGTGCGATTTAGGGTACAGGGTTTAGGGTTTAGGGCATAGCGCGGCTTAGGGTTTAGGTTTTGGGTTTAGGGCTTTTGGCTTACGGCTTAGGAATTAGGGTACTCATGAGACCCATAGTTCGGTCCGCAGATGCTGCGGCGGGCATTTGCTGCGCGGCTCAACCCTAAACCCTAAACCCTAAACCCTAAACCCTAAACCCTAAACCCTAAACCCTAAACCCTAAACCCTAAACCCTAAACCCTAAACCCACCCGAATGCATCCCATCAGCACCCTTGGCCTGCACGGGCTCGGCCTCTTGTGCCTGCAACTACTTGGATGGCTAGGAGGGCTTAGGGCTTAGGGTCTAGAATTTGGGGTTTAGGGTTCAGGGTTTAGGGTTTAGGGTTTCGGGTTTAGGGTTTAGGGTTTAGGGTTTAGGGTTTAGGGTTTAGGGTTTAGGGTTTAGGGTTTGGGGTTGCTTGTGACCTCCCCGGAGTTCCCTAGCATGGTTATCATACTGGGTTGCAAGTGCCGTTCTACACGCACCACCGGCGAGGGGAGGGGCGAGTGGGGGGAGGGGAGGGGGCCTGAGCCAGAAACTCTGTTGATGGCAAAGGATCCGCTGTTGCGAAATTTCGGCTGTTGCCTGAAGCCCTGGCAATGAAGGGTGTAGGGTTTAAGGTTCAACACTAACCCTCCCCGACCACTGATAGTAAATCTTCTCCATCTCCTCTAAAACTGGCACATGAGGACGATGCAGAACTCACCCGCTTGGAGGAGCCGCAATCCGATAGTGTGAGGAGTGCTACAGAAGGCACGCCAACAAACCCTCTCGCCCTTTCAGGAACTTTCTGCAAACACTAAATGGAAGTCGTGAAACCCCCTTCACTCCACCCTGCTGGGACCTTTCCTGAAGCCTGCCTACCTTCTTCCGTGTGCGCTGCACCAAGCAAGCGAGTATGGTCTAGGCTGTTTTGGAGTCTTCCAAACAGGCACAACAAGCCTCGCTTTGGCCTCAATCCTAGGCTGCCAGCAGCTCGGGCTTTGGGGGCTTTACTTCCTGGACTTGCGGCAGTTTAGGGTTCAGGGTTTAGGTTCAGGGTTCAGGGTTCAGGGTTCAGGGTTCAGGGTTCAGGGTTCAGGGTTCAGGGTTCAGGGTTCAGGGTTTAGGGTTTTAGGTTTAGAGCTTAGGGCATATCCCGTCCCAAAAAAGAGTGAGATGGGACATTCCCCCGAATCGATGAAGAACTAGCGAGTCCTGGTGTGCAGAGCACGCTGTCAGCCGATGAATAGCCTGGCGAGCTCAGGAGAGGGGTGGGGGGTCTTTAAACCCCAATCTGGGTTTAGGGCGTAGGGTCTCGGGTTTAGGGTTTAGGGTTTAGAGTTGAGGGTGGAAACCCCTTAACCCCCCAACATAAAAAAAAAAAAAAACCGGAGATTAAGGGTTCAGGGTCGAACCCGAAACCCCTTAACCCACCAACATAAAACTCCGGAGATTAGTTCTTTGGACGTGCCCAAGTGCGGCACGGCTAGAGGCCCAAGGAGGGTGCCTTTTTTTGCTGAAAGGGGTTGATAAGGGAACGTAAACCCCCCAAAAAAGGGAATAAGGGTACTACTGGGCACCCTAGGTATGGGGAGTCCCAAAGCCTCTACACCCCTCTACCCCAACACGGTTTTGTTTAGGAGGAGCATTGTAGGATAGGCTTACCCTCAGCTCCACAGCTATGGCTGGGAACCGGCAATCGCCTCTAAGCACTGTTATATACTGACCCCTAAGCCCTTAATCCCTCAACCCTAAAGCCCTAAACCCTAAACCGAAAACCCTTAACCCTAAAGCCTAAACTCTAAACCCTAAGCCTAAACCCTGCACCCCAAACCCTCCTCAAATGCCGTTGATGCTGTAGGGTGCCTCCTTAAGCCTTAAGCCCTGATTGGACCCAGTCTCCATAGATTAAGGTTCCCTAAACCCTAAACCCTAAACCCTAAACCCTAAACCCTAAACCCTAAATCCTAAACCCTAAACCCTAAACCCTAAACCCTAAACCCTAAACCCTTCGTCTAAGGTTGGAACTTCGACCCATGGGCACTTGGTGGGGGTCCCTTACCCTTGTTAGTAGCGATGTAGCAAGGGACCCAAATTAAGGGACCATACGGATCGAAGTTCCAACCTTAGAGGGTTTAGAAAGTTTAGGGTTTAGGGTTTGGGGTTTAGGGTTTAGGGTTTAGGGTTTACATATTTGGGGTTTACGGCGCAAGGTGGCTAGCTTCAACCTCTGTCACAGTAAAGTCCAAGCGCTGTTGGCCGTTGTTGTCCTGGTATTCCAAAACCAAGACTTACCCAAAATGCCCTAAGCCAGCAAACCGTAAACCCTAAGACCCTAAGACCCTAAAACCCTAAACCCTAAACCCTAAACCCTAAACCCTAAACCCTCAAGGCCAGGATAAATAGAAATTGTATGTGATTCATTACGAGCAGCTCGTACAACAATCCTTCATCCTCCAGCTCGCCCAGCCAGCCCTCCCAGCCCCCCACTCCCCCTGACCCCCCACGCCCCACCCCACCCACCCCAAGCAGCCCGCCCCCAGCCCCCACCCCAGCCCCAAGCCCCAGCCCCACCAGCCCCAGCCCCAGCCGCCCCAGCCCCAGCCCCAGCCCCCAGCCCCAGCCCCATTTCTAAAGCTTGAAAAAACAAAACCCGGCAAAACTCCGGACACAAACCCTTTACAATTTCTACCTAAAAAGTCACAGCTATCCTAAACCCTAAACCCTAAACCCTAAAACCTAAACCCTAAACCCTAAACCCTAAACATATACACACGCAAGCCACCCACGGACACAGTTTCTGGGTCTTCAGCACGCGCAAACCACCCCACATACACAGTCTGTGTGCCTCCATGAAGTTGGATGACTTAGTTGCTGAGTTCATACGCCCCAAGACAGTGTACACTTTCCGCCCTATAAGTCTATAAAGGACTATGGTATCCCGAAAAGTGTAACGTGTACTCTTTCAGCTACTAAGATGATGTTCAAGTTGCTCCCTGGATGTCTCGTGGGGCGTGACTGATGCTCCTTTTGCACACAATGTTTTTTCGCATGGAGAAGCCGATCTCTGTTGTGATATTTGGTGGTTGCTTTGTACTGTCGTTCATCACCTGAAACCCCAAACCCTGAAGCCCCCAAATCGCAACCCTACCTCACAAGCCCTGAACCCACACCCTAAACCCTAAACCCTAAACCCTAAACCCTAAACCCAAACCCGAAACCCTAGACCCTAGACCAATCCTAAACCCCAAACTCGAACCCTGCGCCTCCACACGCTCCATGTCCTGACGCAACGATGTCGCAGCATAGGTTTGCGTAAGCGCCACCGCCTGCACATGAGTAGTTCTCTAAACTAGGGTCCAGGTTGGGCCCCAAACCCTAAACCCTAAACCCTTTTGGGGTATGTTTTCGAAGTTGTCGTACTTTTTGAGGCCATAAAAAGAGAACCTAACTTAGAAGCTACTCACATATTGCAGGTCTGGTGCTTGGAGGTTTCCGGTTTCGGGGTAGGTTGAGGTGGTTCTTCCTAGGGCAGAAGGGACTCTAGTACCCCCAAAAGTTATAAAGGGTACCAAATTTATGCTAAGGACCAGTAAGGCTGAGAAAGTTGAGGTGCGAGGGCAAAATCAAGCGCGGGCTAAGAGGTCTTACAAAACCACTAACACACAACCAACGTTGCTCTGGGAAGAATGCCCAGCACTAGCGGCGGTGGTGGTGGTGCGTAGTTCTAATGCTAAACCCTAAACCCTACACCCTACACCCTGAACCTCTAAAGCCCTTGAATGCAAGAACCCGCCACAGAATTCTTCCCTGAGCAATGGCTTCAGTGGACAAATCTTGCTGGTCCCTTGTGGACAGGCAGAGCAAACCAAAATCAGCGCCAAATTTTTCAAGTAACCCACTTGTAAACTCAATTCTCCGGCTTCCGAGCAAGAAACATGTCAGCGCAATTTCGGGTTTTTGCCAACATTCTGAACCTAAATGGTCCACCTCTCCAACCAGACTAACATTCCACTTCGGGTACCCGAAGTAGAGGGGCGACGTACGCTTGCAAACTCAATTCTCCGGCTGCCGATTTCAGCACAATTTCGGAAGGGTGACACTTCTTTGCGATACCAACATTCTACACCTAAATGGCCCACGTCTCCGTTAGTAGAAGGGCAACGGTACAGCCGGGGGCCAAAATGCACCCTCAACCTTTAGGGTTAGGGTTTAGGGTTTAGGGTTTAGGGTTTAGGGTTTAGGGTTTAGGGTTTAGGGTTTAGGGTTTAGGGTTTAGGGTTTAGGGTTTAGGGTTTAGGGTTTAGGGTTTAGGGTTCAGGGTTCAGGGTTTAGGGCTTAGGGTTCCCCAACAAGACGCCATGGTTCAGCGACCACACAAGCTGCCCCCATGCACAGAAGCCTGCTCGTGCAGATGCCCCATCTGAATGCACTGCCAATAGTAGCGGTGGGCCTGGATACGGCGTGGGTAGGGTCTGAGTCGCGAACCTAAACTACAAGTATGAAGCAAATCACCACCAAAATCCCCTCTGCAATCCTACAACCTACGTGCTGGACTTAAGACTTGGTGTACAGTGTAGCGTGCCGCCTTCGCCTCGACCTTTGCGGGCTTAACACGTCCCTGAAAATTTCCCTTCTCAGTTCTACAAAGGAGATTAGCCCTGCCGGAGCCCTAAACCCTCAACCCTAAGCCCTAGAATCAACTTGAAGGTCTCCAAAAGGCAATAAGGTTCGGACCTGGGCTACTTCTAGGTTCTTGGGTTTACAATTCAGAGTTCAGGGTTCAGGGTTCAGGGTTCAGGGTTTAAGGTTTAGGGTTTAGGGTTTAGGGTTTAGGGTTTAGGGTTTAGGGTTTAGGGTTTAGGGTTCAGGGTTTAGGGTTTAGGGTTTTAGGGTTGAAGGACATAATCTACAATCCTCACGTCCATAGTAGGAATGCAAAGGGCCCGCTGGGGCCTGAGGCTTCTAGAGTCAAGCTCCACACCCACGAAAGTCTTGGGACCATGTTGGGCTTAGTCACAGTCATATCCCCAAACCCGAAACCCTAAACCCCAAACCCCAAACCCTGAACCAGGGCTGTGGCAGCCGCATTCGCCTGCTGCCGCAGCTGCTGCTGTTGCTGCTGCTGCCGCAGGTGCTGCTGCACCTGCAGCTGGATGTCCATCACCTGCCCCCCAAGCCTTTTTCCCCACAGGGCTTGGGGTTTAGGGTTTAAGGTTTCGGGTTTAGGTTTTGGGGTTTGGGGTTTGGGGTTTAGGGTTTAGGGTTAGGGTTTCACACCCCGAGACCCAAAAGCTCGAGACTCAGTTTTGGTTTAGGGTTTAGGGCTTAGGGTGTCTCAATGAGTGGTGCGCTGGTGCTGAAAGCACCCAGGCGCGCACCCCGACCCGCATAAGCCCACCCCCGCTGGCGCTCCACCCTCACCTTAACCTCTACGGGTTTAGGGTTCTTTTGAACTCTGATCGTGCTTTTGTTTTTTCCATTTCGCTATTGGCTACGCAAAAGCCGAAAAATTGTCCGGGAATTTCGGTGCTTGAGGTTTGGCGTTGGGGGTTGGCTGGCGCCTTCGCCCCTTGGCGTGGCAAGGGATGATGTACATCATTTCGACGGCTCTGGGGGCCTCTGATCTCTTCCTTGAAAATTGAGGTTTGGCTTGGGGGGGTTGGCTGGCGCCTTCTAGGCAGGGCCTCCCAGGCAGGGGCCGGGGCCCGGCCTCCCCAGGCAGGGGCCTCCCAGGCAGCGCAGCCGCAGCTGCCTGCAGGACTGGTGCTCCGCCGGAAGGCTTCTGGCTCCGGAGCTGCCTCGCCTGCCGGCTTCGGCGCGTTCGCCCTGCTCGACGGCCCCAGGCTCACTCAGTTTAGGGCGTAGGGTTTAGGGGTTTAAGGTTTAGGCTTCAGGGTTTAGGGTTTAGGGTTTGGGGTTTGGGGTTTCGGGTTTCGGGTTTGGAGTTTACGGTTTAGGGCCCTGGAATGGAGGATTAGGGTTTAAAGGCCATAGGCTATATAGGGCTTATAGGGTTTTATCGGGTTTCTTTGGACGTTTACAGTGTCAGGTGAGGGTTTTATTGGGTTTGCAGGCTTAGGGTAGAAGGAGAGGCACCATTGAAGCGTTTATCACCATCACATGCCCTCAGCCCTCCCCACCTCTACCAACACCTGGGTTTCGGGTTTAGGGTTTAGGGTTCAGGGTTTAGCGTTTGGGGTTTAGGGTTTAGGCAGGCCCTTGAACCTCAAAACCCTAAATGCGCACTTTAAACACTTGTGTGAAAAATTGGGAGGACCCCTGAAACCGCTTGAGGTTCTGACACACAACCACCAGAGTGCAGAAACAAAAGACGAGATAATTTTCAGGAAGGGAGTGTAGGGTTTAGGATTTAGGGTTTAGGGTCTAGTCTTCTTTCCATAAAGGGCGTATATTTGTGTGTCCAGGCTCCGCTTTTCACCCCCCCTCATCCCCACTTCCCCACGAAGCGCAGGAAAGGACAAAAACCCTAAACGCTAAAACCCTGAACACTAAACCCTAAATCCTCAATCCCAAACACAGCACGAACCACAGGACGGAGGGTGGTGGGATTTCCTATTGGGGGGGGGAGGGTGCGCAGATGCTGGTGCAGATGAAGGCACGAGAAGGGTCATAAAGGGGCATGTTCGGGGAAACTTCCCCCTGAAATGGACCCAGACTCAGTAGCCGCCGTGCGACCCTAAACCCTAAACCCTAAACCCTAAACCCTAAACCCTAAACCCTAAACCCTAAACCCTAGACCCTAGACCCTAAACCCGAAGCCGGCCTGCCCGGCAACGGGTTGCGTCTGGAGCTGCATCGACTGGAGTGAAGGCTTCAGAGGCCACTCGCGTGGTTTAGGGTTTAGGGTTTAGGGTTTAGGGTTTAGGGTTTAGGGTTTAGGGTTTAGGGTTTAGGGTTTAGGGTTTAGGGTTTGGGGTTTAGGGTTTAGGGGTTGGGGTTTAGGGTATTTAGGGTATTTAGGGTATTTAGGGTATTTAGGGTATTTAGGGTATTTAGGGTATTTAGGGTATTTAGGGTATTTAGGGTATTTAGGGTATTTAGGGTATTTAGGGTATTTAGTGTATTTAGGGTATTTAGGGTATTTAGGGTATTTAGGGTATTTAGGGTATTTAGTGTATTTAGGGTATTTAGGGTATTTAGGGTATTTAGGGTATTTAGGGTATTTAGGTTATTTAGGGTATTTAGGGTATTTAGGGTATTTAGGGTATTTAGGGTATTTAGGGTATTTAGGGTATTTAGGGTATTTAGGGTGTTTAGGGTATTTAGGGTATTTAGGGTATTTAGGGTATTTAGGGTATTTAGGGTATTTAGGGTATTTAGGGTATTTAGGGTATTTAGGGTATTTAGGGTATTTAGGGCATTTAGGGTATTTAGGGTATTTAGGGTATTTAGGGTATTTAGGGTTTAGGGGTTAGGGGTTAGGATTCAGGGTTTAGTATGTAGGGGTTTAGGGGCTTTGGGTGTAGGGTTTCCCCCACGAAGTTGGCTTTCCTCATTCTGGTAGCCGAATATACGCTCTTCAACAGCAACCCAGTAAGCCAGATGACCAGCTTCCTAGAGGCGCTTCTCAGGGTACTCGGAAAATGAGGGCTTAGGGTTTCGGGTTTAGGGTTTAGGGTTTAGGGTTTAGGGTTTAGGGGCCTGCGAGGACATAGTAATGCTCACCTTTAGAAAACTGGAACTTGAGAAGGCTCCAAGAAAACCTTCTACAGCATGGTGTCTTAGGCCGAAAACCCCCAAAAGAAGACCCCAAAAGAAGAACGCTCATGGCATCAAGGGTTTCGAGTTCAAGGGTCAGAGTTGAGTCCGTAAATCCCGCAAGCCCGTCTTCAGCTTCCACCACGTCCGCCCATCTGGCCGCCTGCCTGCACCTGCGCCTGGTGGTGAGCATTCATCGCCTGCACACGTCAGCTTGAGGACTTGGATCATCCTAAACCTAGCTGCGCCCTGAGAGCCTGAAAGTCTTGAAGCCTGCCAAGCTATACCCCGAAACCCCAGACCCCCAAAGGCCGTCATCCCCTAAGCCCTGAAGCGAAAACCCCAAGCCCTACATCTATGTGGTCCTCCTAAACCCGGCCGTCATCCCCTAAGCCCTGAAGCGTAAACCCGAAGCCCTACATCTATGCGGTCCTCCTAAACCCCCCCACGACATGAACCTACCGGTAGGAATGCAAAGGATGGACGTTACGCAAACGCCTCAAGCAAGCAAGAAGCACCATGAAGGCTTTGGGACTTGGGTACACGCAGTGGGGTCTAGGTCTTAGGATTGGGTGTTTCGGGTTTTCGGGCTCCGCGGTTTAGAGGGTTTGGGGAGTTTGGGTGCATGCTTGGCGTTGTAGGGCTTGGGGGCACAAGGGCACCAAGCTCCAAAGTCCACAATCTTCCGCCCGCGCTATGCCTCCAATCATCCACTGGGTCCACAAGCACTTAGGTCCTACTTTCATTGAACAAGAATGTACTTTCCGGCCAGTCTATAAACAGCTGCCTTCATGGAACTGGCGACAAAGTGGAAGCAGTAGAGAATGGCTTTGAGAAGGCTTGTCGTCTGACGCCGTCCGCAGATGAACATGCTACTAGAAGTGCAGCTCCCACAGAAGCTCCGAAACCCCAAACCCGAAACCCCAAACCCTAAACCCTAACCCAAAGAGAGCGAGGCGGAGCGCTAAACTAGCAGCCTGCGGCTGCTGCTGAAGCTGCTGCTGGTGCTGCTGCAACGGCACGGCCTGAGCCTTCAGTCAGCTGTGAGCTGAACCCCAACGTCTAACATAAAGCCCCCCTCTAGGGTGGAGATTTCGTTTAGCCGAAGTCAAACTTCCAGCAAGACAGCAACATGAGCCGATGCGAAAGAGCATTTCACCAACACTTCTTCTCATGTTTTTTTCGCAGAGTCTCTGCTTTGTCTGAATTTGCCGTGCGCATGACGGCTTTGGAAAGGATTCGTATGTCTTTTTGCAAGTCTCCTTCATGGCATGATCTTCTTTACGAGGCTGCCCTGAGAGGCTGAACTTCATGTTCTATTGAAGGGGGGGGGGGCACGCGCGCGCACACACACACACAACACGCTTGCGTGACGGGCTTGGAAAGAATTCGTCTGTTTTACAACGCGCGTCCTCTTCATGGCATGATCGTCTTTACAAAGCAAGCTTGCACGGCTTGAAAAAACATAAACGCGCGGCGGCTGGTCCCACTTGCAAGTACAATGCTCGCATGATGTTTTTTGTTCACAAAAACTATCGTATGTTTCAAAATGCAAGTCTTCTTCATGGGCTGATCTTCTTTCCAAAGCAAGCTGGCACGGCGTAAGACTTCAAGCCCCTGAGCCCTACACCTATGCGGCCGTCCATGTCGGAGCACAGAAAGCCATCCAAACCCTATACCCTAAACCTAGGAATACAAGGGATGCAAATTATGCGCAACTAGCCTAGGAATATAACGGATGCACTTGGTGCGCAATTGTGTTCAACGTGGGAGCCTAACACCTCAAACAGGCAAGAAGCACATGACGGCTTTGGGACTTAGGGCAGTGCAGTTGGGTTCGTGTAAGGTTCTGGGCTTAGGGTCGGGTTCAGGATTGCGGGGCTTAAGCAGTCTAGGGTGTATGCTTAGTGTGAGTACGGAAGGGTTTAGGGCTGTTTAGGCTCTTGGGCCAAGCTTGGGTGCGTCGAGCGTTGGGCTCCAAACCCGAAGTTTAGGGTTTAGGGTTTAGGGTTTAGGGTTTAGGGTTTAGGGTCTAGGGTTTAGGGTTTAGGGAAATCTTTCGCCAGCCCATGACTCCAATCATCCACTGGATCCACAAGAATTCTCAACATGGGCGCACTTTCCGGCCAGGCTATAGACATATTCAGCTGTATTACTACTAGAAGTACAGCTCTTACAGAAGTTCCTAAACCCTAAACCCAAAACACAATAAGCCGACCTTCAAGCCCTAAGCCCTGCATGCGGCCTGCGGCTGCTGCTGCAGCTGCTGCTGCTGCAGCTGCTGCTGCTGCTGCAGCTGCTGCAAAGGCACTGCCTGAGCCTTGCGTCAGCTTTGGGTTGAGCCCCTCCATCTAACATGAACCAGATCCCCCCAGGCCCCCCAGGGTCGAAATTTTGTTTTGCCACCTTTCTCCCAAAAACAGTGTGCCAACACTAGGGGGTTCTTGCCGTCGAGTAAGGAGGGTGAGATTGAGTTTCTCGCGCGGCTCGCACGAAACGCGCCCGAGATGCGCGGGCGGTATTCCTCGAGCGGTGGCGAGGTCCCGGATTGCTTGGGGCCTCGAAACATGGCAAGTTACTTGCCTTTGGCTTCGTGGATGTTGTCGAGTCACGCTCAGGATTTACCGTTTGGGGGTGCGTTGGGGGCTAGGGGCTCCAAACCCAAAATCTTCCGCCCAGCCCATGACTCCAATCATCCACAGGAAAGCATGTACGTACTTCCTGCACTCAGTGGATGTACAAGGTTTAGGGTTTAGGGTTTAGGGTTGAGGGTTTAGGGTTTAGGGTTTAGGGTTTAGGGTTTAGGGTTGAGGGTTTAGGGTTAGGGTTTTCCTTCACTCAATGGGTGTACTTTCCGGCCGGTTTATAAACAGATACAGCTGTTATAGATCACGCTTAATCTATGCTGCCTTCATGTCCTTCATGGAAAGGTGCGGTGACATGACACAGCCGAGGCAGCCAAGCATCCATAGATGAACATGCTACTAGAAGTACAGCTCCCACAGAAGTTCCTAAACCCGAAACCCGAAGCCCTAAGCCCTAAACCCTAAACCCTAAACCCTAAACCCTAAACCCAAAACCCAAAAAGAAAGTAAGCCGACCTTCAAGCCCCAAGCCCTGCATGCAGCCTGCGGCTGCTGCGGCAGCTGCTGGCGCTGCTGGTGCTGCTGCAGGGGCACTGCTGGAGCCTTTCCGTCAGCTTTGGATTGAAGGCTTTAGGGTTTAGGGTTTAGGGTTTTGGGTTTAGGATTTAGGGTTTAGGGTAACTTGAAGCCCCCCCACCCCGGGCGGAGATGTTCCTTCTTTCTTGTAAAACACTTTTTGTTCTCGTCCGATCGCTCTGTATTTTAGCCGGAAAACCTAAATAATATGTCCTCGATTTTTGATGTGCCGTCTAAAAGTTTCCTCTAATTGCTAATCGGAAAGCCTCCATTTTCTCTGACAAACCACGAGAAACCTGTGTTACCTCTTATTTTACCAGAAAGACAACCTCCATTTTTTCTCTTCATGTATTCTCCTTACAAACCTCGACTTCTTCTAATTTGTTGAAGAGAAAGCCTTTGTTACCCCAAACTTCTCCAAGAAAGTCTCTATTTCCTGCACATCTTCCTAGGCATATGTCTGTTCTCCCATTTTTGAATAGGAAACCTCTGCTACCTCTACATCTTCCTTGGAAAACATCTAATTATTCTCTACATCTAGTCACTAATCTAGTCCTCTTCATGGGCTGATCTTCTCGACACAGCAGCAAGCTTGCATTGCTTGGAAATACGTAACAAGCAGTTCCCCACGCATTGCTTGGAAATATGTAACAAGCAGTTCCCCACCCCCCCCCCCCCCCCCCCCCCCCCCAAACCCCCGCCCCCGGTCCCCCGCATTTTCAGAGTGCACCCTCAGGTGCATGGTCTTGCTTTCAAAAGCTACGAAACCACCGAACCATTGCGAATGGGGGGGAGAGGGGGGGGGAGAAATTGCAAAGCAGCTCAAGACCACCCCCAAACCCTAAACTCCAAACCATGAACAAAGACCCTAAACCCCAAACCCTACCCCCAGACCCTAAACCCGAAACCCTAAGCCCTAGCCCTCCCCAAACCCTAAACTTAAACCCCTCAACCCAACTGGTCTTCGCATTCAACAAAACAGCCCTGCCAAGCGAGAAACCCTAAACCCTAGACCGCGAACCCCTAAACACAGGCAAATCCTAAACCCTAAATCCTAAATCCTAAACCCCAAACCCCAAACTCCAACATGTTTCGCCCCGACAAGGCCTCCAATCCAAACACTCCAAAGCTGAAGCCTCCCAAAAAACCCTAAACCCTAAACCCTAATCCCAAAAACCTAAGCCCTAACCTCAAAACGCTAAACCCTAAACCCTAAACCCTAAACCCTAAACCCTAAACCCTAAACCCTAAACCTTGGGGTCCGAGGTTTCGGGCTCCATTCGGCTGCTCGGCCTGGTTCCACGGAGCGCTCCGCAGCGATTCCTGGCTCAGCGACACCTGATTTCCATAACGCTTGGTCAGCTGAGGTTTAGGGTTTAGGGTTTAGGGTTTAGGGTTTAGGGTTTAGGGTTTAGGGTTTAGGGTTTAGGGTTTAGGGCTTAGGGTTTAGGGTTTGGGGTTTAGGGTTTAGGGTTTAGGGTTTAGGGTTTCGGGCCCTAAAAGATGGAATCTGATCCGAGAACCTCTGCCCTGAAGCCGCAAGCCCCGAAATCACCCCAAACACCCTCGGGTTCTTAGTGGGGAACTCGTCCCCTAAATCCCCCCCACATATACCCTGAACCCTAAACCCTAAACCCCTTAAAGGATTCTTTTGGGTAGCTCATTCCCTCATTCCCTACTCAGAACCTGTAAGAATGTTATACTTGTATGTATATTATATATAATGTATGTATAATATATGTAACCACAAACTACTCCATACATATATACATACAAACAAGTATATGTATATGTATACGTATACGTATATGTATATGTATATGTATATGTGTATGTATATGTATATGTATATGAACGTGCTCAACTCTTAACCCCTACCTCCTGCAAAGACACCTCAACTCAGACACAGAAGCACCCCTCAACTCCTACACAGGAAAACCCCCAACCTCCCAACAACTCCTACGCACCTCCCCTCCGTTTCAACCCCTCAGTTGGGACCTTCCCCCTTATACTAACAGTCCTTAAAAGGGATTATCATATCCTCTGTGATCATGCCTATTAAGGACTTTTAGTGTAAGGGGGGAACATCCCTTATAAGCTGGTTGGTCTGTCCCCAGGTTTCGAGACCTGGCTGTACCTTCCCCCATCTCTTGGTTTGTAATTTGACCCATCTGGTTGTGAAGTCCCTTGTTCTAGAACCCAAAATGAGCACAAAAAGACTTTCCATTTTTCAGGGCTTTGAAAAGATTTCTCTCCATGTCTTTTTTCTGGGGAGGGGGGGGAGGTTCTTAAGCAAATAGTAGTATGGGGGTTTACGAAAATTGGGGACCAGGGACCACAAAAAGGTACCCCCTATTTTCGGAAACCCCCCCAGATTCGCAGACATCTGCCTGGGTTTGCATGTTGCGCTAAACCCTACACCTAAACCCTAAACCCTAAACCCTAAACCCTAAACCCTAAACCCTAAACCCTAGTCCCCCAACCTGAAGGCGCCCTCTCTGCGGAGAATGGGGCCCTTTCGATTTAGGGCTCCGGCCTTTAGCTTTCGATTCCGGACTGTCGGTTTAGGGTTTAGGGTGTAGGGTTTAGGGTTTAGGGTGTAGGGTTTAGGGTTTAGGGTGTAGGGTTTAGGGTTTAGGGTTTAGGGTTAAGGTAACGGTTTAGGGTTTAGGGTTTACGGTTTAGGGCTTATTGCTTAGGGCTTAGGGCTTAGGGCTTAGGGCTTAGGACTTAGGGCTTAGGGCTTAGGGCTTAGGGTTTAGGGCTTAGGGCTTAGGGCTTAGGGCTTAGGGCTTAGGGCTTAGGGCTTAGGGCTTAGGGCTTAGGGTGAATGCTAAGACCTGTAGCGACTCCCACACAAACCCCCCAGAGAGAATACCGCGGTGGCCTGCTCGGGAGCAGTCGCCTGCGTCTGTGGCTCACGGTGGAAGCTACAGCCAGGTGTCAAAACATGGGGAAAGCCCAACCAGCTTATAAGGGATGGTCCCCCCCTTACACTAACAGTCCTTAACAGGCATTGTAATCGGGGGTCTTATAATCCCTATTAAGGACTGTTAGTATACGGAAAGCATCTCCTTGCTTGCAAAAAAACCGAAATAGACCCTCAACCCTAAACCCTCAACCCGAACCGCTAAACCCCACTAACCTTTTAGGCAACCTCGACACCTTAAAGCCCTAAACCCTGAACCCACCGTGCGCAACCATCTCGTGGGAGCATTGTAGTGTTCGCTTAGGCTTAGCATTCCCTCCCAACCCGACCCAGCCTACTACCTTGGACGTAGGCCCTAAACCCGACACCCTAAACCCTAAACCCTAAAACCTAAACCCTCAAACCCTAAACCCTAAACCCTAAACCCCCCAGGTTTTGTTTAACTCACTCTGGGAGGTTCGGGGCCTTCCCACCTTGGTCCCTGTGTGCTTTGGTCTGAAATATTCCCGATTCTGCGGCCCACTGGGAGGTTGGTTTTGGAGGTTTTGGAGGTTTTGGAGGTTTTGGAGGCTTTGGAGGTTTTGGAGGTTTAGGGCTTAGGGTTTAGGGTTTAGGGTTTACGGTTGCTGCTTGGGGCGCGTAAGGATTTCAAAGTTGCGAGAGCCCGGGGGCCTAGAACTCAAAGTTCCCAAGTCGAGATATTCAACACCAAACCCTAAACCCTAAACCCGCCAAACCCCTCACTGGCCCTGGCCTGGCCATGGAACATCTTCGTTACGTACGAACAAGACTCACCCAGTTGCCTTGAACCTTGAACGCTTGCAGTTGAGGGGTTAGGGTTTAGGGCTTACCCTAAACCCTAAACCCTAAACCCTAAACCCTAAACCCTAAACCCTAAACCCTAAACCCTAAACCCTAAACCCTAAACCCCCAAGCTCCCTTCCACATCGAGCTCGCGGCGGGCTGCTCCTCGGGAAGTTGATCCTGCTGCTTGTACCAATTCGCCTCCATGATGGCCTGGCACTTCTCTAGACGATAGTCACTTTCAGTAGGGGATAAGGGTTTAGGGTTTAGGGTTTAGGGTTTAGGGTTTAGGGTTTAGGGTTAGGGTTTAGGGGGACCCTTGGGGATATGGATCTTCTGAATAAGGTCCCTGTTGAAGAGAGCCAGAAGAGGGTTAAGAAGGGTTCCCCTTTAAGGGTCCCCCTTATCCTACCTAGGAAGTCTGAGCACTTCTCTAGACCATGGTCACTGTCGGGGTCCTTGCAATAAGGCGGCCCCTAATATTTAGGGTATTCTGACTGACGAGATCGCATTGAGGGTTCAGTCCAGGGCTTAGGGTCTATAGGGGTTAGGTTTTGAAAGTTGTCGGTCTTGCAAACCAGACGCTCACGAACATGTCGGCAAGAAACAGTCCTGGAAGACCCTCCCATAATCCTCAACCCTGAACCCAAAAGCACCAAACGATTGTCTCAGGTTGGGTGTTAGGTTGAGGGTTTGTAAGGCTTGGGGTGCTCAAACTTGGGTTTGTTCCTCCTTATACTACCAATCCTTCATCGGGATTCTAGTACCCCCCCTCTTATAATCCCTATTAAGGACTGTTAGTATAAGGGGGACACATCCCAAGATCAAACCCCTAAACCCTAAACCCTAAACCCTAAACCCTAAACCCAAAGCCCTAAATAAAACTTAAGGCTTGGTCACCCACTCAGCCGCCCTAACCCCAAAAGCCTCTCCAAGCCCTGGACCTAATGGGTTTAGGGTTTAGGGTTTGGGGTTTAGGGTTTAGGGTTTGGGGTTTAGGGTTTAGGGTTTAGGGTTTAGGGTTTGGGGTTTAGGGTTTGGGGTTTAGGGTTTAGGGTTTAGGGTTTAGGGTTTAGGGTTTAGGGTTTAGGGTTTAGGGTGAAAATCAAGAACTAAACCCTAAACCCGAAACCCTAAACCCGGAACCCTAAACCCTGACCTTTCAGCCGCCCCGCCTAAAGCACCAAGGGGTTTGTGTGCTTAGGGCTTCAAAACAAAACCATCAACCCGACGTCAACCCAAAACGCCGCCCCCCCCCCCCCCCCCCACCCCCAAAAAAAATAACAAATAAGCCCCCAAACCCTCTAAAACCCCAGACCGCTTGCATCTAGGGTTTGGGGTTTTTGTTTGTCACTATTGAAGGGCAGGTCCGGGGGAGTTTCGAGGAACAAATCGAGGAGTTTTCGAGGGTGTTTTTGGCCAAACTTGTGAATAATTCAAGCTACCGGGGTTTGAGGGTCAGGGATTCGGGACCCGAACCCAACAGCACCGGCAGACCTCTGCAGCAGACGCCCTGAGGCTCAGGCGCCAGAACAGTGGAGTTGTTCCCTACTTCGGAGTAGACCCTGGAAGAAAAGTATATACCTTTTGGGTATAAGTAGCTATAATCGGAACCCAGAACCTGAAAGCACAGCACTCCACAACCCAGTATCATGATTCTCCTATATCACGCCTAGAAACCTTGTATAGTCCCTAATTATGTACCTAAGTAGCCGCAAAAAAAAAACTAAACAAACAGTGGAGTTGTTCGGCTTCGGAATCTTCGGGTTCTTTGGCGGCCCTTTGAGGTTTCTATGGGGCTCTGGGAGTGCTAGGGAGTGTTTTTTGTTTTTTTTGGTATTGGGGAGGTTAGGGTTTAGGGTTTAGGGTCTAGGGTTTAGGGCTTAGGGTTTAGGGTTTAGGGGTTAGGGTTTAGGGTTTAGGGGTTAGGGTTTAGGGTTTAGGGTTTGGGGTTTGGGGTTTGGGGTTTCAGGTTTCGGGTCTAGAGTTTAGGGTTTAAGGTTTAGGGTTTAGGGTTTATGGTTTAGGGGGAGAAGCACGTACAAAACAGCGACCGACATGGGAGTTTCCGAAATTGGGGGGGGGAGGGGGGGTATATACCTTATTGGGATCCTTATGAGAAGGGAATCCTACAGTCTTTCAAGGGTCCCCTATCTCGCAAACCCCTAATCGCTTCCCCCTTTTATTAAAGACCCCCCCAATACTAAAAACACTTTCCGGAAAATCCTGCCGAAACCGACCCCGCCTTTTAAACCCTATTCCGAATTAGGGGGGGGTTCAGGGCACCCAAAACCCGCCAGCCAACCAACATCCTAAAGCTCCCTCCCTCTCTCCCCAGCCTAGACCCTAAACCCTTTGGACCCCAAACACGGCATTTGGATAAAAACCTCCCCCTAATAATAAAAACAGATTTCGAATTTCTATTGGGGGGGGGGGGGGGGGACCCCCCGTTTAATATTAGGGGGAAACGATTACATGGTCACTTCTCAAGATTCTGGTTTAGGGTTTAGGGTTTAGGGCTTAGGGCTTAGGGCTTAGGGCTTAGGGCTTAGGGCTTAGGGCTTAGGGCTTAGGGCTTAGGGTTTATGGCTCAGGGCTTAGGGTTTAGGGTTTAGGGTGTTTTTGGCGCCTCAGGCTCTGCACGATGCCAGGGCAATCCTGACCCGTGCTTCTGGGCGTGCGCATTCAAAACCCGAAACCCTAAACCTCTCGTACACCCCAAGCTGCGAAGCTGTTGTAGCCAAAAAAACCCCTCAACCCTCAACCCTAAACCCCGAAACCCTAAACCCCTAAACCCTAAACCCTAAACCCTAAACCCTAAACCCTAAACCCTGAACCCCAAATTCATGTTCGCAGGCAGTCCGTGGGCACCCTTGGAGTTTGGGCACTTGAGAGCTTTAGGGGTTAGGGTTTAGGGTTTAGGGTTTAGGGTTTAGGGTTTAGGGTTCAGGGTTTAGGGTTTACGGTTTACGGTTTAGGGTTTAGGGTTTAGGGTTTAGGGTTTAGGGTTTAGGAAACCATCTTCTCGCCAAGTGCGCCAGGGTCTTTGCGCGGTGAAGTCCGCTCGAATAGCCCACACTGGCGGCTGAGTGCGTGGTCTGTTTGGCGTTGACGCGCTTTGCTGAACCATGCTCTCGCCGCCTAGGCGGAGTGCAAAAATGCCGCTTAACCTGCACTGGCCGTGCTTCTCGAACAAGGCGAAACCGCAAACCCTAAACCCTAAAGCCCTAACACCCTTAAACCTCTAAATCCTAAACCCCTAACACCCGAAACCCCTAACACCCTAAACCCCTTAATCCTAACTCTCCGGACCCTCGTGGGGGTTTCCGAAATTCGGGGTACCTTACTGGGCTCCTTGTTACAAGGGAGTCCTACTATTTGGGGGTCTATCTTAGGGATTCTCTAGGTTCGTAAACCCACATAAGCATAAACCCTAAACCCTAACCCCCCCCCCCCCCCCCCCAAAAAAAAAAAAAAAAGATGAAGAAGAGGGATCCCTAAACCCACAGGCTCAGGGATGTTTAGGGCATTCATGAAGAAAACCTTCCCCTTCGCAGCAGTAGGGAGGGGGCCATCACAGGGTTTAGGGTTTTGGGTTTTGGGTATTGGGTTTAGGGTTTAGGGTTTAGGGTTTAGGGTATTGGGTGTTGGGTATTGGGAATTGGGGTCTGGTTTAGGGTGTTGGGTTTAGGGCTCAGGGTTTAGCATTTAGGGCCTCGGCCCTAAACCCTAAACCCTAAGCCCTAAACCCTAAACCCTAAACCCTAAACCCTAAACCCTAAACCCTAAACCCTAATAGGGATAAGGGTTTAGGGCTTAAGGGCCCGAAACGCAAGCCTTGTCGAGTTGCTGGTCACCGAATCGGAGTCCTAATGGAAAGCATCTTCTCGCCAAGTGCGCCAGGGTTTCGGGTTTAGGGTTTTAGGGTTCAGGTTTTTAGGGTGTTAGGGTTTTAGGATTTAGGGTTTAAGGTTTAGGGTTTAGGGGTGTGGGGTTTGGGGTTTGGGGGTTTAGGGTTTAGGGATTAGGGTTGAGAAGGTTTCGGGCCAGGGGAGTTCGTGGGTTTTTGGGGCTCTGTGGGGGGGGGCTCTCTTAGGGCCCAGGTGCAGGCTTCTTTGGTTGAAGCTTGTGTTGGTAGCATAGGGTTTAGGGCTTAGGGTTAGGGTTTAGGGTTTAGGGTTCAGGGTTCAGGGTTTAGGGTTTAGGGTTTGGGGTTTGGGGTTTGGGGTTTGGGGTTTGGGGTTTGGGGCTTGGGGTTTGGGGTTTGGGGTTTGGGGTTTGGGGTTTGGGGTTTAGGGTTTAGGGTTTAGGGTTTAGGGTTTAGGGTTTAGGGTTTAGGGTTTAGGGTTTAGGGTTTAGGGTTTAGGGTTTAGGGTTTAGGGGTACTTACTAACCAATTAGAACTGTACTTCTAACCCACGTATAGCCCCTTATAAGTGCCCTCATGTGGCCATAAGTACAGTGGTAAGTACAGATATAATTGTGTAGTAAGAAGCAAGAACCTCCAAGCAGAGGGCAGCTGGAAATTGGGTGCGGGACTGCCCAGGGGTTCGGGGCTTAGGGTTTAGGGCGTTTAGGGTTTAGGGCTTTTAGGGTTTAGGGTTTAGGGTTTAGGGTTGAGGGCTTAGGGTTCAGCAGTTCTGAGCGTGAAGAGTCTACTCTCGGCAAACACCCACCCGCCACATCCGAACATATTGCTTCATAAAGGGCGAAACATATTCTCCCACTCGATCGCTTCTCCGGAGTCACCCCACCCCGCCCTCGGACCACCTGACCATTTCCCGTGACCGTTTCCCATGACCGTTTCCCGCGGGGGAGGGGCGGGGGTTGACCATTTCCTGTGACCATTTCCCGGACGGGCGGGGGGCGGAGGTTTGACCATTTCCTTCGGGGGGGGCGGGGTGGCTGACCATTTCCCGTGCCCATTGCGTACTGACCATTGCCCGCGAGTTTTGACCATTGCCCACGAAAAATGACCATTGCCCACGAAAAAATGACCATTGCCCACGAAAAATGACCATTGCCCACGAATACTATAAGGTTTAACTACCATTTGACAAGAGGGTTTAGGGTTTAGATTCTAGGTTTAGGGTTTAGGGTACGCGTTTGCGCCCGCGAGGAACTGCACGCCATGCCACTGCGCAGCAGTGCGCAGATCCAATCATGCCTGCAAACAAAAGCTAATCCCTAAACTAACCTCAAAATGTCCTGAAGAGCCTAAACCCTAGACCCTAGACCCTAGACCCTAAACCCTAAACCCTAAACCGCCCAACTTCCCCGAAGTCCTCGATCCGTATCGCAGGAGTCTGATTGAGCCGCGCTGGCTCGGCCTTCGCTCGAAAGAGCCCGGCGGGTTGGGGTTAGGGTTCAGGGTTTTGGAGTTTAGGGTTTAGGGTTACCTAGGGTTCAGAGGGTTTAGGGTCTAGGGTTTAGGGTTTAGGGTTTAGGGTTTACGGTTTACGGTTTAGGGTTTGGGTTTAGGGTTTAGGGTTAGGGTTTAGGGTTTAGGGTTTAGGGTTTAGGGTTTAGGGTTTAGGTTTAGGGTTCGGATAAAGGTTCATAGGGGCATGGCGTGGAAGGTGTTGAATTAGTGGTTTTGTTGCTGATGCAATGTGAGTAGGGGTGTTTGCGTAGGGGTTTTGGGTTCAAGGTTTCCAGTCTATGGTTTAAGGTTACGGGTTTAGGGTGTGCCAAGGTTCACGTTCCCTCTTGCCCTCGGTCGGGTTTGGGGTTTTCACATATCCTGTAAGCCCTAATCCCTAAACCCCTGGAGCCGCGATCCTAAACCCTAAAAGCCCGAAAACCCTACAAGGCACAAAAACCATCACCACACATGAAGTAGGGTTTATATTTCTTTTACCCCCAAAAGGACACCCAATATACGCACTCACCAATTTTAAAACGGAACCTTACAAAAAACTCACCAATAACAGTAGTACAAACCCTGCTTCACGTAGAGGCCATAATAACAAAGATCATGAGAGCAAAAAAACTGAACCCTCAACCCGAGCCCAAGCTTCTCCAGTGATTTTTTTTTCTGGGGGGGGGGGGGGGGGGGGGGGGGGGGGGGGGGGGGGGGGGGGGGGGGGGGGGGTTTAGAGTTTGGGGTTTAGGGTTTAGGGTTTAGGGTTTAGGGCTTAGGGTTTGGGATTTTGGGTTTAGGGTGAGGCTCCCAAACTCCGGCAAGGGGCCTGCATAATCGGAGGGGTTGCAGGAGGAGGCGGCGCAGGTGGAAGAGCCTCGTGAAGAGATGTAGGGGGTTTAGGGTTTAGGGTTTGGGGTTTAGGGGTTAGGGTTTTGGGTTTAGGGTTTAGGGTTTAGGGTTTAGGGTTTAGGGTATAGAGTGTAGGGTTTCGGGTTTCGGGTTTCGGGTTTCGGGTTTCGGGTTTCGGGTGTAGGGTTTCGGGTTTCGGGTTTCGGGTTTCGGGTTTCGGGTTTCGGGATTCGGGTTTAAGGTGAGGGGGTTCAGGGGGTTTTGGATCCTTTAGGGCTAAGGGCTTGTACAGAGAGCCTCTTAGGGTTTAGGGCTCAGGGGCTACAGAAGTACAGGGCTCAAGGTTTAGAGTCTAGAGGCCATAAACACTAAACCCTAAACCCTAAACCCTAAACCCTAAACCGTAAACCGTGAGTGTACCGGATAACGGACTTTAGGGCTCACAAGATACAGGGGTTCAGGAAGGGCACAAGGAAAAGGCTGAGGCTGCCTAAGGCGAGCCATTGCACCCCTGCAGTTGGGTCAGGGTTTGGGGTTTAGGGTTTAGGGTTTAGGGTTTAGGGTTTGGGGTTTAGGGTTTAGGGTTTAGGGTTTAGGGTTTTTGGGTTTTGGGGTTTAGGGTTGTTGGGGTTTTGGGGTTTTGGGGTTTTGGGGTTTTGGGGTTTTGGGGTTTTTGGGGTTTTGGGGTTTTGGGTTTTTGGGGTTTTGGGGTTTTGGGGTTTTGGGGTTTTGGGTTTTGGGGTTTTGGGTTTTTGGGGTCAGGCAAGAATGGGGCAACCTGCGACAGCCAGGCCTAATCTCCCAAACCCCGAGGACCTCCTCGCAAACATCTGTCCGAGAGGAGTTCCGAGGGTCGGGCTCTCAACCCTGAACCCTCAACCTTCAAACCCTCAACCCTCAACTCTTCAGCCTCAAGCTTCACGCCTCAAACCTCAAGCCTTAACCCTCAACCCCAAGACCCCAACACCTTGTGGGCTCAAGCTTTGTGTACAGTTTGCTAGCCGCCGAAATTGTAGTGTTGAGGACCCTGTTTCCCCAAAACAAGATCGGACTGGCTGGGGGTAAAGGTTCAGGGCTTAAGGTTAAGGGTTCAAGGATTTAGGGTTTAGGGTTTAGGGTTTAGGGTTTAGGGTTTAGGGTTTAGGGTTTAGGGTTTAGGGTTTAGGGTTTAGGGTTTAGGGTAGGGTTTGGGGTTTGGGGTTTGGGGTTTGGGGTTTAGGGTTTAGGGTTTAGGGTTTAGGGTTTAGGGTTTAGGGTTTAGGGTTTAGGGTTTAGGGTTTAGGGTTTAGGGTTTAGGGTTTAGGGTTTAGGGTTTAGGGTTTAGCGTTTAGCGTTTAGGGTTTAGGGTTTAGGATTCAGGACCCAAGTCCAGCCAAAACTTCTGAACCCGAAACCGCGGACTCTACTGTGTTCTTCCGAAGGAGGTGCGACCTGTGTGGTTTATTGTTGAGGTTTTAGGGCGATCAAGGGTTTAGGGTTTAGGGTTTAGGGTTTAGGGTTTAGGGTTTAGGGTTTAGGGTTTAGGGCTCCCCCCTCCGCGCTCCAAGACGCCTTCGCCTGGTCCGTTGCCCGCATGGGAGGAGGAACCACCTGCACACACCATGAGCAGGAACCTAAAACCCCTAAAGACCCTAAACCCTAAGACCCTAAACCCTAAATCCTAAACCCTAAACCCTGAGACCCTGCACCCTAAAATCCTAAATCCTAAACCCTAAAACCCTAAACCCTGAACCCTAAGACCCGTAAACCCAAAGACCCTAACCCAGAACCCAAAAACCCAAAAAAAAACCTCAAACCCTAAACCCAGTTTCGCGGGAAGAGGCCGACGGACTTCGTGCAGCTCAGCATGAAGGCCCTCCTGTGCCTGAAGCCCCTCTAAACTCGAAACCCTGCAGAAACACTAGCCCTAAGAAAGCTTCAAAGGCCCAGAATCTCCGAGCTCCACCCTTAGGGTTTAGGGTTTAGGGTTTAGAGTTTAGGGTTTAGGGCTTAGGGTTTAGGGTTTAGGGTTTAGGGTTTAGGGTTTAGGGTTTAGGGTTTAGGGTTTAGGGTTTAGGGTTTAGGGTTTAGGGTTTAGGGTTTAGGGTGGGTTTAGGGTTTAGGGTTTAGGGTTTAGGGTTTAGGGTTTAGGGTTTAGGGTTTAGGGTTTAGGGTTTAGGGTTTAGGGTTTAGGGTTTAGGGTTTAGGGTTTAGGGTTTAGGGTTTAGGGTTTAGGGTTTGGGGTTCAGCATCTCTGATCTAAGCATTCACCAAGGGTGTTTGGCATCACCCCACCCACCTAGAATCCCTTTCATCTGGCAACCTTATCTACCATTTCAATTCGTACTGCCTTAAGTCCCCTGAACCCTAAAACCCAAATCCTGAAAGCTCCAGAGAGGCCCCTGAATCCTAAATCCTAAACGCACCAGAAAGGCCCTTAAACCCTAATGCCTAAGTCTTAGAAGCTGCAGAGAGGGCACCCCGAACTCCAAATCCTAAATCTTAAAAGCCATGAGAGGGAGGGCCCTGAACCCTAAATCCTAAGTCCTACAGGCATTACCCCAAAGAACCACCGCAGCCCCAAATAGCTTTAAAAAACACCAAAAAGCTTCCAAAAAAACCCAAAAAGGGGGTAGCCTGGTATTTGCCTGCTCCCGCAATGAAAAAGGCTGATTTTTAGTACTGGTATTTGCCTGCTCCCGCAATGAAAAATGCTGTTTTTTAGTACTGGAATCGACGCTCCATTTTACCCCAAAGCACCACCACAGCCCCGAATAGCTTAAAAAAGCCGGGGGCTCCCCGGGACAGCTGGTCTGGGGGCGTCCCGGAAGGGCCCCGGGACATTTGTTTCGGGAGGACCCGAAACGCCCCGGACACCCCAGGACAACCTGTCCCGGGGGGGCCCCGGGACAACCCGTCCCGGGGGGGTCCCGGGATTTAGGATTTAGGATTTAGGATTTAGGATGTAGGATTTAGGATTTAGGATTTAGGATTTAGGATTTAGGATTTAGGATTTAGGAACCACGCAACCGCAAAATCACCCGACGACCCCATTAAGGTTTAAATACATATAGGTAGAGAGGGTTTAGGGATAAGGGTTCAGGGTTTCAATAAACTACGCACCGGCACACCTTGGGCGCGGGTTTCGCGAGCTGGCTCTCCTCCTGGCTTCGCAGGAGGCGTGTCGACGGGCAGGGTTTAGGGTTTAGGGTTTAGGGTTTAGGGTTTAGGGTTTAGGGTTTAGGGTTTAGGGTTTAGGGTTTAGGGTTTAGGGTTTAGGGTTTAGGGTTCAGGGTTCAGGGTTCAGGGTTCAGGGTTCGGTTCAGGGTTCAGGGTTCAGGGTTCAGGGTCAGGGTTCAGGGTTCAGGGTTCAGGTTCAGGGTTTCAGGGTTCAGGGTTCAGGTTCAGGGTTCAGGGTTCAGGGTTCAGGGTTTTAGGGTTTAGGGTTTAGGGTTTAGGGTTTAGGGTTTAGGGTTTAGGGTTTAGGGTTTAGGGTTTAGGGTTTAGGGTTTAGGGTTTAGGGTTTAGGGTTTAGGGTTTAGGGTTTAGGGTTTAGGGTTTCGGGCAAGATGGAAAGGCGTTGCGCTCCAAAACCTCTGAGATGAGATCCATGACCTACTTGATTGGGGTAGCACACTAGACCCGATGCTCAAGCCCTGAACCCCAAACCCTAAACCCTAAACCCTAAACCCTAAACCCGAAACCCTAAACCCTAAACCCTAAACCCACCATCAGCAGGCCTGAGCACGCTCCTGCATCGGATAACTGCCCGGGATCACCTGCCATTTCGATGCAGGCCGGGCCCATGAACTGGTTCATGGCTTCGGGTTTAAGGGCTAAAGGGGTCCTAAGACTGTTTAGGGTTTAGGGTTTAGGGTTTAGGGTTTAGGGTTTAAGGTTTAGGATTTAGGGATAGGGTTTAGGGTTTAGGGCTTAGTAGCCGTTCGGGACGTGACGCGGGACGCGCGTCTGGGGACGCGGTCCGGGACGTGGCCGCTGACCCTCCTCAGGACGCAGCCTGCTCCAGGTCTATAGAAAGCGGTGCGGCGCTCGCGTGCGTTTCCAGGGGGTGGGAAAACGCACGTGTACTTGTGTTTTGAGTTTAGGGTTTCGGGGCTCGTCCCACAGTTCGTTCCTTCCCCTTCCCCTTCCCCTCCCCTCCCTTTCCCTCCAATGACCCTTAGCTGTGTCTAAAAAGGCTCTGTGAATTTCGGGAGGCCTGGAAAATGCACGGGAGCTTTCGGTTTCCGGGTTCAGGGTTTGGGGTGCTGTGCTGGCGTGTGGGGTGTCTCTGACGTTACGGGGAAAATGCTCCCGAAAAGCCACTTTTCTCGAAAAGCCACTTTTCTCGAAAAGTGACTTTTCTCGCGGTGTTGGAGCGCGCGGTTTCCGCGAAAAGCCACTTTTCTCGAAAAGCCACTTTTCTCGAAAAGCCACTTTTCTCGAAAAGCCGCTTTTCTCGAAAAGTGACTTTTCTCGCGGCGTTGGAGCGCGCGGTGTCCGCGAAAAGCCACTTTTCTCGAAAAGCCCCCCGCTGTTCTCGAAAAGTGACTTTTCTCGCGGCGTTGGAGCGCGTGGTGTCCGCGAAAAGCCACTTTTCTCGAAAAGCCACTTTTCTCGAAAAGTGACTTTTCTCGCGGCGTTGGAGCGCGCGGTGTCCGCGAAAAGCCACTTCTCTCGAAAAGCCACTTTTCTCGAGAAGCCACTTTTCTCGAAAAGCCGCTTTTCTCGAAAAGTGACTTTTCTCGCGGCGTTGGAGCGCGCGGTGTCCGCGAAAAGCCACTTTTCTCGAAAAGCCACTTTTCTCGAAAAGCCGCTTTTCTCGAAAAGCCGCTTTTCTCGAAAAGTGACTTTTCTCGCGGCGTTGGAGCGCGCGGTGTCCGCGAAAAGCCACTTTTCTCGAAAAGCCACTTTTCTCGAAAAGTGACTTTTCTCGCGGCGTTGGAGCGCGCGGTGTCCGCGAAAAGCCACTTTTCTCGAAAAGCCACTTTTCTCGAAAAGCCACTTTTCTCGAAAAGCCACTTTTCTCGAAAAGCCACTTTTCTCGAAAAGCCACTTTTCTCGAAAAGCCGCTTTTCTCGAAAAGTGACTTTTCTCGCGGCGTTGGAGCGCGCGGTGTCCGCGAAAAGCCACTTTTCTCGAAAAGCCACTTTTCTCGAAAAGCCACTTTTCTCGAAAAGCCACTTTTCTCGAAAAGCCACTTTTCTCGAAAAGCCACTTTTCTCGAAAAGCCACTTTTCTCGAAAAGTGACTTTTCTCGCGGCGTTGGAGCGCGCGGTGTCCGCGAAAAGCCACTTTTCTCCTCTTCCTGTTTAGGGTTTAGGGTTTAGGGTTTAGGGTTTAGGGTTTAGGGTTTAGGGTTTAGGGTTTCGGGTGTAGGGCTTGGCCCAGCAGCCTCAGGACAAACAGAGAAGTGCCCTTCGTGTTCAAAGGGGGACTTTAGGGTATAGGGTTTATAGGGTTTAGGGTTTATAGGGTTTAGGGTTTAGCATGGTTTAGGGTTTAGGCTTTCGGGTTTGGGGTTTGGGGGAGGCTTTAGAGCTTGGGTCTTCGTCCTGAGGGCTTGCTCCAGACCCTCAACTCGAAACCCGAAACCCGAAACCCTAAACCCTAAACCGTTTAGGGTTTAGGGTTTAGGGTTTAGGGTTTAGGGTTTAGGGTTTGGCCCAGCAGCCTCAGGACAAACAGAGAAGTGCCCTTCGTGTTCAAAGGGGGACTTTAGGGTTTAGGGTTTAGGGTTTAGGGTTTAGGGTTTAGGGTTTAGGGTTTAGGGTTTAGGGTTTAGGGTTTAGGGTTTAGGGTTTAGGGTTTAGGGTTTAGGGTTTAGGGTTTAGGCTTTCGGGTTGGGGGTTTGGGGGAGGCTTTAGAGCTTGGGTCTTAGTCCTGAGGCTTGCTCCAGACCCTCAACTCAAAACCCTAAACCCTAAACCCTAAACCCTAAACCCTAAACCCTAAACATCGTCGGGGCTTGCTTAATGCTCTTAATCTTCGACAGCGACTATGTCAGGCTGTGAACCCCGCGCCGCTACTAGAACTCCAGAATCCCCCCAGCTCTACTATGATTATCAAGGCCGGCATACATGCCGCCGTGGGTGCCTTGTCGTGCCATAGCTCAGAGAAGCGGAGAAGGGAGGCGTAGAGGTTCTCTTGGTTGCTTCAATGGCAGGCGCCGTGTGGGGGCGCACAGCGTCTTTCAAAAGCCACTTTTCTTTAGAAGCCACTTTTCTCGAAAAGCCACTTTTCTCGAAAAGCCACTTTTGGCGAAAAGTGACTTTTCTCGCGACGTTGGCGCGCGCCACTTTTCTCGAAAAGCCACTTTTATCGAAAAGACGCCTTTCTCGACAAGTGACTTTTCTCGCGACGTTGCGCGCGCCGTGTCCGCGAAAAGCCACTTTTCTCGAAAAGCCACTTTTCTCGAAAAGCCGCTTTTTGCGAAAAGTGACTTTTCTCGCGGCGTTGGAGCGCACAGCGTCTTTCAAAAGCAACTTTTCTTTAAAAGCCACTTTTCTCGAAAAGCCACTTTTCTCGAAAAGCCACTTTTCGCGAAAAGTGACTTTTCTCGCGACGTTGGCGCGCGCCACTTTTCTCGAAAAGCCACTTTTATCGAAAAGATGCTTTTCTCGAAAAGTGACTTTTCTCGCGACGTTGCGCACGCGGTGTCCGCGAAAAGCCACTTTTCTCGAAAAGCCACTTTTCTCGAAAAGCCGCTTTTCTCGAAAAGCCGCTTTTTGCGAAAAGTGACTTTTCTCGCGGCGTTGGAGCGCACGGCCGCACGGTGTCCGCGAAAGGCCACTTTTCTCGAAATGCCACTTTTCTCGAAAAGTGACTTTTCTCGCGGCGTTGGAGCGCGCGGTGTCCGCGAAAAGCCACTTTTCTCGAAAAGCCACTTTTCTCGAAAAGCCACTTTTCTCGAAAAGCCACTTTTTGCGAAAAGTGACTTTTCTGGCCGCGTTGGTGCGCGCCGCGTCCGCGAAAAGCCACTTTTCTCGAAAAGCTACTTTTCTCGAAAAGCTACTTTTCTCGAAAAGCCACTTTTCTCGAAAAGTAACTTTTCTAGTCGGTTTTCCCGCTAACCTGGAAGACGCACCGTGTGACAGCTTAGGGGGCTTTGGGCCTCGAGGTTTTTGCACAGAGTGACTCCTGCCTAGCCCCCCAGGAACTTTCTAGGGAACCTCATGAGGACCCCTTCCAGCTCTGCACTGTCCAAAAAGGCTCTGTGCGTTTCGCGCTTTTGCACTGAGTGATTCCTGCCTAAGCCCCAAACCCCTAAGGAACCTCATGAGTCATGAGGTCACCTTGCAGAAGGCTCTGTATTGTCCAAGAAGGCTCTGTGCGTTTTGGGGGGCCTGGAAAATGCACGGGAGCTTTCGGGTTCAGGGTTCGGGTTGAGGGCCGCAAGGACTGCGTGGGTTTTCCAAGATTTTTGCACTACGTGATTCCCCCAGAACCCCCTGAGGAACCTCATGAGGACACCTTCCAGAAGGCTCTGTGCTGTCCCAGCAGGCTCTGTGCGTTTTGAAAATGCACGGGAGCTTTCGGGCTTGGGGCCGCAGAGGACGGTGTGAATTTCCGAGGTTTGTCGCCCCCCAGGAACCCCCAAAGAACCTCGTGAGGCCCATCCAGAACGCTCTGCACTGTCCGCAAGAGCTCTGTGCGTTTTAGGAGGCCTGGAAAATGCACGGAGCTTGCGGGTTCAGGGTGCAGGGTTTCGGGTGTGCGTTCTTACAGGGCCTGAAAACGCATGGGGACATTCCCTTTCTGTGCAGAGTTGCTCTTGATTTCAGGACGTGCGTGCTGAAGACGCAAGTTTCTAGGACGCGCGTGCTGGACGCCGGGACGCGCGTCCCGAGGCAGCTAAGGTTTAGGGTTTAGGGTTTAGGGTTTAGGGTTTAGGGTTTAGGGTTTAGGGTTTAGGGTTTAGGGTTTAGGGTTTAGGGTTTAGGGTTTAGGGTTTAGGGTTTAGGGGTTAGGGCTTTAAAAATCCCAGGACCCCGAGCTCAAGCACGCCGGCATCAGGACTACCTGAGGTAGAATGATACAGAGTGCCTATTTAGTGTTTAGGGTTTAGGATTTAGGTATAAAGCAACAAATCCCCCCCCCTCCCCCCCAGATCATTCTTGGGACATGCCTCAGCCCTGAATACCTTCTTTGTTCTTGATACCCTGCGGATCCTTGTACCCATGGAGTATATGCTTGGACCCTGCAGCTACTATGGGTTTAGGGTTTAGGGTTTAGGGTTCAGGGTTTAGGGGTTAGGGTTTAGGGTTTAGGGTTTAGGGTTCAGGGTTGAGGGTTGAGGGTTTAGGTTTAGGGTTTAGGGTTCAGGGTTCAGGGTTCAGGGTTCAGGGTTCAGGGTTTAGGGTTTAGGGTTTAGGGTTGAGGGTTTAGGGTTTCGGGTTTGGGGTTTAGGGTTTAGGGTTTAGGGTTTAGGGTTTAGGGTTTAGGGTTTAGGGTTTAGGGTTTAGGGTTTAGGGTTTAGGGTTTAGGGTTTAGGGTTTAGGGTTTAGGGTTTAGGGAACCCTTCAAGGCGCAAACGCCACATGAGTAGTTCCCGAAATTCTAGTCCCCTTCGAGGGGTCTTTCTTATAAGGTGCCGTTTTTTGCGGGGTGCCCCAAAAGAGACCCATATGGGTACATGGACCCTTTGATAAGGTTTGAGGGTTTGTTGGGACCCATAGGTTCATTGTTTAAAGCAGGTCCTTGATCTCTAGACTGCCCTAAGCCCTGAACACTAAACCTTCAACCCTAAACCCCAAACGTGAACCCTAAACCCTGAACCCTAAACCCTAATCCCTGAACCCTGAACCCTGAACCCTAAACCCTAAACCCTAAACCCTAAACCTAAACCCTAAACCCTAAACCCTAAACCCTAAACCCTAAACCCTAAACCCTGAACCCTCCCCCAAGCGCCAAGGCCTTCGGCACTGGAAGAAGTGCCCTGGGAGCCTACGCTTGGAAACTCGTTGGGGGCTTCGGGCTCTAAGGGACATAGGCATGGTTTTAATGGGTTTAGGGTTTAGGGTTTAGGGTTTAGGGTTTAGGGTTTAGGGTTTAGGGTTTAGGGTTTAGGGTTTAGCGTGTAGGGTTTAGGGTTTAGGGTTTAGGGTTTAGGGTTTAGGGTTTAGGGTTTAGGGTTTAGGGTTTAGGGTTTAGGGTTTAGGGTTTAGGGTTTAGGGTTTAGGGTTTAGGGTTTAGGGTTTAGGGTTTAGGTGTAGGGTTTAGGACAGTTCAGGGCAGTTTGGGGTTTAAGGGGGTCAGGGTTCAGGGTTTAGGCCCTAAACCCCAAACCCATGAATGATCAAATCCGACAATCTGACTCGGTCTTATGACGGCAGTACCTTATCTTAAACTCACCCTAAACCCTAAACCCTAAACCCTAAACCCTAAACCCTAAACCCTAAACCCTAAACCCTAAACCCTAAACCCTCCAAGCACCGTAAACAGATCTACGAGCCTGTCGGACAGAGCTCCAAAATTGGTGGTTGGGCCTTTATTGAATCCCTGAACCCTGAACCCTAAACCCTAAACCCCAAACCCTATGAGCCCTAAGCCCTACGGTTCCAGTTGACCCCGGAAATGCTAGATTCCAGATCTTTGACCCTGCACCCAAAGACCCGCCTCCCGAGCGAGTCTATAGGGTTTTCAGGCTTAGGGGTTTAGGGTTTAGGGTTTGGGGTTTAGGGTTTAGGGTTTAGGGTTTAGGGTTTAGGGTTAAGGGTTTAGGGTTAGGGTTTGGGGTTTAGGGTTTAGGGTTTAGGGCTTAAACCTTAACCCCTAAACCCCAAAATTCTAGGGCTTAAGGGCTCAGACCCTGAAACCCTTAAACCCCTAAACCCTGAACCCTGAACCCTGAACCGCAAGCCCCCATATGCTCAAGCTTAGCGGATTAAACCCATAAGCCCTCAAGCCCCCAAGTTTGTGGGGGTCTTGGGATTTATGAGGCAGCAGGTTTGAGACGCATCCCGAAACCCGACAATCGCGAGATGCTTTCCTGCCTCGGCACTGCCTAACCCAAAACCCTAGGCCCTAAACCCCAAACCCTAAACCCCAACCCCTAAACCCTAAACTCTGAACCCTGGACTCTAAACCCTGCATGCAGATTCCTAGGAGCTTGACAAAGCTTCAGGGTATCTTTTGTGCCACGTCCGCCCAAACAAGAACGTAATCCCTGAAGCCTTGAACCCCTGAACCCAAAACCTTAAAACCTGGAAACTGATCCCTAAACCTTGGGATGTTCCCACCCCCCTATACTAGCAGTCCTTCATAGGGACTATGGTACCCCCCATTATAATCCGACTGTTAGTATAAGGAGGAACATCTCAACCCTAACCCTAAGCCCTAAGCCCTAAACCCTAAACCCTAAACCCCGTACTAGGGACTGTTAGTACAAGGGGGACTGCACAGGGGCCTGGCCTCCTCCTTCATCTCCTGCGATGAAATAAGCGACATGTGGGAAAGCTCGAGGGTTTAGGGTTTAGGGTTTAGGGTTTAGGGTTTAGGGTTTAGGGTTTAGGGTTTAGGGTTTGGGGTTTAGGGTTTAGGGTTTAGGGTTTAGGGTTTAGGGTTTAGGGTTTAGGGTTTAGGGTTTAGGGTTTAGGGTTTAGGGTTTAGGGTTTAGGGCTTACCTCAACCCCCCGCAACCAGTCCTGGGGGTGCCCTAAACGATGAAGAAAATAGGGCTGGCGGGCTCCGGCTGACTGGGGTTTAGGGACCAGTGAAGACTATTCGTAATTCTTCCGTTTCGGTCCGAGCGCCAAGTGCACGGACCGAAAGTGAGGCGGAGTCTGGCTTGAGAGGCTAAGCAAGCCCCAAACCCCAAAAGCCTTACAACTTACACTCCCGGAAACTGAAGTCTGAACCCCGGAACCCCTGAGCCGCCAAGACTCACCTGGGATCCCACAAACCCTAAACCCTAAACCCTAAATCCTAAACCCTAAACCCTAAACCCTAAACCCTAACCCGAAACCCTGGACACAGATGGTGCCTTCAGTCTGTCGAAGCCTTCTTGCTCCTTCTTCTGCTGCTTCCACTCCTGGTCCTGGCGCGGCTCAGTTTAGGTTGAGGGCTTTAGGGTTTAGGGTTTAGGGCTTAGGGTGGGGGTAGGGTTAGGGTAGGGTCGAGGGTCGAGGGTCGAGGGTCGAGGGTCGAGGGTCGAGGGTTTAGGGTCGGGTCGAGGGTCGAGGGTCGAGGGTCGAGGGTCGAGGGTCGAGGGTCGAGGGTCGAGGGTCGAGGGTCGAGGGTCGAGGGTCGAGGGTCGAGGGTCGAACGTGGAGGGTTGAAGGTCGAGAGTTTGGGGTGTAGGCTCTTTTGCTGTCATTGAAACCCGGACCCAGTCCGTGTGGAGCAAGTCGAAAGCATCCTGGGTCATTTTCAGGCTGCGCGGATCTTTCACCGAGCTGCTGTTGAAGGTCCGGTAGAAGGCCTGCCAGGGACAGGGATCCCTACGCCCCAGCCCTAAACCCCAGCCCTAAACCCTAAACCCTAAACCCTAAGCCCTGGACCCTAAACCCTAAGCCCAAAACCCTAAGCCTTAGCCCTCTATCCGGTTTGCGCAAGGAAGGTACAAGGGGCTAGGTTAACTCACATCTTTGCGTGCGAAGTCACATCTCCCCAGTGACACGCGGCTGCGAGCGAAGTCACATCACCCCGCGTAAAGTCGCCTCACAGAGACATATGTTGAAGCCTTTCCCCCAATGTGCATGCGCCGCACGCGCATGTTCTCGACACACATGCAAAAATAGGCACTTGTCACCGCACGCCTGGGAGTGGAGCACATTTTTGTCAGCGTGAATGAGATTTCTGCTTGGGGGTGCAAGTGGGTTCTGACCAATCTTGGAATTCGCGAAACCCAGTGTGCACGCATTCGAGGTACGACTTTACACAAGAAGATACACCTTAACCTACCCGCTTGTATGCCCAAGAACGGCAGCTGTTTCGGGGGTATATATGGGCACTTCCCACAACAGGGGGTGGAGGTATTGTTGATGGACCCCAACACACTCGAGCCCCTATTCTAGGACCACCCCTCCCCTCCCCACAAGGGCAACCCTAAACCCTAAACCGTAAACCCTAAACCCTAAACCCTAAACCCTAAACCCTAAACCCTAATCATTTTGAGGCCACCCGGGTCGGAGTGGTTAGGGGATGCGAGCTGAGCCCGAAAAGCCTTAAGCCGCTTCCTACTGCCCTTCATGGTCACTGCTGGTGCTCAGCAACCAGTTGCCAAAAGGGTTTAGGGTTTGGGGTTTAGGGCTTAGGGTTTAGGGTTTAGGGTTTAAGGGCTTGTAAGTAGTTTCAGCTGAATCTCCGCATCCAACCCCCTGGAAGTCTCCTACCTAGAACATACGCATGATGAAGGTTTCCAACTCTACCGGCGGTCTGGGATTTAGGGTTTAGGCCCTAGGGCCCTCAAGAGGTCTTGCACCCTAAACCCGAAACCCTAGACCCTAGACCCTAAACCCTAAACCCTAAACCTTAAACCCTAAACCCTAAACCCTAAACCTGTTTTCCCGACTGAGAGTCGGCAAAGCACAGAGTGTCCCCCAAAACCTGCCCCCAAGCCCCGGCGCATGCTCCATCTGTTGTGCAATGTTGTGCATCTTAAGAAACCCTACACCCCGAAACCCCCCAAACCCTGAAAGACCTAAACCCTAAACCCTGAGCCCTAAGCCCTAAATCCTAAACCCTAAACCCTAAACCCTAAACCCTAAACCCTAAACCCTAAACCCAACTCTGCCTGGCGGATGCTCTCCGGCTGCTTGCGCAGCATGTGCGCGTCTTTCTGCGCACGCGTGCGAGTTTTCGCAGAGGGGGCTACCAGAAGGTTTTGGGTTTAGGGTTTAGGGTTTAGGTTTAGGGTTTAGGGTTTAGGGTTTAGGGTTTAGGAGGGTTCAGGGTTCAGGGTTTAGGGTTTAGGGTTTAGGGTTTAGGGTTTAGGGTTTAGGGTTTAGGGTTTAGGGTTTAGGGTTTAGGGTTTAGGGTTTAGGGTTTAGGGTTTAGGGTTTAGGGTTTAGCCCCCTAAGCCCTGAACTCTAAACCCTAAGCCCTTAGCCCTAAGGGCCTAAGGGCCTAAGGGCCTAAGGGTCTAGGGTTTAAGGGCTTAGGAATCGTGGTTTCAGGCCGTGAGCTTCATTTGTGGTCGGCGGTTTCCTCGAATGTCTGGTTTCCTCAGTAGTTAGCTTCAGGCTTCAAATAAGGCATGGCTTGGGGTTTGGGGTTTAGGGGGTTTAGGGCTTAGGGTTTAGGGCTTGGGGTTTGGGGTTCAGGGTTTAGGGTTTGGGTTTAGGGTTTAGGGTTTAGGGTTCAAGGTTTAGGGTTCAGGGTTTAGGGTTTAGGGTTTAGGGTTGGAGTTTAGGGGTCGAGGGGATTGGGGAATAGAGTCAGGGTCGGACTACGAGAACCGCAACAGCCCGTGGCAAGGGCACCCCCGCCAGCTGTATTGCTCTTTCTCAAGCTCCCCCTTATGCTCACAGTCCTTAATAGGGATTAGAGTACCCCCAAAGAATACTGCCGAGTAAGGACTGTTTGTTTGAGGGGGAACATCCCAACCCTAAATGCTAAAACCCTAAACCCTAAACCCTGAACACTGAACCGTAAACCCGAAACCCTAAACCCTAAACCCTGAACCATGAACCCTGAACCCTGAACCCTGAACCCTGAACCAAATCCCTGAAACTTCCCATCAACCACAAAGCCGCGGCATGCCTGATCCACTTCCCACCTCGTCCTCGGCTTCCACGGAAACACCCCAAGGCCTAAACCCTAAACCCGAAACCCTAAACCCTAAACCCCCTAAACCCTGAAACTTTAGGGTTGGCGGTTGGGGGGTTGAGAATTCGTCCTACATCCTCCGGCGGCGCCGTGTCCGAACTGTGGGTTGACTGACATAGAAGACCCTTCAGGGCTTAGGCAGAGCCTTAAACCCTAGACCCCTAAACCCCAAACATCCCCAAACCCTGAACCCTAAAGCCTAAGCCTGAACCTTAAACCCTAGACCCCAAAGCCCTGAACCTTAGACCCCAAACCCTAAACCCTAAAACCCGAAACCCTAAAACTCCAAAACCCTGAGCCCAAAACCCAAAAGCCTAAAGCCTGACTCTTCAACCCGCGAGGCATGGGCTCTAAACCTGGCCCACAGCTGAGGGTTTAGGGTTTAGGGTTTAGGGTTTAGGGTTTAGGGTTTAGGGTTTAGGGTTTAGGGTTTAGGGTTTAGGGTTTAGGGTTTAGGGTTTAGGGTTTAAGGTTCGATAACGGGGGTTCATGATGAAATAAAGTCCCAGAAATCAGTTTCAGGTTCAGGGCTGAAGGTTTGGGGGGTCTGGGGATAGGGTAGACGACCAACCCTTAATACGCAGAAAGCTGTCACCTGAAACTCGTGCCATACAGGGTTCCCTCAACATACTCCGACAATGCTCTCTTGAAGCCACTGGTAAGCAGAAACAGGCCTGGGAACATCATTGCGTCTACTCCTTAGGTACTATCGCATTTAGGGCTCAGGGTTTAGGGCTGAGGGTCGAGGGTTCACGGTTTAGGGTTTAGAGTTAGAGTTCAGGGTTCAGGGTTCAGGGTTCAGGGTTCAGGGTTCAGGGTTCAGGGTTCAGGGTTCAGGTTTCAGGGTTTAGGGTTTAGGGTTTAGGGTTTAGGGTTTAGGGTTTAGGGTTTAGGGTGGCGTTGAGGGTGTCGGTTCTTTCCACTCCATGCCAGGGTGCACGAAATCTTCCAATTCCTGTCTGCGGTCCTGCAAGAGGCTTCCACGCTCGACACAAAGGCCTAAAACACCTTTGGGCTGCTTAGGCTTTAGGGTTTAGGGTTTAGGGTTTAGGGTTTAGGGTTTAGGGTTTAGGGTTTAGGGTTTAGGGTTTAGGGTTTAGGGTTTAGGGTTTGGGGGTTTAGGGGTTTAGGGGTTTAGGGTTTAGGGGTTTAGGGGTTTAGGGTTTAGGGTTTAGGGGTTTAGGGGTTTACGGGTTTAGGGGTTTAGGGGCTCAGGGGTTTAGGGGTTTAGGGGTTTAGGAGTTTAGGGATTTAGGGCTTTAGGGGTTTAGGGTTTAGGGTTTAGGGTTTAGGCGCACCAGTAGGTGTTTTCTTCTGGGGAAGGGGGGGTGGTACCTGTTATCATACGGACACTTCTATAACAGCGGCAGAAACCTAGACGTCACCCTAAACCCCTAAACCCTAAACCCTAAACCCTAAACCCTAAACCCTAAACCCTAAGCCCTAAGCCCTAAGCCCTAAGCCCTAAAACCCGAAACACGACCGCCCAGCTTGGCGAGGCATCACCGCAGTTGCTCTTCGACCTGCCCCCCAAACCCCCTAAACCCTAAACCCTAAACCCTAAACCCTAAACCCTAAACGCTAAAAACTAAACCCTAAACCCTAACTCCACATCCGGGCCGTGGAAAGGCCTTCCGACCCTTGGCTGGACCCACAGGAGCGCAGTTGGGAGTTTAGGGTTTAGGGTTCAGGGTTTCGGATTCAGGGCTGAGGGTTCAGGGTCTAGATGTGTAAGAACCCTAAACCCTAAACCCTAAACCCTACAACCAGCAGTTTCCACCCCAGTAGCAACGGGCCTGTTCAAACTTCTTCCGGCGGCTCATGCGGATCTCTTGGGCCTGCGAAAGGGGTTTAGGGTTTGGGGTTTAGGGTTTAGGGTTTAGGGTTTAGGGTTTAGGGTTTAGGGTTTAGGGTTTAGGGTTTAGGGTTTGGATTTAGGGTTTAGGGGTTTAGGGTTTAGGGTTTAGGGTTTAGGGTTTGGATTTAGGGTTTAGGGGTTTAGGGGTTTAGGGGTGTAGGGTTTAGGGTTTAGGGTTTAGGGTTTAGGGTTTAGGGTTTAGGGTTTAGGGTTTAGGGTTTAGGGTTTAGGGTTTAGGGTTTAGGGTTTAGGGTTTAGGGTTTGCGGTCTAGGGTTTGGGGTGCAGGATGTAGAGTATAGGATTTAGGGTTTAGGTTTGGGTTTCAGGGTTTAGGGTTTTGGGTTTAAGGTTTAAGGTTTAGGGAGGCCCTTAAGGCCTACACCCTGAACCCCGAAAACCTCAAGAGCTCAAGCCTTTAGTGGTCGCGGGCTCGAGGTTTGGGAAGGAACCGGGTTTAGGATTTAGGGTTTAGGGTTCAGGGCTCAGGGTTTAGGGTTTAGGGTTTAGGGTTCAGGGCTTAGGGTTGAGTGTTTAGGGCTCCAAAAAGTCCCCCTAAGGTCCTGAACTTAAGCCCCACAACCAAAACCCTGCAGGCCGAATGCCTTCAAAGCACGAAAACCCTAAAGCCAAAAACGCTCTGCACCCTAAACCCCAAACCGCATACCCCAAACCCTAAACAACTCAACTCGAACTAGATATGCTCTATCCTTTGAGGCACACTGGCTGGCCCTTACAAACGTCCTGACAGGATCCGATATCGGATCCTCTTACCCTGAACATCCCTAGGTTTTAGGGGTTAGGGTATAAACCCATACACCCTTAGTCAGTTGCACGTGCCTAACTCTGAACCCTGACCTTCAATCCTAAACCCGAAACCAAAACCCCAAAGCGACCAAGAACATGCAGAAAACTTAACGGACCGAAATTGTAACCACTGGTGGGGGGCTGGGGGGAGGGGGGGGGGGCGTGGAGCGTTTCAGGGTTGCAGGGTTTCAGGGTTTTAGGGCTTCAGGGTCGAGAGTTTCGGGCCTATAACCCTGAACCCGAAAGTAAAGGGTTTCAGGGCTTCAGGGTTTGGGACGAAACCCGGTGAACCGTACACCCTAAACCCTGAACCCTGAACCCTAAACCCTACACCCAAAAAGCATAAAGGGGCGGATTCAGCGCCTCTTCCCAAGTTGGAGCCTTCCAAGCCACCGGTGGCGATTCGGGCGCCTTCACCCCCAGGCCCCCAGAACACGAAGCTACGAAATAGTCCCCTGCCGCCAAGAAGACGGAAATATGGGGTTTAGGGTTTAGGGTTTAGGGTTTAGGGTTTAGGGTTTAGGGTTTAGGGTTTGGGGTTTAGGGTTTAGGGTTTAGGGTTTAGGGTTTAGGGTTTAGGGTTTAGGGTTTAGGGTTTAGGGTTTAGGGTTTAGGGTTTAGGGTTCATCAGTTCAGGGTTTAGGGTTTAGGGTTTAGAGTTGAGGAATTAGGTTTTGGGGTTTGGGTTTAGGGTTTAGGGTTTCGGCGCCTCTTCCCAACTTTGAGCCTTCCAGGCCGCCACTCTGTCCGAATGTGGCGATTCCGGCGCCTGAGAGTGCGCAGAAGAACTGCCTCATTTAGGGTTGGGGTTTAGGGCTTGGGGTTTGGGGTTTAGGGCTTGGGGTTTGGGGTTTAGGGTGTGGGGTTTGGGGCTTGAGGTTTTGGGGGTTTAGGGTTTGGGGGCTCGGGGCTCAACATCAGACCGAGTTCAAGGGCACGGTACTAACAGGCTACCTCTTCTGGCCGCTGCTACTGATAAAGCACGAATAAACCCTAAACCCTAAACCCTAAACCCTAAACCCTAAACCCCAAACCCTGCACGTCATGCCAGGCACCCCAGAACACGAAACTACGAAATAGTCCCCAGTTGCCAAGAAAAAGGAAACCTCAAGCCTAAACCCCAAACCCCAAACCCCACACCCCACACCCTAAACCCTAAACCCTCAACCGTGTTTGTGTTCGTTGCTCGGTATCTTCGGACTTTGAGGCTAGCTCGGAAAGTTGAGAGGGTTCGGAACTTTGTTTAGGGTTGAGTCCTTACAGTTCAGGGTTGTGCCGTTGAGGGTTTAGGGTTTGGGGTTTGGGTTTCGGGTTTAGGGTTTCGGGTTTCGGGTTTCGGGTTTCGGGTTTCGGGTTCGCCTCCTCCCAACTTCTTTGAGCCTTCCAAGCCGCCACTCGGTCCGCAAGCGACGATTCTGTCGCCTGAGAATGCGAAGAAGAATCATCTAGGGATCTAGGGTTGGGGGTTCGGGGTTTGGGGTTTGGGGTTTAGGGGTTAGGGTTTGGGGCTTGGGGTTTGGGGTTGAGGGTTTGGGGCTTTGGGTTTGGGGCTTGGGGTCTGGGGTTTGGGGCTTGAGGGTTTGGGTTTAGGGCTTAGGGTTGTAACGTTTACGGTTCGGGGTTGAGGGTTGGGGGGGGGCTGGGGTTTGGGGCTGAGGCCTCAACATCAGACTTCAGTGGTAGAGACAGGCTTTAGTACAGGCCATGTTGAAGGGCAGCGAGTTCTCTTCCGTAAGCCGCAGAAACTCTAAGAACACGGAACCCCAAACCCTGCACTTCATGCCAGGACCCTAAACCCTAAACCCTAAACCCTAAACCCGAAAACCCTAAACCCTAAACCCTGAACCCTAAACCCTAAACCTGCTGCCAAAAAGCCGGAAACCCGGCGTTGCAACCAATCATCTCGGCGGGGGCATCCAAGAGAATATCCGAATTTCCCCTTGTACTTCAACACACTGAGCCGGGAAAGTTGAGAGGGGTTGGGGCTTCAAAGTTTAGGGTTGAGGCTGCACGGTTTAGGGTTTAGGGTTTAGGGTTTAGGGTTTATGGTTTAGGGTTTAGGGTTTAGGGTTCAGGGTTCAGGGTTCAGGGTTTAGGGTTTCCACGTTAGGGTTTAGGGTGTCCAGTCTAGGTTTGAGGGGTTACAGACCCCGGCGCCTCTCTCCACACCAGCTCTTTGGACCTTGGCACACGAAAAGAGAGAGAAGGAGAGAAGGAGAGAAGGAGAGAAAGAGAGAAAGAGAGAGAGAGAGAGACGGAGAGAGAGAGAGAGACAGAGAGAAAGAGAGAAAGAGAGAAAGAGAGAAAGAGAGAAAGAGAGAAAGAGAGAAAGAGAGAAAGAGAGAAAGAGAGAAAGAGAGAAAGAGAGAAAGAGAGAAAGAGAGAAAGAGAGAAAGAGAGAAAGAGAGAAAGAGAGGAAGAGAGAAAGAGAGGAAGAGAGAAAGAGAGAAAGAGAGAAAGAGAGAAAGAGAGAAAGAGAGAAAGAGAGAAAGAGAGAAAGAGAGAAAGAGAGAAAGATAGAAAGAGAGAAAGAGAGAAAGAGAGAAAGAGAGAAAGAGAGAAAGAGAGAAAGAGAGAAAGAGAGAAAGAGAGGGAGAGAAAGAGAGAAAGAGAGAAAGAGAGCAAGAGAGCAAGAGAGCAAGAGAGCAAGAGAGCAAGAGAGCAAGAGAGCAAGAGAGCAAGAGAGCAAGAGAGCAAGAGAGAACGAGAGAACGAGAGAACGAGAGAACGAGAGAACGAGAGAACGAGAGAACGAGAGAACGAGAGAACGAGAGAAAGAGAGAAAGAGAGAAAGAGAGAAAGAGAGAAAGAGAGAAAGAGAGAAAGAGAGAAAGAGAGAAAGAGAGAAAGAGAGAAAGAGAGAAAGAGAGAAAGAGAGAAAGAGAGAAAGAGAGAAAGAGAGAAAGAGAGAACGAGAGAAAGAGAGAAAGAGAGAAAGAGAGAAAGAGAGAAACAGAGAAAGAGAGAAAGAGAGAAAGAGAGAAAGAGAGAAAGAGAGAAAGAGAGAAAGAGAGAAAGAGAGAAAGAGAGAAAGAGAGAAAGAGAGAAAGAGAGAAAGAGAGAGAGAGAGAGGTTAGGGTTGGGGGTTCAGGGAATCGGGTTTCTGTTTGCTGGTTTAGTGGTTTAGGGCACATGAAGAGTTCGCTTCACTTACAGGATACAGTGGGGAGTCTTGGAATGAAGTCAAGAAGGACGATCCGAAGGCAATAGACCTCGCCACTTCCCGCATCAAAGGGGTTTAGGGTTTTTGGGCAACCCTAAACCCTAAACCCTAAACCCGAAACCCTAAACCCTAAACCCTCAGAAGGCACCCTTATCCAAAAAGGCTCAGCCCGCACACGCCCGAAAACACTGGAGTCGGAAGGCCGCGAGGCGCAGCACACGTTCAGGTCCTAGACCCCAGGAGTAACCTAGGAATATATAGGGCCTATAGGGTTTAGGGTTTAGGGTTTAGGGTTTAGGGTTTAGGGTTTAGGGTTTAGGGTTTAGGGTTTAGGGTTTAGGGTTTAGGGTTTAGGGTTTAGGGTTTAGGGTTTAGGGTTTAGGGCTAGGAATGACACCTAAACCCTAACAAAAAGGGAATAAGGGCCTACTTTGGGTCCCAGGGTCTAGGGGTTGGGGTTTTATGGTTTTCGGTTTTCGGGCTTCGGGTTTTAGGTTTTAGGGCTTAGGGTTTTAAGTGCTAGGGCCTTGATTCTTAGGGTCTTCGGGGCTGAAGGGTTTGAAGGTGTAGGGCTGAGGGTTCCCCTAAACCCTTAACCCTGAACCCTGAACTCTAAACCCTAAACCCTAAACCCTAAACCCTAAACCCTCCAAACCATGTTTTGGGCTGAGGAAGGCACGGCGGCGACGAAATGGCGCGAGGAGCCCTCGCAGGAGAGGTCGGCACGGCCGGTGGCCTGGAAAAGCTGAGGGTTTAGGGTTTAGGGTTTTGGGTTTTGGGTTTTGGGTTTTGGGTTTTGGGTTTATAGGGTTTTAGGGTTTTTAGGGTTTTTAGGGTTTTTAGGGTTTTTGGGGTTTTTAGGGTTTTTAGGGTGTTTAGGGTTTAGGGGTTTAGGGCTTTCTAGGGCTTTCTAGGGCTTTTGACGGTCTTGGGGGCCTCGGGTTCAGAGTTTCGGTTTATCAAGCGTACACCCTAAACCCTAAACCTCAAACCCCAAACCCTAAACCCTAAACCCCAAACCCCTAAACCCTAAACCCCAAACCCTAAACCCCAAACCGTCTAGGGCTTTGATGGGGATGTTCGTTTGGCAGCAAGGGCTTAGACTGCAGTGAGGATCTTTGCAGAGCCCCTAAACCCTCAACCCTAAACCCTAAACCCCTAACCCTAAACCCTCACCCCTAAACCCTAAACCCTAAACCCCAGACCCATATTAACCCTTGACCCTCAGCAGCAGTGCCCATGTGTCCCCATCGCAAGCCATGTGTTTGGGGTTTAGGGTTTGGGGTTTATGGTTTGGGTTTTAGGGTTTAGGGTTTAGGGTTTAGGGTTCAGGGTTTAGGATTTAGGGTTTAGGGTTTAGGGTTTAGGGTTTAGGGTCTAGGGTCTAGGGTTTAGGGTTTAGGGTTTAGGGAACCAAACCTGCAAGCCAAAACCCTAAACCCGAAACCCTACGACCCCAAAGCCCGCCCCGGTCCCCCCGACCCAAACCCAAACCTCTAAAACTTAAACCTTCTAGCGCAGGCGGGTGTACTATAATCCCAATTAAGGACTGATCGTATAAGGGGGAACATCCCAACCTAAACCCCAAACCCCAAAAACAAAAACCCAAACCCCCAACCCCCAACCCCAAACCCCAAACCCCAAACCCCAAACTCCAAACCCTAAACCCTAAACCCTAAACCCTAAACCCTAAACCCTAAACCCTAAACCCTAAACCCTAAACCCTAAACCCTAAACCCTAAACCCTAAACCCTAAACCCTAAACCCTAAACCCTAAACCCTAAACCCTAAACCCCAACAACAAAAACCCACAGCAACCCTCGCTCGGGCCCCCAGGCGGTGGCGGCGGTGGGAGGGGAAGTGGCAGGCTCTTCTGCAGGGCGGTTTGGGGTCTAGGGTTTATAGGGTTTAGGGTTTAGGGTTTAGGGTTTAGGGTTTAGGGTTTAGGGTTTAGGGTTTAGGGTTTAGGGTTTAGGGTTTGGGGTTTGGGGTTTAGGGTTTAATAGGGTTTAGGGTTTAAGGTTTAGTAGGGTTTAGTAGGGTTTAGTAGGGTTTAGTAGGGTTTAGGGTTCAGGGTTCAGGGTTTAGGGTTTAGGGTTTCGGGTTTAGGGTTTAGGGCACAGGGTCTGGGGTTTAGGGGTTTGGGGTTCAATGGCCTTTGGGGGGGCTTGGGGCTTTGGGCTTGGGTTTACAAAGCTTGGCGACTTTAGGGGTTTGGGGGATTGAGGTTCTACAGTAGGTTCTATAGTTCGGGTTGGGGGTTTCATGTCACGCAGTTTGCCTCAGCCGAGTCCTTTAAGGCACTGCACATTTTCGCACTTCGAAGTTCGCCTGAACCGTTTCCTCGGTCCCTACCCATCTTGTACTTGCGCACCAGGGGGGTCCGCACAAGAGCAAACCTGCAACAGGTACAGGAAAAGGGAGAAGCCTAAACCCTAAACCCTAAACCCTAAACCCTAAACCCTAAACCCTAAACCCTAAACCCTAAACCGACATGGGCGATGTCCGTGACTTCTGCGACATCTGTGACCAGCCTCGTTGAATGAAAGTCTGTTCGGACAAGGGGACGTAGGCCTCAAACCCTGCACCCAAACCCGAAACCCCAAGCACTAAACCCTATAAAACCTCAAACCCTAAACTCTAAACCCTACACCCTAAACTCTAAACCTTAAATTAGTCCTAAACTCTAAACCCGAAACCCTAAACTCTAAACCCTCAACCCCAAACCCAAGCCTGAATTGTTGTACTTTTCATTGGTGTCTTTCGTTTTCCCACCGTGCGCGCTGTAGGACTCTTCACTGCGGACCGTACGGCTTCGGGTTCAGGGTTTGGGGTTTGGGGTCTGGGGTACGGGGCCCAAACCCTAAACCCTGTATACCCCAAAACCCAAACCCTAAACTCTAAGCCCCAAACCCTGAACCCTGAACCCTAAACCCTAAACCCCAAACCACAAACCCTAAACCCTAACCCCTAACCCAAAACCCAAACCCTCCACACCCTAAGCTTTAAACCCCAAACCCCAAACCCAAACCCCAAACCCTAGACCCCAAATCCTAAACCTTTAAAAGGCTTCATGACCCCTATGGCCCTGTGGCAAAGGCCTCTCAGTCTAGACCCCTGACTTGAAGGGTCTATGGCTCCGGGTTCAGGGTTTAGGGCTTAGGGTTTAGGGTTTAGGGTTTAGGGTTTAGGGTTTAGGGTTTAGGGTTTAGGGCTTAGCCCCCAGGGCTTACGGCTTAGGGCTTAGGGGATTAGGGGGGGCTTCGGGCTTAGGAGGAAGAGGAGCGTGCCCTTCAGTTTAGCGATTTGTCTCAATGTGTTCCCCAGTGGCTAAGCCCATCGAAGTCGCACTACGGCGCTGGGAACCACAAACCATAAACCATAAAGCCTAAACCCTAAACCCTAAACCCTAAACCCTAAACCCTATCCCCCCAAACCAAACCCAAGAAATCGCAGCAGGGGCCTTCGGGGGAAATGCCGGCTCGGCTGGTGGCAAGCTCCCATCCACGACTGGCCTGCAGAGAAGTCGTTGGGGGATTGAGGGTTTAGGGTTTAGGGTTCGGGGTTTAGGGTTTAGGGTTTAGGGTTTAGGGTTTAGGGGTTAGGGTTTAGGGTTTAGGGTTTAGGGTTTAGGGTTTAGGGTTTAGGGTTCATATTATAAGGGTTCATATACTATAAGAGATCAGGGTTAGGCATAAGGCTTCGTCGACAAGGCACAAGGCCTCGTCGACAAGGCTTGTCGACTGCCTACCCCCCCCCCCCCTCTGGGGTTTAGGGCTTCACGGCCTCAAGGCCTGGGGTCGGTTTAGGGTTTCAGGGCCTCAAGGCCTGAGGTTTAGGGTTTCAGGGTCTCAAGGCGTGGGTTTCGGGTTTCAGGGCCTCAAGGCCTACAGTTTAGGGTTTCGGGGCCTCAAGGCCTGGGGTTTAGGGTTTCGGCCTCAAGGCCTGGGATTTAGGGTTTCAGAGAACCTCAAAACCTGCGGTTTAGGGTTTCAGGGCCTGAAAGCTGGGGTTTAGGGCTTCCGCCCCTCAAACCTTGAAGTTTAGGGTTTCAGGGCCCACGCTTTCTCTTGTAATAACAGTCTTCCTTGTGCGCCATGCGGAAGTTTAAGAACGAATTGTACTATGATTCGTAACCTTCGTTGAGTAGAACTCTCTTGTAAGAAGATACTCTATATTTTCTTAATGTTATGGGATTCTCTGGGTGGGTGGGCATTCTTCCCTGCTCGATCCGGAGCTGCTGAACCCTAAACCCTAAACCCTAAACCCTAAACCCTCACTGGGCCTGGTCTTGGGCGCCGCCTTCATCGTTGCCTTCAGCGATGTCGGCATCTTCTTAGCCGAAGGGATCTTGGTCTGTGGAGGCCTCGGCTCTAGGGGTTTAGAGGTTTAGGGGTTTAGGGGTTTAGGGGTTTAGGGGTTTAGGGGTTTAGGGGTTTAGGGGTTTAGGGGTTTAGGGGTTTAGGGGTTTAGGGTTTAGGGTTTTAACCCTAAACCCTAAACTGTACATCGAGGAAGTTTATTGGTCATTTGGAGGCTTCGGGGGTGCGGGTTTAGTGCTTGGGTTTTGGAGATGGACTCAGGTCGAGGGGTTTAGGGTTTCGGCTTTAGGGTTTAGCGCTTGGCAGCGAAACAGAAAACCGTAGTAGTGACAGGAAACCCTAAACCCTAAACCCTAAACCCCCCCCCACCCCTCCCTCCCTCACTCCCAAGAAAAAATGAAGCCCTGATTTAGAACAGCCGGGTTTAGGGCTTGGGGGATTTTTTCAGGTGCAGCGGACTTTCACTGCGCACCGGCTCCTGTGCCAGGGCTAAGTTTAGGAAGGTTTAGGGTTTAGGGTTTAGGGTTTAGGGTTTAGGGTTTAGGGTTTAGGGTTTAGGGTTTAGGGTTTAGGGTTTAGGGTTTAGGGTTTATGGTTTAGGTTTAGGGTTTAGGGTTTAGGGTTTAGGGTTTAGGGTTTAGGGTTTAGGGTTTAGGGTTTAGGGTTTAGGGTTTAGGGTTTAGGGTTTAGGGTTTAGGGTTTAGGGTTTAGGGTTTAGGGTTTAGGGTAAGGCTCAATATCAAGAAAAAAACACGCTGGATGCAACCCCTGTCAAACCTCCTTGCGGTCCTTGCAACACTCTTAAACCCTACAAGCCCTACAACCACTCCAACCCGGCAACTCCTACACCCTAAACCCTAAACCCTAAACCCTAAACCCTAAACCTGAACCCACCCGCCCTCCTTCCCAGAAGGCCCGGAAGCCCAAGAATTTCTCCTGAGTAGGCTTTGGGGTTTAGGGCTTCGGGCTCAGCAAAGAAACTTAAGCTAGGTTGCCAGAATCCTTTAGGGTTTAGGGTTTTAGGGTTTAGGGTTTAGGGTTTAGGGTTTAGGGTTTCGGGTTTAGGGTTTAGGGTTTAGGGTTAAGATGCCGCAAAATTAGCCAAACATCTGTAGTGTGGTGACTGAAGTGAAGCTCCGGAGCAACACGCTGCCCTCTCAACCTACGCTCTATAAACCCCAAACCCTATACACCTTATGCTCTATCATCCCCAAACACCTTGTAGTGCATGCATATGTATATATACATATTCATATACATATGTATACAGAAAACGTCACATTGCAGGGCCCGTATAAAAATGAAAATCTGGGTGGTTAACTCAGCCGTATGAACCCTTCAAACCTTATTGGCCTTATAATAACCCGACACACCCGGAACATGCTACACGATTAACCTGTCCGGCCCCATCAACCTCTTCAAGCCTCGCAAACCCTAAACGCCCTAGACACGCAAAAACTCCATAAACCCTATGGCCCCTATAAACCCTAGAGACCCTGTAAACCCTCTTACCTGACAAACCTTACAAACCCGTTAAACCCTGTAAACCCGCAAATCCCCAGTAAGCCTATGAACCCTATAAACTCTAAACACTCCACAATGAACCCTACTGACTGGGCTTGGGGCAAGCCCTTCTGCTTTCTCTTCTGGTTATGCACCGCCTTGGTAGCCAGGGTCCAGGTCCAAGGGCTTCACAGCATTTAGCAGTTCAGAATTCTAGGAGCAAGAATGGCAAAGAATCGACAGGAAGCAGCAGCCCTAAACCCTAAACCCTAAACCCTAAACCCTAAACACCTCCGGAGCCCGCGCCAGCATGTTCTCCGCCGTCTCTGGCGGCTCTGGCGGCCTCGGGCCGTGTAAAACCGCGCGGGCGAGCTTTAGACCGAGGTGACAGCAGCACCCTCTTGGGGCCTTGAGGACTTGTAGTACAGGGTTTAGGGTTTAGGGTTTAGGATTTAGGGTTTAAGGTTTAGGGTTTAGGGTTTCGGGTTTAGGGTTTAGGGTTTAGGGTTTAGGGTTTAGGGTTTAGGGTTGTGGGTTTAGGATTTAGGGTACCTGCCCCTTCCTTTCACTAAGCTGACTTACGGTAGGGGGCTTCCTAAATGGGGCACCCTTGGTGAGGGCTCCTATACTACTATTTGGGTGAACTACCCATGTGGCCACACAGGCGCCTCCTTTCCTATTTAGCTAGACTTGTGTTGCCTGCAAGCCCAAGACTTGTTATGTCACTGTAGAGATTCAAAGTGGATCATATGCGTAGTGTTTAGGCTCCGACATTTCAGCCCCCAAAGTCTACCTGACACCATCACTTCTCAGACGTGTTCGCACATTAAGTCTGCCGCAGCTCCTGGCCAGTGTGGGCCACGATGGAGTCATCCTGGCCGAAGTCAACCCTAAACCCTAAACCCTAAACCCTAAACCCTAAACCCCTAAACCCTAAACCCTAAACCCTAAACCCTAAACCCTAAACCCGGCGGCGGAATTGAGGCCCAGTTTACATGATTGGGTGAGGGAATCGGGTGCCTTCCGTGAACGCAGACAACTATTTATCACATGTTCATGTGATTGGCAGTTGAATCTTCTTATTCTAGTTATTTTCAAAGAAGTGCAATCTCGGAATAAACAGAAAGATATTGCTTCATATTAACTAGTATTCATGTTTATATATATATATATACACATTACTATCAGTTAATATGAATAAATGTTGACTACTAGCATAAATGTTTGAATGCAAAGAATACTTATCTTAGGAACTAATGAATATCAATCCATATTTATGAAGAACTCATTTTCTTAGCACCACGCATTTTTCAATCTCGATTGAAACGTGATAAAAATGAAATAGACATTACAGAGACTCAAAATGAACCAATACTAATAATGACAGATCAAAATGAATATTATTTGAATATCAATCAGTACCCCTCTGCTGGCTCCAGCAATTAAACCCCAACCCCAACCTGACAAATCGCTTCCCAGACATGTTGGCACATTAAGTCTGCCGCAGCTCCTGGCCAGTGTGGGCCACGATGGAGTCATCCTGGCCGAAGTCGAAGCAGCCCAGGGATTTGGCGGGGGGGGGGGGGCGGAATTGAGGCCCAGTTTGGGTGAGGAAATCGGGTTGCTTCGACTTCCAGCCATGAATGCAGATAACCCTAAACCCTAAACCCTAAACCCTGAACCCCCCCTTCGCCAAACTTCTGGCGCCTGCGCCGTGCCTACATCCTCGCTGTCAGGCTGCGCGCCGGCGTTCTGAAGCAGCCGAGCACCACTCCTGGGCCCCAAACCCCAAACCCCAAACCCCGAACCCCAAACCCCAAACCCTAAACCCCTAAACCCCTAAACCCCTAAACCCTAAACCCTAAACCTTTTGTTCAAGCTTTTTGCAACTTCCTCAGCTTTCAGGCCGTAGCCTCTCCCAGCCCTCCCAGAGGTCCTGCCTCTCCTCAAGCCCTGGCCTTCCATGTAAAAGGGTTTAGGGTTTAGGGTATAGGGTATAGGGTTTAGGGTTTAGGGTTTAGGGTTTAGGGCTTAGGGCTTAGGGCTTGAAATCTCCCCGTTTTTGTCATGCATGAACCCCATCCAAAAACAAACCCTAAACCCGACACCTGCAGCCCCAAGCCGGAAGCCCTGAATCCTAAACATCCCTAAACCCAAAACGCAGCTCTGACCAATGGAACGACCCAAAACCCTAAACCCTAAACCCTCAACCCTAAACCCTGAGGACCACGCTTCGGGACCACGAGCATTCGTTTCGGCGATGGCAGCAGCGCGCTGGACCTGGGGCGATGGGCTCAGGGTTCTGGGCAAAAGCGCATACGGTTTAGGGTTTAGGGTTTAGGGTTTAGGTTTAGGGTTGAGGGTTTAGGGTTTAGGGTTTAGGGTTTAGGGTTTAGGGTTTAGGGTTTAGGGTTTAGGGTTTAGGGTTTAGGGTTTAGGGGGGTTTAGGGTTTAGGGTTTAGGGTTTAGGGTTATAGGTTTAGGGTTTAGTGGTTTAGGGCCCCACGCGCCTCTCAGAACCCGGTTTCGGGGTTGAGAGGTGAGGTTGAGGTTGAAGGGCTCACGGATTTTTAAGGGTTAAGGTTGCGGTTTAAGGGAATAGGCCCACCCCCCCCCCCCCGGCCCCCCCCCCCCAAGGAAAGCCCCCAAAGCCCGGACACAAAGGCACCAAGAAACGAAAGCAAACCAAGCCCTAAACCCTAAACCCCAAACCCTGAACCCCAACCCGAAAACCCTAAACCCCAAACCCTAAAACGCGGTATATATGTATGTATATATATATATATATATATAGGTTGTGATATATACATAAATATATATATATATACATATACACATATATATATATATGTCTATATGTATATATATATATATATATACATATATATAGATAGATCAAGAAGTGCAGGCCACTAGGACCTCCAGGTGAAACCGAATTTCGAGCTGCTGGCGCCGAGGCTGGCCGCTTCCGAAGGGTCCTTGCGACCACAGCGGCTCCAAGGTTTTGTGGCTTTTTGGGGTTTAGGGTTTAGGGTTTGGGGTTTAGGGTTTAGGGTTTAGGGTTTAGGGTTTAGGGTTTAGGGTTTAGGGTTTAGGGTTTAGGGTTTAGGGTTTAGGGTTTGGGGCTTAGGGTTTAGGATTTTGGGGTCTGGGATGTTCCCTTATACGAACAGTCCTTCATAGGGACTATAGTAGGGGGTACTAGAATCCCTACTAAAGACTGAAAGTATACGGGGGAACATCCCAATTTTGGGGGTGTTGGCGTTTGGGGTTTTAGGGTTTAGGGTTTAGTTCGGGAGCTCCCCAGGTTAGCCTTCTCTTGGTGCGTGCGTGCGGGTTGCGCGTGTGTCGTCTGCGCTGTGCATGTGTCGCGTTGGTTATGCATCTCTCTCTCTCTCTCTCTCTCTGTGTCTCTGTTTGTGTCTGTGCGCGTGTGCGTGCGTGTGTGTGTGTGTGTGTATGCCTATGCGTGTCTTTGTGCGTCTGTTGCGTGTGTGGTGTCTGTGTATGTGTATGTGTATGTGTACGTGTATGTGTACGTGTATGTGTATGCGTATGCGTATGTGTATGTGTATGTGTATCTGAATGTGTATGTGTATGTGTATGTTCGTGTGCGTGCGCATGTGCATGTGCATGTGCACGTGCAAGTGCACATGCACGTGGACGTGTGCGTGTGCGTGTGCGTGTACGAGTAAGAGTACGAGTGCGCGTGCGAGTGCGTGTGCGTGTGCGTGCACGTACACGTGCGCGTGGGCGTGTGCGTGTGCGTGTGTGTGTGTCTCTGTGTGTGTGTATGTGTGTGTCTGTGTGTGTGTGTGTGTGTGTGTGTCTGTGTGTGTGTCTGTGTCTCTGTGTGTGTGTCTGTGTCTCTGTGTGTGTGTGTGTG